GAGTCTGGTATGTGTAAAGCTGGCCTCACCGGAAATGATGCTCCCAGAGCCGTATTAGCCTCTATTAATGGAAGAACTAGACATCAGATAGTGATTGTGGGAATGGATGAAAAGGACAGTCATGTGGGGGACGATGCTCGATCGAAACGTGTCATTCTGACACTGAAGTACCAAATTGAACATGGTATTGCGACTAAGTGGGGTGATATGAAGAAGATATGGTACCACACATTCTACAAAGAGTTGCGAGTGGCAACAGAGAAACGTCGAGTGTTGTGGAGAGAAGTTTCATTGAACCGGAAGGCAAACCGTGAGATGACAAGGATCATGTTTGAAGCTTTCAATTCACCAGGTATATGTGTTGCTATTCGAACAATGTTGTCACTGTGTACATCTAGTCGTACAACTGGTGTAGTGTTTTACTTAGCTGACGGTGTAACCCACACAGTTCCAATTTATGAAGGTTATGCGTTGCCTTATTCTGTTTTCCGATTATACCTTGCTGGTAGAGTTCTTACATACTTTATGATGAAGATCCTGGCTGACGCAGGTTGCAGTCCTTCTGTCTATTCTTGGAACATACTCAGGCGCAAGCCACCGGACAACGTTTTGATTTATAGTAAGTTACTAGGCCTAGTGATAAGGGGATTATATAGGGAAGCTGCGAATGCTTTTATTTTTGGAAGAGGCCGAAGAGTAGCGGACTAGCTTAAGTATATGGATGTACAGGCGTACTGTTGTAAGTCCTGTGCTTCCCATTGATATAGAACAGTTAGTAAGGAGAGCCATGACAGAAATGTATTCTAAGGAGTCTTTGCGTAGCTGGAGGGATTTTGGGGGCCGGTGTAACGGAAAAAGAACAGTGAAAATCCCTCTGCAGCTTCTTTGTTGAACAGTATTTTCATTTATTTGTTACTACTCCCTTTTGTGTATTCCAACCTTTGTTTCGATCTGGTTTAACCATGTCTTTCGTTCTTCAGTCTTCCCCGTTCGAGCCTTTACTATGTGATTTTGATTAAAGACTTATTTTTGTTACCTAATTTTCTACTGCATGTGGCCGGACCATTGACAGTAAGGTTGTGTTTGACTAAGCTCAAGGTCACGGCGTGGTTCAGTTTGTGACTGTTAACCTTCTGACTGTCTGCTTGGGAGAACTGCTGCAATCCCTGCAGATAGATATTTGATCCCATCTTACTGGGAATATTTGTATTGATTCTCAGGTATCAAACCCTTTAGTATTAACCGTCTCTTTCATTGTTTAGCGCACTACTTTGCGTTAGAGAAACTTCTGACTGTATAGCACAGGCTGTACCGTTTGAGGTATTTTGTATTTTTGATGTAATTTGCTCTGTTTTCTTAATTAGAACCGTTTATATTCAGCACATAGTTTGTGTTTTGATATAATATAATACGAGTATCTCAAAGACGCGTTGTAAGCTATACAGAGGAACTTGGTCTGGTCTAATCGAATAAATTTTGGGTTCGTCAGTCCGTTGTTCCAACCGAACTTTGGTGGTTCGGCCGTTACACAACCTATGCTGTTACATTAGCTTCCCCCTAGAATCGACTTCCGTAGGAACGTCGGTTCGATTAACCTATCTATCAAAAACACCTTAGTTCTATTTCTCATTCCAAGGGAAAGTTATCAACTCACTCAATGTTTGACTTACAATAAGTGGCAACTAACGCTGACAACGGTAGTCCATGGATGTCTCTTCATTTACTAGCTTGTCATCTTATTTAGTAGCATGTGATTTCTTCTACAACTATAGCTGACGGTTTACTGAGTGCTTTCATGAGAAAGAGTGTTAAACTGTGGAATAAGAATATCTGAGGAAGTGCCGCGTTTCTCAGGCCGAATGGCATGCGTACAAACTCGAATAAGCCAAAGGGTGTTGTAATAGCTGTCTTAGGGATATCTTCATCAGCCACCGGGATATTGTGATATGCCCTGACTAAGTCAATTTTAGTGAATATGTTCATACCCTGTAAACCGTTTGTGAAATCTTGGATATGCGGTATTGGGTACCTATCTGGTACGGTTTGACGGTTGAGGGCTCTGTAATCCCCGCACGGTCGCCAGTCACCTTCATTCTTCTTTGGGACCATATGCAAAGGGGATGCCCATTGACTATCAGAGGGACGGATAATACTCAGTTGTAGCATATAATCAAACTCGGCTCTAGCGATTTTGAGCTTATCTGGTGCTAGTCTCCTGGGTTTTGCAAACACCGGTGCACCTTCGGTTTTGATAGTGTGACTTACTTTTAGTTTGTCTTTGAAAGGCTGTGGGTTTGGTTTGGTTAAGTTTGGAAATTCCGCGAGTATATCTTGGAATTTCGCTGTTGTTACTGGAGGGGTTTGAATCAAGTTAAGAGAGCTGATGTGACTTTCTTTGCCTTTTGTGTAAAACGAAGTTTCTTTTAGTGTTAATCGCCGTTTCTTGGTGTCAACAAGAAATTCGTATCTCTCTAGAAAGTCCATCCCCAGTATTGCCAGATCTAAGTCGGCTACCGTGAAAACCCAAGGGAATTGCCTTCTGAACCCCAAATCTAGGGTTAACGTTTTCTGCCCAAATGTCGCGATTGTAGTTTTATTTGCAGCTTGAAGTGTAATCGGGGATGTTTCTCGACTAATCTCAGTTTTATTTCGAGGGATGATGCTGAGAGCAGCGCCAATGTCCACCAAGAAATTCAAGCCCGAGTTTCTGTCTCTGACATAAAACAAGCGACTGTTTAGGCGCCCCTCCTCAGTTGTCGCGACCTGGGGAGGGGTTACTCGTTTCCCGCTGTCTTGGAATTATGCTTAGGCCAGGCGCATGGTTGCCTGCACTTGGTTGAGTTGACACCAAACTTCCAGTGGTACCAACAAAACTGCCCAGATTGTCTGGACATTTGTGACCTATTTTGTGACTTGGATCGTGATCGTTGTGGTGACCTGCTCCTGTTTGTATGACCCATTTGCATTCTGGTGACAGCCTCAGTGAGACTCTTAACACTCGCAATGAGTCCTTCTATGACGAGGTCTTTTGCTGATTCTACTTTCTGTGTGTGATTTATTGTGCCTGATCCAGTTGGAGGACCTCTTTCCATTATTCTATCAGCTATACGCGCTAAATGAGATAATGAGGTTTCAGGATCTTGTGCATCCAAACAGTGTTGGACGTAGCATGGGAGAGCTTGTATCCATCCTTGTTTTAGGACTGCTTCACCCACTGTGTTATCACCCACTAAGACTTGGAGGTGACGTAGAAACTGTGACGGCGACCGATCACCTAGTGTTTCACCTTGAAAAAGTCTTTGGATTCTTTGACTATCTGATAATGATAAACGGTTCATTATCTCTCGTCTTAAGACGGTGTACGGTTGTGGTGATGGTGGATCTAAAATCAAGTCACGGACTTCTTTGGCGACTGGAGGAGGAAGGATAGAACACAAATCTCTATAGCGAATCCCTTCAGATTTGATGTTGTGTCTCGTGAAATAATGCTCGAGTTGAGCAAACCACAACTCAGGATCGCTACGATCAAATTCTGGAAGTCGAGATTTCGTAGTCATAACAGTGTCTATTTCCACTGGTGACAAATCCTCCAGATTATGGGTTTCTTTTAAGTCTGACATGAGGTATGTGACAAATATAGCAATAAAATTAGCACGAAAAAAAAATGGTTTCTATGACACGAATAACTTAAGATAATAAAAATAATAAACTATTTATATACCCAACTTAGTTTACGGATTATCAGGTCTACTTTTACGATTGAGTAAAAAAAATAATATTAATAACAAAAATGAGGTTAATTTGTGTTCTAAAAGGGCTCACCAGTTTCGTGCCTATAGGTAACCCTCGTACTATTGATAGAAGAAACCACAGAATTGTGGAGTACGTCTTTATTTCGATCTTAGCGCAGTCACAGTGGAGCGTGGGATTATCTGTTCAGACAAACAAAGGCTTTCAGCATTCAATATAAGATAATAAGGAATATAACGCTTATACAAAATAAGGAAGTGAATGAATACTTGAACAATACTGTTTTGGCATATGCTTGGTTGTTTGGGGTCAACTCTTAACCAACCAACCTATGCTGTTACAAGTCCATCCGAGACAAGTTGCGAACTACGCATGCAACTTAGTTAACTGCCATTTAGAGGCATTTCTGGTCAGTTTGACGATATAAAATTCATTTAATTTCTAACAGTTCTATTCGATCCTATTTGTGGCATGAGAATATATTTTTTCCTCTCTCGGTCCAAAAGGATAACAATGCACAGGAATGTACCGAACGATGAGCCACGAAATCATTTCATGAACTCAAAGTCAAACCTTATAAAGAGGGTCTCAAAATTGGTCGAAAGTTTACCCATTAGAGTGTATGCTTTTGAATGGTGACCTTCTAAGGACCTATAGCATCTCAAACACTCCTGGGAACTTTTTAAACACCTACCTGAGGGCAACACCCAGAAATTATAGATAAAACATAGCATGATGAACTGAAGTAACACAATTTACTTTTTGTTAGTTGCCAACTTCTGGGATTCTCGTCCGTCTGGGATGCTTTAAGTGACTGTCCAGGTGTTCCATAAGGGGTAACATGGCAATTTCCTAAGGATCCAGGACAAAGTCTTACTATAATTTGCAAATATTTTCTTTACATTAATTAAATATACCAGGTAGGAACATATATGTTCCTACCTAAAGTTATCGCTGATCCACTGCTGCTAGATAGAGAAGCACGTTAAGAAAATGTTCCTTTTACTCCATCATGAACAAATTGAACGGCTTCAATAAATAGGAAAGTTAAAAAACACAATTATAAATAAATTCATAATCGAGGTACTTATCGTTACAAATGTTATAGTCCAGAGGATAGAAAAACTTAACTAGAGGCTCAAAAAGTGAAACTATATTTAAGAAGCCAAAAGTGAGCCACGAGAAGTCAAACGACTAATTCTAGATAGTCACGAAGATATTTCATATTATTGAGGCTGTGAATAATGGAGGGCACTACAAGTTCTACATTTTCGGCGGAAGTTTGAAGGATTACGTGAACAACTCTATTGTTTGTAACAAGCTCGTTTAGCTAACTTTCTTTAAGATTCGATCGCATAAAAATACGCTTTATCGGGTTATAAACCTGAGTAAAATAATTCACTTATATGGGTGCCATTAAAAACCCAGAATTATCTTGGAAATCATTTTATCGGTCATAACATGTTTTAAAACTATTTTCGGTCATTTTTAAGTGTACTTATTTTAAAAAAAGACCGGAAAAACAGAAGCTAAATTTGTTGGCTCAGTCTGGCGTTGCTTATATATATATATATATGACAGCTGTAAGACAGCTCTTCAGACTAATAAAAGAAACTAGGACTAAGAAGTCAAGTGTAGTTGAGACGACACTCTCATCTGTTCTTAGTCCAGACGTTTAGAACGATGAGCGGAACAGTTTATCTGGCCTTCAGCTACTCTGCAACTACCCTCAACTCCCAAACAGTCCGAATGGAGCATTGAGGTTGGTGCTCCGACTCGAGTTGGAGCTCAAAAAGCTACAGCTAATCTGAAACGAGAAAGAGGGTCTAGCTGGATTGGCTTAATAGGTCTTACGTACGGTGGTCGAATTTTAACGATCAGGTTAAGGTTGGCCAAAACGAAACCTGAATTCAGTGCTTGAAGTCGCTGGTCCATGTTGATAGATGCAAACTGTTTGGTTGTGGTCCGCGTGACTATCGTAACCAATGGTTGGAAACTCTGTGTGACATGGCTCAGAGTCGATCACAATGGTGTAAGTGTAAGCACTTTGTCCACCCTTAAACTACGAGATTTACATTGCTTTGTATCTTTATTTCTACCAACTAATTCTTTTTACACTATATCCTTATATGCAATCTTTTACTCATTTATAACCACCATTGAAGTAATTACCTCTATGAATTTAGTGTCCATCTTGTTGTGCTAATGAGGTATGGCAACTTGGGCTAATGCATATATGTGCCTGGTTCTACGTTGTGGCTGACTAACTGATTCAATACATCATAGTAATTAATGTATTTGAATTGAATATTAAGGTACAGCCATAATCAATGTCAATCTTGTGCCTAGAAAACAAGCAGTCTTTAGATATATTCATATATGGCGTTGTCTGTCGTCAGAATTGTTGAACTTATTCACACTATCTTTCTTTGATTCGCATGATACCATATCTTCAGCCTCAAGATACGTGAAATAAGTCATATGTTCTCGTCTATATGATGTACATAACTTACTTGATACTTCAGCTGGCTTTTATTGACGGTATCAAGTATTGTTTAATTCCCAGATCCATTTTCCGCTTACCAATCAATCTATTTGAACTTCATTAATCTGGACATTTCGCTAACTGCCGGTTACCAGAGAAAAATATACTACCCCATCGTGGTATATGACCAAGAATTCCACATTTCAGTCGGCTTCCCTATGTACGAAATTCTTAATTGTATATTTTATTCCTTCTTGTTCATATCCGGTCTATATTTCGCCGGTGGAAAGTTTCCAAGGTAGGTTCACTTGAATAAATTCACTGGTCAATTTTAGAGACCATCCGGAAACAATTAAGAGAAGAGTTGTCTCCGTGTTTGTGACAGGAACTATTTCCATCACTCATGTACTGACGTACATACGTTCTTATGATCGTCCTCCGGTTAGTGCGATCTCATTAATAACTTCTTCTAGTTTCAGTTATCCTCATATGAATTTGGGAAACTGTTTATTAGGCTGGATGGCTTATTAGAAGCAGTTATTATATCTGTCATACTCACTTTGGTTTGTTGTTATTGTCTCTGATATTCATACAAAATCAGGTCATGTACTTTGGCGTTGTATTGGATGATATATGTAGTGGAGATATGTTAGTCATATTTGGTAATGATCACTATCATTGCTTTTGTGTGTTTTAGGTTTTCTGTATTTTTTCTATATTCTAACTCGGTGAACACAACATTTCGTACAACGAAATTAGTATGTAAACCAAACTCAAAAAGTTTTCTACTGTTGTGATTAATTTAGGAAGGTATCAAAGATTCGCATTTACACTTCAAGGCTTAGTTTTTTCGTGCATAGAGTAACATAACGACACTGCAAGGTATATATATCTGCAATTAGTGTATTATTTACAACTTTTTAAGTTTTTTTTGCCGTGAACTTTAGGTATAGTGAATATTTTATAGTGCTTGGTCTGATTAACTCCGAAATTCCCCAACCACACCAGCCGAGATCTGGTTCTTTTACTACTTGAAGATGAATTGATTATCTTCTGAAAAGTAGAACAAAAACATTATTTGCTACAGAAGTTTTTAAACGTAAACTCTGACCAAATGCTTTATTATAACTGTTCTCTATAAATTCGGAATAATGACACTATTTTCGTACACTCATCTTATTTGCATCATTTAACGTTTGAATTTACAAACGAAAATAACCTCCTAAGGTTGCGAAACGTGCAGTCTTTACATATTTACAATATATCATAACACAACTCAGTTCTAACACTGCATTGCCTTTTAAAGAGTAAAAAACAATACGTAAAATGTCTGGTTTTGTTTTAACCTGATAAAATAAAGTATATACTTTTTGACAGAAATTATCAACATTTCAACCTGATAACCATTTAGCATACTTATAATGTCAAATTGAACATAAAGTCAACTGAACATCCGGTTCCAGGTTCGAAACCCATTTCATCGTTTTCTATCTGGACAAGTTCAAAGCTTTATTCTTTTCGTAATTAACACGTACTTCAGCATGCCACTAAAAGTTTCGATCATCGTGCTTCTGGGTGTACAACTGAAAATAGATAGATATGCCCTGCGAATCCATAAACAGTGCATTATGACACTATGTCATTGATAATTTAACCACTTACCTTTCCTGCAGGCTTTGACGAGCCAATTAACATGTCAAGTCCTCAAAAAATTAAACGGACTAAAATACTACGGTTGTGGGTCTTGTCAGGTTTAATTACACTCTGATTAATGAGATATAAGTAAAATAAAAGGACCTAAAGTAAATCACATGCTATAAGTTACCTTTTTCCCAACGCTTTTTTCTGACAATCGAAATTACTGTTGTAAAATTCATAAATGCGTTAGATCAAAATACCCTATCACCAAAACCTATCCAACAACGGCGAAATTTATATATATTGAGTGGAAAGATTCCGCTCTCCCTCTCGAAATGCTCTCACATGGCCACGCGTATATACCCTCTGCTATTGTGTTGTCTACGAAATTGAGAGGACGAGAAGCAAATGTCCGGAGCTTTGACCGGGTTCGTGAACACGGAGAGTCCACCTAGGGGAGTTGGAAAACACTGATTCCGAACTAATGGTGCACATGGGCTCCAGTATCCTGAAAGAACAAATGGCGTGTGAACCAATCGTTGGTCACCGACTACCATGGGACTGCATCTCCTTACGTTGCTGCACTGCCTTGTGGATCAGATATTCAGGTCAAAGGCTCCGGGTGAGGCCTCTTAAGAAAACCACCTGCTTCGTTTTGGGCACTCGGGCAATATCCCAGCCCTCACACATATCAAATGATATTTGTGTGGCGCATTTGCATCTGGTGCCTTCTTGTACCAATATCTATGTATTAAAATAAGTAAATAAAGTCATATTTTATATATAGACATGCTACTTTACTACATGAAACATCGTTCATCTGGCTAGTTATAATGACTTTGATTTCTAATCATTCGGGGGCCTAAGTCAATTATACGGTCTCATGAGTCGCCATCACTCGGTCAAATTATATCATTAAATTCATCGATCGATTTTAACCGAAATTTCGTCTCACACAATAACAATAATATGAGAGTACATTAACACATTTTTAAATAATGTAAATTTGTTAAAATCTCCATATACAAAATTGCATGCCCAATTTTGACGACACTAAGAGCTCTAAATAAGTTTTTTCCTATATATGTCTCAAGTCGATTGAAACCTTCAAAACTGTCTCAATATATAATCTGTAATGATACCGCTTTTCAGTTTATACATGTCCCAGTTTTAAACTGTTTGATCAATAAATTAGAATTAGTGAAACATAGACAGTGGGATTAATAACTAAGAAATGTGGATTTCAAGTCAACTAAAGCATTAGCCTTCCCTAAATACTAACAATCATACCAAAAACAACAAACTTCATGATCAAAAACTTGTGTAACCTTGAAATTGTAAAAAAAGACTGAATCTACGATTTCGACATTTTCCTGTTGATTTATCTGTTTGCTTCGTGTATATTTCAAATAAAACGAATCGATTTACTTTTAATTTTTACTTATAGACGTTCAATACTGGAAAGATCGTATATTTAACTGGATAAGTTTAAGAAATTTTGTAATAGCTCCTTTGGCTGAAGAACTTATCTTCCGTGCATGTGTTACATTTCATCTACTCCCTTTGTTCTCATCATGTGTTATGCTTTGTTTCGTTAGTTCATTATTTTTCTCTTTAGGTAAGTATTGCTTTGAAACTCGTACATAACTAGGACTTGTACCGATTTTACTTATTCCTTGGTAATATTCATTAGTTATTGGTTTACTTTGATGCGGATTTTATAACTGATTCTTTTTTATACTTCTGACCACCTCTCTACCTATTGAGTTAGAATTTTCACTGAAGTAATTCTTTGACAGTTATTTCAACCAAAGTTTATTCAATTAGCTTGCTAAAAGCGTGATGACTTAGTGACTGAGGCAGTTGACTTTCATCCATTTGTTCACAGTCTGGAATCCTGTTATATCTATTTTAGATTAGTAAGCTACTTTCATTCGTTTTATCACAGAGTGGGATGTAGTTCAATGATAGCCGCATAAAAATTTACCAGTTCAAATTGAAAGTTTGTGTGCTTTCAACAGAATCATTATAAGTGGCATCTTATTCTCCCAAAAACGTATACACAAATCAACATCGGATCACTTTATAGAAAATCAGATCGATCGCATTTTCATCAATAAAAAGTTCGGAAGGTCAATAAGATTAGTGAGAACAAAGAGAGGACCTAATATAGATTCAGATAACCGCTTGATGGTGGTTAAGATGAAACTGAAGCTAAAGAAGCACTGAGAAACGGAGAAACAGGATTACTGAGTTTAGTACAGCCTTCCTTCAAGATACTGACAAACTCAACGAATTCAAGATAACTCTGGAGAACAGGTTCCAAGCCTTACAAGATCTTTTCAGTGAAGTGGAAACTACTCTGAATGACAATTTGAAAGGGATTAAAGAAGCAGTAACTTCGACATACCAGGAGGTCCTGGGCCACAAGAAGCACTATCATAGAGAACGGATCTTCATCGATACCTGAACAAGATTCAATAAAGGAAAAACAAGATGACAATCAACAACTGACAAACAGGACCAGAGAAAACACTGGGCAAATACACAGAAGCAAACAGGCGAGTGAAGAGGATCATTAGAGTTGGTAAGCGGAAATATGTGGAAGACCTAGCAATGACAATGGAAAAAGCTGCGAGAAAAAGAAATAAAAGACAACTGTAAGACAGCAAAAGAGCTCGCTGGAAAATATTGTAAATCCGAGCGACCAGTCAAAAACAAAACAATCAAACCAATCACCGGAATTCAAAAACAGAGGAACAAGTAGTTAGAACATTTAAAACATATTTGTCGAAGTCATATTGATTTGCAAATCTCTCTCAATTCTCGTTCCTTTCGCCTAGTCCGTATCTCCATATGGAATCATTATTCTGGGTGTTGTTCATTCCGACCCTGGCGTTCAGGTCTCATATTAGGTTGGTCAGGGACTTTCCTGGACAGTTCCCCACGATCGTATGCAGCCTTTCACAAAACTGATCTTTATCGTTTCCACTGCTTTTTTGGTGGGGCATATCATTGGATGGCACTCACTGTAATCCTCTCTTTGTTTTGACGGATGCTCTGATAATTCAGGATCGACAAGATTCCCATTCTATTGATACTTTTTGTGTTTCTTTGGAAAGTATCAGTGCGACTTCCTGTGCGTGAAGCATTTTTTCTTTATGGTCAGAGTGCAACGACACCTCTTCTGAAGCTAGTCCTTTCTGTCCAATGAGTTTTACTTATTTCGTGCACAGCCTATTTGTATCTCCTCAACTTTGCATCTATTAAACTGGTCTTTCCGGTCTCTCACATCGTGCAGATATTCCATGTGCCTATGTTACTCGTTGCTCGGTTTGTTGGAGACGATACCGGTCTCGTTGCTCCCGAAAAATCTCGAATTTTACCATTTGTCATAATTCTAAATGAAAACCCTTTTACTCCCAGGGCAAAGTTTAAATGTCTTTCTTCTGATCAGTGTTTTTCTTATCAAGGTTGTTTTCTATGGGATGAGGTTGCTGACCCCATGCCAAATCCTCCTTCTTTATCCTCCAAACGCTCTGGTACGGCCGAAAGTGAGGAGAGTCAGCTCTCTCCCTCGAAGTGCTCTCACATGGCCAAGCGTATAGCCAGGGAATTACTACTCACTGCCTTCTCGTGGCGGAGGTGTTGTCTACGAAATTGAGAGGACGAAAAGCAAATATCCGGAGCTTTAACCGGGTTCGTGAACACGGAGAGTCCACCTAGGGGAGTTGGAGAACACTGATTCCGAACCAATGGTGCACATGGGCTCCAGTATCCCGAAAAAACAAATGGCGTATGAATCAATCGTTGGTCACCGACTACCATGGGACTGCATCTCCTTACGTTGCTGCACTTCCTTGTGGATCAGATCTTCAGGTCAAAGGCTCCGGGTGAGGCCTTTTAAGAAAACCACCTGCTTCGGTTTGGGCACTCGGGCAATATCCCAGCCCTCACACATATCAAATGATATTTGTGTGGCGGATTTGCATCTGGTGCCTTCTTGTACCAATATCTATGTGTTTAAATAAATAATAAATAATCCGGGCTTGGGACTATCAGTAATCCTAGAAGTGCTCATGATGGCTTGCCCTACTTAAACTCTACAAAGTTTTAGAAAATTTATTTTGTACCAATTTTCTTAGTAAAACTGCGCAATTTATGAGAGTGATAAATAACTTAAAATATTATAAATCTTATAGGTTTAATTAAAATAATTACCTTGCTCCCAATTTTATAATTGTTGTCTTTTACTTCGGTATCCCAAGCTGAATCGTTCGTCCAGCTGCCTTAGTCATTTGTCCATTATTAGTTCCAGCTGAATGTGCACAAAACTACATGTAGTTCCACCGATAAATAGTTAAATGTATGCACCTATGTGTGCTAATAATCTGCATACTATATTAAATAGAAATTCCTCTTTCATTAAGTCAAGTATTTAGTAGGTTTATACCAATTATTATTTTGTTATTATTGTCGTTCCATGTAGCCCATTTTCATCATGTTTTTGAATCAGTGAAAAGTGGTCAAGATCTGCAATCTGCATTTAAAACTTCACGTGAGTCCATTTATATCTCACTAACTTTTTTCATGAACTTATGTATTGCATAAAATAGCTATATTAAATCAACAAATCTAATAGTTATACACGTCGTTTATGCTGTATCTAACTACTCATGTTAAACAATAACTCAAGACATTTTCCTACATAAGAAAGAATTTGTTAAAGACAGTGAAAAGATTATCATCTCACGAATAAAAGTGCCTAAATCAAGAAATATCGTTTTTTTTCGTTTTGCTCGCATATAGGTGACCTAACGTGTGAGTAATGCTAACGTCAAGGATGAATAAAAGTCATTTCATATGATCAGTCTGTGAACCATTATCGACTGAGATAGCCGAAACATGTGGTACACATGTCTCGTAGATGAAATGCTTGTTATCGCAAGTTGAAGGAGAGAGTCGACCAAAGTAATTCACAACATCATTTCATTACAGTCTTCGGCTGTTTTTCTAAGCCATATAAGAAAACACATACCCCATAAGTGTGTTTAAACTCGTTCATTTAAATGCTTGTTTGTTGAAAATGATGACTATATGTATTCTTTTAATCGTCTTAAACAATAATGCAAATGTGTTTGGGCTGCATTCCTCTCCCTACTTCCGGACTCACTGGTCTACGTTCCTGACAAGATTTTTTACGTTTGTTCATTCATTTCTTTAAACACATAAACATTGGTACAAGGAGACAAAAAATATATGTGTGTCACACTTCATTATTCGATTTGTGTGATGGCTGCGAGGCCGCTCGGACGCCCAAACCGAGGAAGGGTCAGAGAACAAAACCCCACCGAAAAATGAACTTAGTCAGTTTTCATTCTATTTCATGCATACTAGACCACTTGACTTCACATGTCATTCAATTTTTATTGATATTGTTAACACACTTCTGAACGCTTGAATAGTTTGCTTTTTGTATTCATTTTAAAACTTTACAATCTATATATAACACTCAATAATCTTTTAGTTACTGTTTTGCAAGTTTGGTTATCTTTAAAATTTAACATCCTTTATTAATTTCCGAATATATACACGATCAGACAGGAGAGTTTCTTCTAAGTTATTCGCCCTGATATTCCCATTCCTAGTAGATGATTTTAAAGTATACTGAGAATTCCTCCGTAAATAAACGTCGTTTCACACTATTATTACCAGTTGGAGCTGCAATAATCATTTCAGATTTTTTTCTGGATCCTTGCGATGTGGGGAAGAGTTTCCAGGATCATCTAGTGTATTGTAAAATTGCGTTATTGGTTTTTTAGTTCTTTTCACAGACTGTTCGAATAACCCAACAATACAAACATGCTTAATAATCTTATTTCTTTCAATCACAAATGTATTTTCATACACAAGAAAATTATCTTACCATGAAACTCATTTGATAACTCGATGTTTTAATCGAAACAAATGACAACTATTTCAAGTCTTATTTCATAAATAATAGTCTCATGTAATAAGTGTGGTTGACAAATCAAATTTATCTGTGTATGGTCACAGACCCTCGTCTCTTTATATGTGTGTCAGAAACAAGATGGATAATTGTCATAATCACCAAACCATTTCTTTTACTATGTTCTTATAGTGATATGCATTTTATTACAAATAAATTGTAAAGCCTTATTTTTTTTACCTAGATTATCCAGATTGATAAATAGTATAGTAAATCAGAATCTACATCTAGTCCACATTTCATCAACATTCAGATTATTAATCTGCAAACACTCCCATTGTAAATTATAGCTTATTCACAAATACAAAACTTGAATCCTTGTTTATAATAGTTAGAAGGTTATAAGACTGACATTCCTTCAAGGTCCAATTATCAAAGTATTAACATAAAAATTGTCATAAATCTATATATGTATGTTAATTTTGTTCAGTGTATCAAAGTCACTATTCTATATGAGTTCTTTTATTTTTCGTGCTTATTATGCATAATTTATTTAGTCGTATGTTTTCTACTATAAGGTCACTATTAAATAAAGTAAATACACAGTAAATTATATTAAATTATCACACTACTTTTTATGTATATATTATTTATCAACTTAGTATACACAACTTTGTTTACATATTTTATTGTCTCGTAATTTGAATATTCTTCATAAATTCGTTTAAATGTTTAAACCTTCTTTCGAAGAAAATTCATTTGCATACATTTATTATTAGCCCCCAAATGCCCTGGTATGGCCGAGAGTGAGGAGAGTCAGCTCTCTCCCTCGAAGTGCTCTCACATGGCCAAGCGTATAGCCAGGGAATTCCTACTCACTGCCTTCTCGTGGCGGAGGTGTTGTCTACGAAATTGGGAGGACGAGAAGCAAATGTCCGGAGCTTTAACCGGGTTCGTGAACACGGAGAGTCCACCTAGGGGAGTTGGAAAACACTGATTCCGAACTAATGGTGCACATGGGCTCCAGTATCCTGAAAGAACAAATGGCGTGTGAACCAATCGTTGGTCACCGACTACCATGGGACTGCATCTCCTTACGTTGCTGCACTTCCTTGTGGATCAGATCTTCAGGTCAAAGGCTCCGGGTGAGGCCTTTTAAGAAAACCACCTGCTTCGGTTTGGGCACTCGGGCAATATCCCAGCCCTCACACATATCAAATGATATTTGTGTGGCGGATTTGCATCTGGTGCCTTCTTGTACCAATATCTATGTGTTTAAATAAATAATTAACTTTAAAATATAAAAATACATTCTACGAATTTATGTGGCAAACTTATTCAATAATCCAATCGCTTGAAAATTATATGTTAGATCACTTTAGAAATATTAAGACAATTCGACTAATAAATTGTCTTTTAATATAACTAAGAAAGGATGATTATATTCGTAATTAACTATAAATGGGATTATCAAATCGAAGTAGACTAATTTAAGCAAATTAAAATATTAAAAGTAAGGACGCCAATATGAGTACAATACTGAATAAAGAACCAACTACAACGCCTACCTCTCCAAAGTGACTCAAATCGACAGTTTTTAAATTGATAGACTAATAACACAAATAGATTTACTGTTGTCTTCTAACCTACTTCTGCTACTGGTCAGCAAAAGATTTCACTGTAGTTTCGATTAGACATTCTGACACATGTGCTAAGTAGTGAGTGTTCATTATTTCGTTAACCGGTTTTCCAATCTCCCTATACTTTAGGTACGATAACATTTGTCACTTCGTAACTCACACTCGACTTGTGCTTAAAAAAACTTTTGTAGTTAAACACTTCTGAAAAATGTTTGTTTTTTATAGAGTACGTCTGATACTCATCTATGAATATTAAGCGGATATCTCGGTTAATTTAGTGTTTAGATAAGTTGGCAATACATAATGAAGCTTCTTAAAATTATTTACGTAAACTAGTAAAACTATTATGATAAACAAGATGATCACTGTGACCATATTTTCCTCATACTGAGCTGCAAAGATTTAGGTAAAGATACCAAACATCTTAATACTCGGTTGCTGTTCTTAGTCTACACTTTACTTACCTTATCTTTGTCAGTTTCATAGTATTAGTAGACCTCATATCAAATGTGTTTCAAGTCTATTGCGTGACATTAGCACAGTAGGTCATGTTTAATACTGTTTATTTTTGTTCACTAATAAACCATAAACAGCACTGTGATGATATTTGTCATCTTGTTATTTATGACTTTATTTTAAGTTAGCTGGTGGCTTTTAGTTAATTGGAATTTACTTCTCACAAGTAATTTGTAATTTTGGTTATTAGAATTATAACCATGGAATCTAAACATATTATAATTATTATATTTATCTTCTGAATTTCCATAAAGTTCCTATCGTTTCTTATTATTTACTGACTTCATTGTGATCATTTGAAACGTTATTTATTTCTAAAGTTTTCCAAGTGTTTTACACAACTCTATTTGGAACGTATTCTGGATTTCTGATGCTAAGAACTGGTAAGTTTATGTATTTTTAGTTGTACAGCATACACTTTTTATATTCGTGAAGTTATTTTTAAAATTGAAAACTGCAATATTAATGGTAGGCCTAGATATTACGTCACTGTAGACAATCTGTAATTAACGAAAAATACAGTCGATGATAAAGCTGAGATGTATATTGGTAAAATATAATCCCTTAATAACTTTGCTTTTCTATGCAATAGGATGGTACTTCGTTGTTTGTACGTTATTCCGTGATTTCACCATTCAGTAACGTTACTAACGTATGTATGCGGCTCTTCGAACAGCTTTTTAAAGCTGCGCTACATGTCAAGGTTGTGGTAGTGTGTATTAAGGAAGATAAGCGTGAAAATTGCGTTTAGTAAACGCTTGGTTAATCCGTTTCCTATGTTAAAATTCGAAATCAATGAAATCACAAAATTGTAAAAATTAACCAGTAAGCATCGTCATTCTTTGAAGAATCCTCTCATACAGTTTATCAGTCTCACTGAAGTTATAGTGATCTAGCATTGTGAGTAACATTTGGGAGCTTATTCACAATCCAAATCATGATAAATATACACAAAACATCCTTCTATTTGTTGCAATAGATTAATTCAATGTAAAATTTAAGCTAAAAACTATTAATATTCTCTTTTCATGGTCATTTCTATGTGATATTTGAAATAAATCTAGATCTATTCAGTTTTACGGAATTTTTTTATGAAGCGTTATGGTACTTTATGCAATTATTTTTACACATTCTGTATCTGAACTGGTTAAAAAAAAGTAAAGCGGACGAGATTGAACTTGTATTAATCGTTCCTCAAGGTTGTCTGTCGGATAATGGTTATTAAATAAAGTTTGAGTGGAATTTGTTGTGTTTACAAAAATCTGTCTTTGTACTACATGATTTTAAAGGTAGTGATAAGGTTGATTCCGGTCTGTGCGCTTCATTAAGAAGGATTTATCCAGTCTCTGAACTGGTCTCATTGAGACATTCGAAAGTTGTGAAATACTCACTTAACGTTACTTCCGATTTCGCTTACCAGTTTAAAGTGCGTGGCGAATCCCATACATTAGATGAACAGAAATGAGAGTTATCGATGTCATCTCCAGTCATATTACGTTTTAATCAAGCCATCACTTTCAAACGACTCAACTCGGATTTATGCTTTCAAAAATTTACTGTTCACAGTCTTACAATATCCTAGTGTATTCAGTTCCCAATACTTAGTTGCGTGACGTATCCCTTTATGTTTGCAATTATAAATTAATTTTCTTTACCCCTTCTTGTATTATCTTACACGAGCTTTACTCATTTTAATCCCGTAATCAATTCATGTTTTAGTTTTTATTATGTAACTTTGAATTTTTCAGTAGCTTGTCTCCAGGCGGTTTGAAATTTTCGCTTTGACTTCACACTTCATCTAACATAGAAATTTTCAACCACATGAACGTCTCTTATAATTTTTTCATACTTATTGCTACTTTTACTAATTGCTGTTGGTGAAAACTTTACTAAAATCATGATATAAAGTATATACACCGTTTTCTAAATACTTAATACTATCTTTTCTAGGTTCTAAGCAATAGAAGAGAATTCACGAAATAAATTAATTAATGTTATTCCACTATGATCTTTGTTCTGGCTTTATTCAAATTTAGAAATAAGAAATGTTTTATGAAATAGGACGTTTACTACCAACTGTGCTGACATCGGCTCTAAATCCAGACTCATTCTGAATATGTCTTGAGCATTTCCAGTCTTAGTAACAATTGTATGTTTAGTCACCTCGCGATCTATTATTTAGTGTAATTATTGGTGACATAAATACGATATACGACAATCCGCTTGGGTTTGAACTAGTGATTTAAGCACTCAGCATTTGAATAATAGATTTCAAGACTCCAACCCCAATTTATCTAGTGTTTAATCAACTGATTAGTCCACATTAAATACGGTTTGCAGTAAAAGGTATAGAATTATGTTTGTTATTTGAATTGTATTAAGATCAAATTTAATCGGAAACTTCAGTCAAAAATTTTATCATGCTACAGAACAAGGGTTATGTTGAGTAATAAGATCACTATCATTATTAGGATTTGTGTATTAACAGTTGAATTCACAAGTCGATCTATGCCAAACCGCCATTGGAAACCTAGATGCGTGCGGGACTGTGGGTGTGCACTACTGAGGAGTCACATACTAGGACGAAACGGCCATTGAGTAGTTCCAAGTTTTAAATGGTGTTCTAGCTTAGATTGATTCGTGAATTTAACTGCTAAAATTAGATCGCTGTTTGTTTTTATGGTTACACACACTATATGATCTGACTCATATAGAAAATTGATCTAATCACACATTTGTGTATTGTATTTGAAATTCTAAGTGGTTTACACTAAACAGCATTTGGTTTCATAATTCTTCAACTGTGATTCTTACAGAAATATTTAACATGGTTACTGTTTAAATACAGCTTACAAATTTCGATTTCGTTTTGTTATATAAATGTATGATCGAATTGTGCATCCAATAAATTTCTAACTAGATAAGATAGCATATTATCGTAAAAATTGACGACTTTATGTCTAGTGGAGATCAGTCGCAAACGAAATTAGTAGTGTAACTACGGGTGACTTATTTTGTTCACAATTGGTCTCCAGATAAAGCGCCATTGATTTTGTGTATGTTATGGTATTTTGTCCTGTAATATCGATTTCAACAACAATATTGGTCATCTCTAAGCAGATGGTAAGACATTATCTATATTCAAAAAACCAACAAATTGGTCATAGCATTGTGTCTGAATGTTTTCTTGCTGATATCTGTTTCTGTACACTATCATTCAAAATATTTGTTTTCGTTTCAGCACTTAATTCCTGTGTACTTTGTATACATTGTAAAGATTATTACAAAATAAGCCAAATATGTAACCTTTGTAAATTAGTTATAAATGTGTTTTGAACTTAACCACATTACGTGAATATTATTTGATGAAAGGAATTAGAATAATTTTATTTTATTTATTTGGGTACGTCTTTAGAGTCTTATAAATGGTATGTTTTTTTCGTCTGATATTGTTACCTGCATCTGTGTACCGGATGATTTAACTTCAAAACTTTAACTAGTGGTCTGTACATTAGGAAACTGCACCATCAGAAGCATCCGACTGAACAACAAATTTTTCTCATGATTTCATTTAGTAATTTTTCCATCTATTTTATTAACAAAAATGAATTGCGATATAGCTTGAACTTTCCAAATAATGAGGTTTCTTTTTGTTCATTAATTCATTATAATTTGTCATTCGACCTAATAATAGATCGTTACATGTTGTTTTGCTACTTCCTTTTTGTTGATTTTTTAAAAGATGCATTCTACAATAATTCATCATTTAGGATGTTGGTATAAATCTTAATATGATTCGCATAAGAACTACACTGTTTTTAAAACAGTCAGGAATTGTCGAGTATGTATCTTATTTAGCAGTTTACTTACCAGCTTATTTTTCCATACTAACAGTATTAAAATGAACAGAAATGTTTTAATAAATGTATTCTCTGGAAACTTGTAGATCATTACTTGACATATTCTATTGTATACATATAAGGTGCTCAGTTGTAAAAGATAATATACTCTAGTGCAAACTCATATTTAACTGGTAAGTTTGTTAAAATGTTCTGAATTAGTGTTAGTTTTGTATATGTTATGTCTATATTTAGATATAAAATTGTTTGTTCCACTTGTAGAAAAAATTTCCTTAATGTCTTGTAGTTATATTGCAAGTATATGTGATAGTATGAAATACCTACTTATCTATGTTTTGTTAAACTTACTAAAAATTTAATTTACTAGCTACTTTTTCAATACACATTTCATCATATTTCGTTTACTTAATAGGTAATATTGCTTCAAGTATTGTTACACACTCCTTGTGCAACTTCTTCGGGTTACCAGATTTAATAGGTGCCGTCGAAAGAGCTAAGTATCGTTGGGGTTTCTCTGGTCAAATTTTCGCTATTGGATCTCATCTTTTGGGGTTACTTTTATGGGCATATTTGTTATATCAAATGACTGAAACAAAATGGTCCTCATCAAACAACTGTCATTGTGATTGGTATTGAGAGTATTCATGCCCATATGAATTATTATTTTTGGTGTTCATAGGACTGATAAAGTTTTTAAATTTTCGTTTCAATTAGACTGAATATTCCTATCTGATTTACAAATATTAAACATTTCTACAATCCCGGTAAACAGCAAATTTCTGTTCATCGAAGGTACAAAAGTAGTAGGAATTAAAACAGATTTTCGGAACTGTATTTAAATTTTGTGCTGTTAAGTATTTACTCGTACGCCATTATTTTATTTGTTGTTTTACATTGTAAATGTGTACCCTTCCTAAATCTGTCATAATTATCAAGGTTTTCCTGTTTTTCGGTAGACGATCTATTACGTATATTTTAACAATATGTAGGTTAATTACTCGTATATTAATTACTGTTGGTGTCTTATAGACCACTTAGCTGGATTCTTCAGGTGCTACATAGACATATGCTCAGCTGAGTGAATTCCGGTAATTTCATGCTGTCTTTGAGATACCACCTTACTAATTAAGTCCTCCGTTGTTCGACTGCATGCAGTGGAGAGCTGGGAAGTCAGGTTGGGAGGCTTTTGTATCATAGGACTTCCACGTATGCGTAAAATGAGTATTTAGAAATATTTGTAAACACATTCAGTCCAATTCATTTTTCATAGACATCAGTTTCCTTTAGTGTTTTTACGCTTGTTCGGGGGCTCCTTTTAGTTCGGTCTCTTTGTTTCTGGAAAAAACTTGTGGTTGGAATAAGTAAAAATGCTTGAACACTTTCATTCTCTGGACAATAGTCTCAACCTATAGTTTTGTATTTTAACGATTTTATTATCATCAAATACTATTGCTGGTTTAACTATTAAATTTCAGAGAATTTTGGATGCTTACATCAGATTTGTTGCAGGTGTGTATTTCTGCATCCTTCACAACCAATCTTGATCTAGATGTTATACTTCCTGCATTTTCCTCGTAAAATGTTTACTTACATGTTGTGCATCATGTGAGATATATATAAGTTAATAATAATCCACTTGATCTGAAGTGACTACAAACGTTTATCGCTGTATATAAATTGAAATTATTAGTTAATGATTAGTTTCGAAAACCCGCTTACTGGTTTTTACACAAATGCTACTCAGATTAGTCAGCTTACTTGTAAATTTGAGAGCTGTGCATCACGATTGCGTGTATCTACTTACAGAAAAGATTGGGATTGAGTTCATTTCAGGTTTATGTTGAGAGTCGTGAGAATGTGAGTTTTGATCATTTATATTCTTCGCTCTTATTAAACTGACAGTATTTGGTTGAGTATATGTATTGTGATACCTGGGTGCGTCGGCGTTTTCGCTTTTGCAATCTTCATATTGGTAGCGGAAACTGCATATTTTGAGGAAATTCTCGAACATAACAACGGGTAAACTTGACATTTAGTATAGTCGGATTTCAAAGCTTTGGGGTGTCGCACCAGATTCCAAAGCCGTGTGATCACATCATCTGACAAGGTGGGGTTGTGTGTAACCGTGACTGGTGTGATCTACATGGTTAAGATGTCCAGAAGCAGTATGTTTCCCTGTTTCAACAAGCCCATGGTAAGGATTGTAATGACCATGTTTCAGAATCCTTGACCGGTTCAATTTGTTAAAACTCACGAAGTGTCTAAGTTCACTTGAACTAATTCTGGGAGTGAATATATATACCGAGACAGTCTACATACTGACCTATTGAACGACAGGACTTTAACTAAATGATGAAGCTTGAGTAGATCTCCAAACGGTCACGGTGCAAAAAGTCTTCTTTCATGTTCATGTAGTGTCTCGGCATTGGTCCGACTCATTCGCAATTACCAAACTATTCTGACCATCCTCCTTGAATGGGAACCCAGGTGATTCTATGTGCCTCGATAGTCCCCGCCCATGAAGTTTCTGAGCTCTAACTGGTCCTGTACCAATGTTACTAATACTACATGCTTGAAAGATTAGAGTGTTACCTATACTATCAAGCTATATATGTGCATCTACACCTCTCGGGAAATCAAATCACTTGTTAACCAATGCTTTCCGTTTTCTTTTGAGGTATTGTGTAGCGCAAGATGACCTTATTTAGTTACTTTTAATTGCTCCACTACGATCATTTTTTGAATATGGGAATAATCCGGCTATCAATTAATGCATAACAATTGCTGATCAGTAGTTATCCCGAAATAGTACCTCGCGCTGCACGTACATATCATGACGGCTACCTCTAAAAATTTGACGTGCATGAGCTGGCGGACTTATACATAAAAATTGGCATCCAGGGTATGGATTTTGTGTTCGGTTTATCTCATCGACATAGTACTGTTGTGAACACAAATATCGAACTGCAACTAACACTTGGAACTTACTCAGAACCTCATTAATATTTAAGGTATTCACTGAAAACATGGGGGCTACTATCTTAGGTTATTCGTGAGTGACCTCGGTCATGTGAGTGCAAATTGTTTTTAATAGCATCCAATATGACAATCATATCCCAAATAAATCAACTTGATTGCGACATTTATTTTTTCTTGAGAAGTCGATATATTTATGTATTCAACTATTTCGATTTCACAGTCTGTCTATAAAAACATGAGGTTTCACAGAATCCTACAATTTTATGAACAAAACAGATTATGCCGGATAGCATGTGATCGGAACTTCATATATGAAATCTAAACAAGCGTGCAGAATTTACCGATCAATCCAGAGCAAACCTACTACATTGTTTTCAATGTGGTGGACATTTTCCTCAATACGATTTGTTTTTATGGGGTAAAGCTAGTATCTCACAGTTGTTAGGACCTAATAACACAAATACCGCTGACGATCCATAGCTAGTGGTTCCAACAAAATGAAAATGGGCTCAACAGAAATATGTGTGTTAATAATAATAATTTATTCTCAAATAACAGTTTGTTACATGAGGCATGCCAGTTTACAGGCAAGATCAAATTGATACAATATACACTGTAATAAATTACATAGCTGGGTTGATAATTTATAAGATATGAATGTAGATGGTTTTAATCAGTACTACAGTTGGCGCGCTTCATGAAAGTTGCGTTGCGAATGTGAGGCTGATGGTCAAGGATAGGTCCATTGAAGGTATGAGCTTCTAGAAATCGCAACCTTATGTCCCTTTGGGATATCCAAGGCTTTAAGGATGGTGCAGGGTGAAGTCACCAGTTCCATATCTCAAGGGGGCTGAAAGAGGGAGCAAGTAAAAGAAAACACGAGAGGCAGAGTAGCCAATATTCATGAAGGAATGTTTAAGGTATAATTACTCAGTCTAATTTACCTTTATTAAGGTATGTGTTAAGAAAGAGCATTTTAATAGGTTAAAGAAAGTAAGTGTTGACAAGGTGTGAGTGGCCATACAACTGATAAATGGGGGCGATTCGGAAAAGAGCTGATAGTATAAGATTATGTGTGATTATAAAATAAAATATGGTGTGTTGCGTCCAAATGCTAAATTAGTATGAAAGTGTGACAAATATCGAAGCCAAAACGACACTCCTGTTGAAAGGCTACGTGCCAGTTTTCCTTTTTTGATCTTCAATTTCTTCATAGTATTGACGCTATATTTGGATTTTATTGGACAACACAATGGGTTTTAAACTAGTTCCAGAGTTACTTAAGAATATATAACATATGTTACAATAAAAAATACAACATACACATCTCATTGAACGCGATGAAATGAGCTGTCTTGGTAATTAAAATATATCAACATTCACATTCTAACTTATTTAAAAGTCAAGTGAATTGGTCAAATCACTAGGTTCTTCTATGCACTGTATGAGATGTTTAGTCACTTACAGTCAACCGCTATGTCCCAAGGTTTTCAACCCATTTATTGGTAAACTAATCATGACGGTAGTATACAATAATCTTAAGTCATATCAGAAACTACAAAACATTTCATCAGCGACTATAAAAAGTGATGCAAACTCAGAACCGCTATATAAACACATTATCGTATGATGATAAAAGTTGAGTACATATGTATCAAACAGTATCTCGTTCATAATCCCAAACTTGGTTTGGTTTTTTGTACCACGGACTAGGAAAATTGAATTCAATGTAGTGGTTTAGCTTAGTTAACCGATCACCCAAGTAAACCTTATCATACAAACCTCAACGGTGTTTGAAATCAGGAGGCAAAAAGAAGCAGAAACTACAATTTATTAGCGGGTAGCGCAGGTCGCAAAGCTATAAGCACATCAAGCGAATTTGTAGTAGATAGGTGAATATGTATGAAGCGAACAGAACAACGGTGGGGACAACCGAATGTATTTAACACAAAATTACAGGACTTGTTAATAAAATCTAACAATTATAAGATGCTTAATTTTCAAAATATTCACCAATTGTCTCAAAATGAATCAGACTTCATTATTCTTGCATTTTTATACAAGATGCATCCTGCTTCCATTCTTTACTGTTCGATCCTCTTGTCTCTCTGCTGCCAAACATTGTGTTCACGACTAGCATCATATACAACTTATGTCAATATGAGTAGCACACATCACATACATATGTATGTGCATATATATGCGAGCAATTGCATATGCAAATTTATAGTCAAATTTCATAAGGGCACGGCAAGGCGAAACACGTGACAATAGCGTGATTCGAGTACATATATCCTTGTGGGAGTAGTATGAATCGCCGAGTGATATTTAAGTGATCGAAATTTTAGCTAGAGATTGTCACATTTTCTGGCGATCGTAACCGTACAAATAAATATTCGAATTGTTACTGTCTAAATAACATTGTCTGTTAAGTCAATAAAAGGTCTTGAACAAAATTAACCAAAATCGAAATTGTTTATAGGAAAGTTGATATAATCATAATGATTATTCGATATATGTTTTATTTAAAATCATGAATCGATCAATGTTATAACAACGTTGAAAAGTTTGGCGCACTGTATGACCGTTTCACTATAGAATGATACTCCACAGAAGTACGTAGTTATGAACTTGCACAAGAAACTCGAACTCAGGATGTCCCGTTTCACGCAAACTATGAGCATATAGACCACTGGGGTGGTTTCCTACAGCGTTGGTGTTGGACTTCAATCAATTCACAATGTCGCGCGGTTATATTCTCTCCTACTCATTAGGTAACTATAACGCAAACCATACGCTTTGAATCCGTGTTTACATACATATAATTTACGTATTCGTAAAACAAAAAGAAGCGATCGAAGATGACACATATGCAATGGATTTTGATTAAGTGTTACGCAACATGTTTTATATGGAAAAAAATTGCTGACATTTAAAAGAGTAGATGGTAAGCCAACATGAATACATAAGATCATAAATAATGAGTTCGAACATAATAGTACATAATGATTCGAAAAAAAGTGACTTACTAAGAGATGTACTAAATGCTGCAAACTACGCAGCAGAAAACTCCGCCTGTAGCTCTTATAGGGTTACTGTCGGAACTCATACGACGGACTACAGTGCAAAGTCGTGCATGGATGACAGCTGACAGATGCATTCCAAGTAAGGATCGGAGTCAGACAAGGCTGTTTACTCTCTCCCTTCCTCTTTCTTCTGGTGGTCGACTGGATTATGAAGACCTCGACATCTGAAGGAAAACACGGAATACAATGTACAGCTCGAAATCAATTAGACGATGTAGACTTCACAGATGACCTAGCCCTCCTATCGCATACAAATGAACAAATGCAAATAAAGACAGCCAGTGTAGCATCAGTCTCTGCATCAGTAGGCCTCAGCATACACAAATAGAAAACCAAGGTCCTCAAATTCAAGGAGGAGAACAGCAATCCAATAACTCTTGATGGCGAAACTCTGGAAAATATAGAGTCCTTCACATACCTGGGAAGCATCATCGATGAACAAGGAGGTTCGGATGCAGACGTAAAGGCAAGGATTGGCAAAGCAAGGACAGCATTCCTACAGTTAAAGAACATATGGAACTCAAAACAACTTTCAACCAATATCAAAGTGAGAATCTTCAATACGAACGTCAAGGCAGTTCTAGTGTATGGAGTTGAAACTTGGAGAACTACAACAACCACAATCAAGAAAGTACAAGTATTTATAAATAGCTGTCTACGCAAGTTACTCAACATCCATTGGCCGGGTACCATCAGCAATAGCCCTCTGTTGGAGAGAACAAACCAACTTCCAGCTGAAGAAGAAATTAGGAAAAGACGATGGAAATGGATCGGATATACATTACGCAAATCGTCAAACTGCACCACGAGGCAAGCCCAAACATAGAATCCTGAAGAGAAGCGAAAAAGAGGAAGGCCAAAGAAAATATTGCGTCGGATAATAGAAGCAGATATGAAAACGATGAATTACAACTGGATGGAGCTATAAAGGATTGCCCAGGACAGGGTTGGATATAGAATGCTGGTGGGCGGCCTATGCTCCTTCACGAGGAGTAACAGGCGTAAGTAAGTAACGCAGCAGAAACATTCCCCGAATACAAACGTTCAGTACTTGATTAGTTATTGGAATATTCCTAACCGAATGAGGTCAAAATCTCGTCCACATGAATCGATTCCATTACCAAAGATTTTCATCGGAGAGCTGAATAGTATCAACGAAGTATTAAACTATGCTCTTGATTTCAGTAAATTCAGAGTTCCTAATACTTACATTCTTCTTCTATACGAGATAATCAATCTAATCAAATGTAAAACGTATTATGACGTTTTGTATTTGATTAAGGTAATTACCTGAACTGAGTCAAAAAATTAGTTTTGGACAATGATGTCTGGAATACCTGGAATATGGCAACATTAGTCCAGGATACCATGTAGATTAATTAGTATCAGCACAATCAAAGAAGACACTCTGGATTGTTTTTTTCTGTCCTTACTGTCACGAACAACCGATATCCACCTATTAGCTTGATTTTTTCCAAAACCTGCTGCTGTTTATAGAACCAACCAGCATGTAGAGTGTTTGAAGGCCAGACAATTACAGCTGCAAATGATTGGGTGTGTTTTGTTTTGTCTATACTTCACCTGAAGAAACGGTATACTTCATACTCCTTCATCCGGTAACATTTAATTTATGACAAACAGTTTATTAACATCCTAATAAAAAGTACCTTGATAACTTTCACGTAGAATGAGTCAGAATAGATAATTACGTGAACTCAGCATAGTCTTATAAGTTAAGTGGTCATACAATGGCCGTTTCGCAGTGTCACATTTGATATATCAGTTTAGTAACGTACCAAACTACCATAATGTATGCACAGATCAAATCCTTCAACGCGTCGATAACTTGTTGACTTTGATTAAACAGGCATCACGATTCATCTCAAAATAAATGTCTTTTGAACAAAAAGAGGGACGAATTTTAAATCGCTAACAAGAGGAGACACAGTAGATATTGGATTTCAGATTTTTTTTGCAAATTTAAAGCAGTCACGGATCATCTGAGTCTTAGAACACCAGAAATCAATATAAGTCCCTTACTGACGAGATGACTTTATGATAAAAATATCTGTCAATTAATTTTCTTTATTTTCATCATTTCACTCATCCGTATATATATATATATATATATATATATATATATATATATATATATATATATATATATATATATATATATATATATATATATATATATGGAATGTATCAATATTCTCTTGTGCTTCCTGAATTGGTACAATTTGGAAATCTCATGTTATCAACTCCATTTATGATTGTTACAGTGTGATGACAGTGGAAATAATTATCGATTTCTCTTATAAACAAATGTAAGTTGATTCTATATAATGCATGAGACCGACCTCAACTAATTTAAACACAAAATGTACGCGGTGAACCCAACTGTTTAAGGTCGTCGGTTTGAAGGAGGTAACTTTGATCCTGTCCTGACTACCTCGTCCTGTAGTCGCGGTAAATTAGGAGTGTTTATCAAAGTTTTTGGTTTAGAATTATTTAAGTGTCATTTGCTTGTTCTTGGCTTTTATACTGTGGTTGATTTATGTGACATACCTTAAGGTTTGTTATTTGATATTATAAAGGTGGTAAAATAGATAAGAAGGTAGAAGTTATTTCCAAATAAATGAGTTCAGAATATTTATAAGTTCAGGTTTTCCACAAGTTTATCACTATAATCCGTTGTTGTACGTAGTATTTTGTTGGTATTTGAATACTGTACGTGTGTATTTTGGAACGTGTCTGCTGATTATTGTTAACGTTTAGTGCTTATCTTTCTAGAGGTCTAGATATTCTCAGAAAGCCTTAGCCCATCAAATACTGAAGTGTATCGGGGTATTTGCTAAAGTATTTGGACGATGTGGTGTATGGAAGTGATATATCAAACCTTCGACAGCAAATGTTCTTCAGGATGTTTTCAATTTTAGGTCACGAGTACCACTTATATTAAAGTCATTTTTTCCTAGCTGTTGCAATGACTGTTTCTAATACTGTAATCATTGTAAACTATTTCACTCAATGTGATTACCTTCCAACCATGTATTTTTGACAGTCATGTGGAGATGAATGTCCCAGATTTGATGAATAATAAACGTTTTGGAATATTTAAAATCGCTAAATAGGATCTCGTACAATAGAATGTGTCTTATGATACACGGTGGTTAAATTTTTGTTTATTTATTTAAAGATTATTGGTACAAGTAAGCACCAAATAGATATTCGCCACGTAGATCATTCGATTTGTGTGAGGGCTGGGATTCTGTCCTGGTGCCCAAATCGAAACAGTTAGTTTTATTGGGATGTCACAGCCGGAGTCTTTGACCTAAAGGTCTAATCCACAAGACAGTGGGATAATATAAAGAGATTCAGTCCTATGGTAGCCGGTGACCACTAACTGGTTCATACACCGTTTGTTTCCTCAGGATCCTGGAGTTCATCTGCACCACTGGTTTGGAATCAGGGTTTTTTATAACTCCCTCGGGTGAATTGATGTTCATATATGGATTTTCGTTGGATAAACCACTTTTCAAATTGGTCTCAATAGGCAACACAGTTGATTCTACTCCCAAGTCGCATGCTTCAATACGAATTATTACACAGGGAAGCAAACATGATTGGATATCATTCAGAAAATAACGATTCGGATGATGCAAGTACTGGAGGTCACACTGTCTTCAAAAGAATTGCGACCTGGCTGTCAGACTAAATCTTTACTTCGTCATTTCAGTAACTGCTAATTCATCAAAGTCACTTTATAGTTCAATCTTGTCAATATCGCCACAAAAATTCACTCAAAATACCATTGTCTTTCCCTTGCCTACTAGGAGCGTTGGCCCTTCAAAAGTATTATGAAAGTCATTTCGACTGTTAACTTAAGATAGGGCTTTTCATTTAGTGATTAATAAAGGTGTTAATAAGGTGAAAAGTATTACACATGTACTGTTACGTCGACTGAAACCAGTTACGTCACCAGAATTAGCAATCCTGTCTAGCCCTATTCCTTATCCAAAATGGTCGAGAAAGCTAGTCGCAATATTCATCTCTCCCTATATTTCTGGTCATCAGAAGTAATAACCTCAGTTAGGTCATTTTTTGCGACGTTTCTGTACTTGGTTTGTATGTGTCAACTCATGTCTATTACCGCAATTTTCCTTCTCGAACAGGTAATGGGGCTGTGCGATGCGTTAAGAGGAAACGTGATTTACGAGACGATAAGAGTAAGATGATTTTTCATAGGATTTTATAACTGTATTGTTTTTCATTTACTACAGAATATTACGTTTACTAATTTTTTTATGAACCGTTAGCTTATCATTTATTATTCTTTTTTTGGTTGAGATCATGAATCAATTGATGTTAGACCACCGTTGGAAACCTGGAAGCACTGGACGGCCGTTTCGTCCTAGTATGGGACTCCTCAGCAGTGCGCATCCACGATCCCGCGAGCGGGATTCGAACCCAGGACCTACCGGCTTCGCGCCTCAGCACTTAACCATTAGACCACTGAGCCGGCATCCAATGGTGTTAGTGTCTAACATCAACCAATCCACGAAATTGCGCGACCAACTTCCATTTTACTGAGGTAGATAGCTGTCTCTACCCGACACGGATTAGCTCCACTGGTCACGACTTCTCACTAGAACTCCGAGAATTCCCTCACGAAGCTAGTCACTAGTGAGCACATGTTAATTATCAGTATGGGGGTTGTGGAGATTGTTAAGTTTTTGGTTGAGATCATGAATCAATTGATGTTAGACCACCGTTGGAAACCTGGAAGCACTGGACGGCCGTTTCGTCCTAGTATGGGACTCCTCAGCAGTGCGCATCCACGATCCCGCGAGCGGGATTCGAACCCAGGACCTACTGGCTTCGCACCTCAGCACTTAACCATTAGACCACTGAGCCGGCATCCAATGGTGTTAGTGTCTAACATCAACCAATCCACGAAATTGCGCGACCAACTTCCATTGTACTGAGATAGATACCTGTCATTTATTCGCAGTCCCACAAAACCAAGCAGCTTCAGTTGTTTTTACAAGTTAATGCTAATCAGCATCTACTTTATTGTATGAATGTATAGAAACTGAATTTTCTTTGCTAAAAAAGTTTATTGCCCATCAATAAGCTCTTTGTTTATTAGATAATAAAGTGCTTAATCATATAATCTCTATGATTTCAGTGGGTTTTTTTATGTGAAATAACTAAAATGCTTACGTTTAACTTTAAAACCAAAAATCAATTGCCAGTTGTAAGATATAGTATACTTCAAATACTAGTGTACTAAGAAACCAATTTTTCTGAAATGCGCTCATTCATAAAAAGTTTATGGAAGATCTCAAATTATATTAGAGATACGCAATAATAAATAGCCATAACCCTTAATGTTACAGAATGCACTTAAGTATATTTGCAGTTCAGCTAATCGCGATTTTGAATGGAAGTGCTAAAATCCCACATGTATCAAATACACATCTTACATGACATTTATTTTTCCTCTGGTTTAGCTTAAATTTCTTTAAATCAGATGATTATACCAGGATATAAAGTACAAATACTTCGGTTCATGTCCCCTTTGTTATAAGTTGTATTTGGGCACCGCACAACTCCAACCGTCATTGTATCCTATTTAAAATCAAGGTACATAAAGTAAAAACAACACTGCTTTATATTGTTCTTCAGGTCATATTCAATATTTACACAACTCAAACTTACAACCCAAATGCCATAATACAAAGCTATGTTTTTGAGTGACTAATTTGAGGATTTTACTTCCTGACTTCCATCCTAACTAGCATCCATAGGTTTTGCAGTGGTAAGCTGATCTGCTTTCTCCGCCATCAGATACATTTCCCCTAACTTTCATTTCTAATTTCACAACTAATTCTCATGTAGATCAAAAGATAAGTAAATTTGCGTATTAATGTACTAACAGTCATGACAAGGATTGGCAAAGCAAGAACAGCATTCTTACATTTAAAGGACATGTAAGACTCAAAACAACTGTCAGTCAACATCAAATTCAGAATCCTCAATACAAACGTCACAACAGTTGTATTCACGGGGCTAAAACGCGGAGTACTACTATAACCATCATGAAGATAAAGGTATTTATAAACGGTTGTTTAGGCTAGATATTCCATATCCGTTGATCAGATAACATCAGCAATAACTTATCATGACAGAGAAAAAACCACCTTCCATTCGGAGTGGAGATTAAGAAAAGACTATGGAGGTGGATAGGACATACATTGCTGAAATCATCAGATTGTATCACAAGGCAAGCACTTGGAATCGTGAAGGAAAAGGCAAAGAAGAAGACCAAGGAACACATTGAGTCAGGAATTGGAAGCAGACATAAAAAGAATGAATAGCAACTGGAAAGGATTACCCAGGACAGAGTTCGATAGAGAGTCGTGGTTGGCAGCCTATGCTCCTCTGAGAGGGGTAACAGGTGTAATGTCAACTTCAGCCATAGTTAGATATTATAAACGGCGTATTATCCACTTACCCTAATGAACTCTTTATCAAATGTTACTTATTCACAAAATATTAGTGTTTTTATCTTTTCATAGTCTAATTGCATTAAGGCTCATCAAATTGATTTGCAACAAACAGTCATTATTTCTTCAGCAATACTAACTTGTTTATTTTTAAAATGCTTTTTTTTAACTCATAAGTACTAATCATATTACTCTAATATAATTAAATCAACAGACCAATGCACTTCTAATAATCTTATGTTTTATGTTTTATTGTACTTAGCCTTATGTTATGTTATGTTTGCCAAATGATTCATCGGCTTCAGAGTCGTATTTTTCTGAATTGAAGTGTGCATCTGCCTATTTGGATTGTACCTATTTTATTCTACGTGTTATTAATAATGAGTTGTTACAGATAAAGCAATCGGCTAAAATGAAGGTTAGTTTGTAAGTTAACCCATAGAATTCATGAATTAGTCTTTTTAATTAACGTTCTCGTGTGGGGTTTAAGACCATTGTACGCTATACCAGTTAAACACTTCCCCACCGAGACTTTGTTACACTGAGTTTTGCTTGATGGTTCTGCTTCGGGTTTCAGGTATAATCATACATTTCGTACATCAGTGACTGTACTTGGTAAATAATGCTTCTAAAGTAGTGTGACAAGTATTTGAACAGTGTGGATTGTCATTCAGTGATTGCTTTGTAGTCTGACGTCGAGTCGCGGTTGACTATGATCTTCACTAAAGGAAGACTACGTGCCAGTTAACCGATAAGATCCCTCGTAAGCCAAATATCAGAAAGCAGTTGATGGCTGTATTCGAGATGTATTTGTTGGCGATCTCGTGGTATTGAAAGAATACCAAGATCATGGTAGGTTACAAGTGTGCTCACTGAGCGTAACCGAATTCGCGCAAGGTCACAAGCAACGGAAAAATGTATGTATTTTGGTACAGTTAAACAAACAAGTACGGTAAATCAATCCCTGGTACAATTGGTTATAATATTAATTGTTTCAATTATACCAATCGCGTTCTCTTGATAAAAGTAGATCACTACAGATTCATCTTACAATGTCAATGAATTAGGCATTTTCACGTACACTATCCCAGTGCTCTTATACGGTTAGTTTCGTGAGATACATATTCATCATGCTTCATTATCTGTTTGTAAATCACAACTGTGGTTAGACGCTATACAACTTAGTAGTTTACGACACCATTAGTTCCCTCAAGATTACAGGTATATTTTGCCGATAAGTGTCAAATCAAACGGAACACAGATCTACGCTTTCCTACCGACTATATCCAATTCCCTAGCATCTTAACATGTTGCACGCGATGGCTGATTACTTAAACTGGTGACCACATTATAACTTGATTTATGGAATTTAATCAGCACCAAAGGAACAGACAAATATGACATTGTTCACTACCCAGTAATCAATCAAATGTAATTTACCACACCATCAGTAATGACTAAACGATCAGGATTAATAGCTATTCCACTAACAGGATACCAAACTTATAAAGTCATCTGTGATTGTGTTTAATGTAAATGTTACTTATAGTGTTATTATTACTATTATTGTTATACTATTTATATCACTATTTGACTCATCTCATTTCACGTTGGCACATTTGTTTGTGTGCAAAAATCTTAATGCCTTTTTATTTTGCATATTAAATAGTAAATAATAACCATTATTTAAAGATAATATCTTTTTTTCTCATCTCATTTTATTGAAACAAGTCCGACAATTTTTATAGAAATGTATTATCCGTATTTGATTTACTGCTTAAACCTGAGAAAAAACCATCAGAATTTCTGGGCGAACCACCAAAACGTAAGTAGTTTTGTTTTTGATCCAAAAAATTATTGTTGATGTTCGAGTAAATGATTCTCTGCTGTGATTTTCATCAAATTAAATTCACCTTTTACCTGTGTCAATCAGTACCATATTAAATCGTATGTACATCAAAATATCGATCATTTACTTATAAGAAGTGTTTAAACCAATTCTTATAGTTGCACTGATTTTACAAATGGGTAACTAAATGTATGCAACTGTGAAGCTATTAGGTATATCTATCATACAGCTAGTATAAATCGCCTGAAGTAAATTAGTTTCAGCTTTTTATTATAATCACACTGATTTGCTCTTTATCATTATTCGGTCTATTCCCTGATGATATAACAAATATTCCATCAGATATTATCATTTAAAACAATTCAAAGTCAGTTAATTGATAATATTAGTTTAATTTTTCATAAAAAATAATGATATATATATTTCTTGTTATTGTAGCAAAAAGTGATTTATTTCGGCATTCAAAACATTCTCATCTACGTCATTATTTCACTCAAGTATGGATATCGTTTCTAAACAACGAAGTAAGTTTTACTATGTTTATTTATACATTATAATTATTTCTGATAATAAAGTTGTAAATGATCATTAATTTGCAAAAAATGCATAGTGAAATCGGCAGATGTATAGTTGGTTTGTCTGTATAATTAACGTACAAACAACTGATCATTTTAACTTTTCCGTCCACTATTGAATTAAAGACAATATAATAACGAAAAGCTTCAAACAATAAATGTGACTTACACCTTCATTAAACTTTGTAAGGGAATGCTGAGATACTTCAGTATGCTGTTATTAATTACTTTAATAAATTCTATAAACGAACTAGATAGTGGATATACACACAATTTCCCTATTTAAATTTTAGTTCGTAAAATACGTACAGCATTAAATACCTTTCGTATCATAACATTACTTTCACATTTATCTACTTGAATTTACGAAACATTATGGTTTGACATTCCTCGACTTCAGTCAGTCAGTTAGTTACAACGTAGGACCGGGCACATATGTGCATCGATCCAAGTTACCACACCTCATTAGCACACCAAGATGAACACCAAATTCATAGAATCAATTAACTCAATGGTGTAATATATAAAGGAAAGATTGCATATAAGGATATAGTACAGGAAGAAAGTTAGTTCGTAGAAAGAAAGATATGAAGTAATTTTAATCTCATAGTTTTAGGGAAGATAAAGAGTGCATACACCTACGCCGACATGGCTCAGAATCGATCACAATGGCGTAGGTGTATACACTCTCTGTCTTCCCGTGAACTAAAAGATTAAAATCACTTCATATCTTTCTTTCTACTAACTAATTTTATCTTCCTATACTATATCCTTATTGCAATATTTCTCCTATATATTACCACCTTTGACCTAACCACTCCTATGAATCCGGTGTTCATCTTGCTGTGCTAGTGAGGTACGGCAACCTGAACCGATGCGCATATGTGCCTAGTCCTACGTTGTAGCTGACTGAATGACACCTACGCTATTGTGATCGATTCTGAGCCATGTCACCAAGAGTCTCCAACCATTGATTACGATAGTCACGCGGACCTCAACCAAGTAGTCTGCAATTACCAACATGACTCAGACTAGAAGTTAGTTACTTCAAGCACTAATGCCACGTTTTGGTTTGGCCGCCCCCAACTTTCTTCCTCGACTTCCTACTTTATCAACACATTTAAACATAGTGAATCTTTAATGTCATTTTAACTGACTTACCGAATACAGATTTGTGTATTTGACTTTGAACTGCACTCTTTGCTAGAGCTAGAAATATATTCCGCTCTTAATAGGGTAGAGAATGAGCGTTAACTCTACGAGTTTCACAAGCCTATTATGATCTAATTGTTTAGAGTAACATTATTCCAACCCACTAAATAAACAAACAAAAACTGATCTCACATACGATAACCTTTACTATCCATATAAGAAAAGAGAATGTTATTGTGAAACTTCGGGAATCAAGAAAAAGTAACATCATTGCGAAATGCCAACCAGTAGAGCTAACACATGTTGGATGTGAGGTGGCTATCCACAGAAGATAATGCGAGATGGTCGTGCAATGTCACAGGTTGACTGATGTTAGACATTAGCACTGTTGGATGCCAACTTAGTAGTTTGGAGATCAAGTTTTCGCGCGCCACCAAATGTCCTAGGTGAGAGTCCTACGGTGGAATCGTGGATGCGTACTGTTAGGGAGTCCTATACTAGAACGAAACGACCGTCCAGGGTGTTGTGACGGGCGGTGTCGGAAATCTGATACCATTTACTACTCGCTAACCCTTCCCCCAACTGAATAATTGAACGCGAACACAAGATTAAGCAAGAAAGTATATTGGGCTATTGAATATAATGCACAAATACTTATTTAGCTATACACAACTCTACTCCTAAGGAAATCAATCCATTTTTTAGCCAATGAAATTCACTTCTCCAAGTCATTTTTGATCGCCCTCGATTGACCTGATTAGACTACTTCTGATTGACGCACTATATCACAGTGCTTCCAGGTTTTCAGTAGTGTAACTTAGATCATTTCATGATTTCAACAATATTAGATATATGTTCTCCGTTGTTGGTAAACTCGGTATGGTGAAGTATCATTGGTTGAACTTCCACAACCAATTAAATCAAATTCAGTTCGAGAGTGTATTTTTAATTATTTTGTTAGTTATTTAAATGCAAAAAATCCTAATTGTGTAGTTGCTGGACTCCTTAGTTCTTATCTGAATCTATTTCTTAATGAAATTCTTGACTTATTTCTATACTAAATAGGACTAACAGTCAAGCGGAATTAATGATAGAGTAAGGATAAATATTTGAAGCAAAATTCTAGAGTTTTCTCTATCAGAATTATCCATTACAATTTCTGTCTAATTTTCTGCCTAACAAACCGATCTTATTCTTTCTGCATCCTATCACCTCATTAGATAGACGGGTGATAGTTCCCTCTTTACATTGACATTTTGTGACAACTATTGTGTGCTACTGTATTTAATGAGGCTGTTCATCTATGTACTTGAATTCCTTAAAAATAGTTTGAATTCAGTAAACCCCCAACGTCTAGATATTCTTGTGTGATGCAGTTAATATATGACATTCTAGATTAGTTAATAAAAGTTACTGTGATAATTTCGTATTTTTCTACGGTGCCCAACAGTTGATATTCAAATAACTGTAAACTGTATGTTAGCAAGCGTGAGTGTTCTTAATTATATCATAAACTATTCCGTTAATCTAATAAATCATCATTATTACAGTATTTAATTAATGTTACTGTTTGAAAAATAACAATAATTTATGGTCCAAATTACATTTATATCAGATACTTAGTACTGTTTTATTTTCACTCTTCATAGTGAATTTGTAATTGTATTAGTTAAGTCATTTGTATGACAAGTGATAGTTTGTATATTATTCAGGCTTAATCTAATTAATTGATTATTAATTCTATCCTGTGGTGTTTATTCTTCTGTATGCAGATAGCAGTGATCACAAAAGGGGTACGAAATCGTAATTTACATATTAAAAGTCATGCAGGAAGCATTAACACTTATTAGACTTCAAGCTACTTGCATGAATTTATACAATCCTTGTAATTTTTACACGTCGATTCATAGTATTATTCATCACTTTCATTATTCTTTTTTATTCGCTCACCTTCTAGTTATCAGATGATGTACGTCTAGAATCCGTACGGTATTTGGGTAATGGAGGCATGAACCGCTTAGCTGAAATTCGCTTATTAGCTGATCACATTATACCAATTTTTGATCCTGATCCAGAGAATAAATTGTCTCAAACAGAATTGACAAAATTTCCAACTAGTTGGTCTCGTGCAGTTTGTCATGCAGTACTCGGTTTAATTCAAAAAGGTGATTTCAATTATCCACGTTTGTACATTCGGCTGTATCGTTTATTGGATGAAACTTTGTTTGGATGTCCAGATGTTGAACCTTTTCTGATTGATTTAGATGTTTATTTAAGCTCCATGTAAGTGTTCATTCTAGTAATCCCTTAATATGAAACGATTTTAATTCGACTAAAGTACTATGTTTGTTAACTTCCTAATTATAACTTATGACTACGTAATAAGTATGTGCAGTCTTGATAGAACCTTTTCAGACCAGTCGAGATTTCTGAATCTGTGCCGAGATTTTGTTTATATACCAACCCATAAGAATCAGCAAAAAATTCAAGTAAATTGGTGTTTTTGCTCAAGTTTTATGGTATTTAGCCTGCAAGCTTTGTATAATAGTCCTTGAGTATCTCATGAAGTTAAGATGTATAATTACTTCGCCAAGATAAACCTCAAATATTAATAATAGTACTTATGAACTCCCAAAATAGGTAATCTATAAACTTTAACAGACCATAAGATTATTATTAATAGTATGATTAATCTTTGCTAATAGAAACATTCAAAAATGAATACTAATTCACACTAGTTGTTTATCATTTCATAATTATTTTGGTGGAATTTTGTTGTCTGAGCTCAGAGAACAAAAATCCACCAAAATCATCCACCTGAGCTACAAATCTTCTCCCTCATTTCAATTTCATAATTATTCATTGTATAATACATCAAACACAATAAAAGTTTACTTTATTTCAATAATTGAGATCATGAGTCAATTGAAGCTAGACCACCATAAAAAACCTGGAAGCACTGGACGGCCATTTCTTCCTATTATGGGACCCCTCGGCAGTGCGCACCTCGCGAGATACGAACCCAGGATCTATCGGTCTTGCGCGCGAACAATTAACCTCTAGACCACTGAGCCGACATCCAATGGTGTTAATGTCTAGCTTCAAACAATCCAATATGGAATTTTCTATTTTCGATAGGTAAATTTAAAAATCACACCAGTTATTCTCAACTGTATCATGTCAATTAATTGTATCGTACCCAGGAATTCCGGTCAAATTTTCCGTGCATTTAGTTGCCTTTTATTATACATTATAGAGTAGATTTTAATTAAAGAATGAATTAGTAACTTTAACGTTTCCGGCTGAGTTATAACTAGACATATCCTTTGCAAATTTTAATTATATTGACTTTTGTCCAGTGCTTACAGGTTTTCCATCATGGTCTAGCTTCAATTGACTCATGATCTCCATTATTGAGTTTACTTTATTGTTGAAAATAATGTAAAATGTTATGTTCCAACAGTTATCATTCCATTTTTTGTACGTAATCAATTTTTTTTGTTTTTGTTTCTTTCTTTAAATGACAACTAGTTACTCGATTTTTCCTTTATTTTATACTTGTGTTTTGTGAAGTTTTTCTTTTGTTAACATTATTCTAACTTTTATTATTCTTGATAACATATATATGTTGTCTATTTGTTAGTTATCGATGTTTTCATTTTTTGATAATTCTAAAAATTTTCACAGATTTAAATCATGAGTCAGTTGAAGCTAGACCACCATTGAAAACCTGGAAGCACTGGACGGTCTAGCTTCAACTGACTCATGATTTAAATCTGTGAAAATTTCTAAAATCTCCACAAATCCCTTTTGATAATTCTTAAAACGTCATTTGTTATTGTTTCCTAGAATTCTCTATTATTATTTCTGATGTTTTTAAAACGAGATTAATCTGATTTTGTTGTTGTTGTTGTTTTGTTTTGTTTTTCCAGACATTTAGCTACCACAGTTGTTGCATCATTCATAAAACGACTTTCTCAATTATCTTTATTTAGTCCAATTTCAATTACACCTGCATTACTTTTAATCATCTTCAATGGTTTACAAAATCATCCTCATTGTCGTGTTTTAATTAACTATAAACAGAAAAAATCACAAAAATTAAATAATATTCAATCAGATGATAATAGTTTACCAAATGTATTAAATGTAAGCTGTCTATTTTCTTTTTCTACAACTGTCCTATTTACGAAAATGAAGATTTAACCAATACATATTAGTTATATATATATTCATTTGTTGTTTTGTAAAACAAGAATAATACCTACTATGAGTTGATGTTATAAATTCATTACATTCTACAATATTTTCAGAATGGGTTTTGTGGAGATTTTAGAAATTCCACTGATTGAAATCATGAGTCAATTGAAGATAGACCACCATGGAAAGCCTGGAAGCACTGAACGGCCGTTCCGTCCTAGTGTGGGACTCCTCAGCAGTGCGCATCTCCACAAAACCCATCCTGTTAATAATCAACTGCTCACTAGTGACTGACTTCAGGAGATACTTCTGGGGTTCTAGTGAGAAGCCGTTACCAGTGGAGTTCAACCATGTCTGTTGTGAGATAGGAACTCACTGAAGACAATGGTGTATGGTGGCGCAACTTCGTGGATTGGTTGGAGTTAGAAATTAACACCGTTGGATGCCGGCTCAGTGGTCTAATGGTTAAGTGCTCGCTCGAAGCCAGTAGGTCCTGGGTTCGAATTCCGTGGGGTGCGGGATCGTGGATGCGCACTGCCGAGAAGTCCCACACTAGGACGAAACGGCCGTCCAGTTCTTCCAGGTTTTCCATGGTGGTCTAGCTTCAATTGACTCATGATTTCAACCTGTGAAATTTCTACAATATTTGTCGTTTTTTTATCGTAAAAAAATTTGTCGAATACAAGTAATTGCATAGGGTGTCCTTTTTTTCACTAGGCACAATCAATTGGTGATCCTTATAATTGGGAAGCAGATAATTTTGATTCATCTAGAGCATTAGAAAGTAGTCTATGGGAAGTTTATGCATTAATTGGTCATTGTTCACCAGATATCTCATCATTAGCTTATAAAATTTGTAATCCTGATCCAACGGATACTTTTAATTCCTCTGTGGCTGACATACTTGATAAACAAAAAAAGGTGAGTTTTAATTCCTTTTCTAATATTTTAACACTATTCAATTGTTTCTATGTAATCTAAATATTCCAACCTGACTGCTTTATTAACGTTTATCGAATTCTGTTTCACTGAAATACAAGGTTTGGTCGTTCAAACTAGTAAATAACTTTTGGTACATTTGTATATGAACGAGCGTTCAGAATGGGTTTTTTTCTTAACATGATGAAATAGATTTTCAGTTGAAGCAATTGCTTGTATTGTCTGAGTTAAATGGTTCAATCGTGATGTGTCCATTGTAGTTCTGTATGAAATCACCAACTCCTACTTCATGTAGAATAAGCAGTTGTAATCAAGATGGAAATATGGAATATCGGATTCCGGCTCAGTGGTATGTTTATGTAACATCCCACGAAATTTAAAGCTCCGTCGTTCGATTTTGAATAAGATTATAAGTGAGCAATATTTAACTGGTCCTTGTTTTCAGTAGTTATCCAATTAGTTCGAATGTGTGATGAAAAACTATCTTCACATTGACCTAATCTTCCTGAACCTTTCAACCATAAAAATGGAAAATGTTGAAGTGTAATGCAGTCAGTTATGAACGACTCAGAAACCTTGACATCAAAGTGAATAATCTATATTGTCATTTGGTTCTTACTAATCTCTCTAAACCGGTTTGTAAAAATAATAGCACTAATTAGAGCACCCAAGCAGCGAGCAACCTTTTTCAATATATACTGAAGTATGAAAAACGGGTGTATCTACAGTTTTTAATTTGTATACATTCATATGTTAGACTATAAACATCTATAACATTTAATATCTCTATTATGGGACTTTTTTGTCATACTATTCTAATTGTTATCACAAAGTAGAGGAAACGATGACTTACTCGTTAGATATTTTATAGTTTCCTCAATAAGTGCAATTTCTGTATATTACTAACATTGACGTCATTTACTAAATTGTTTCATTCTACTGGAGAAGTGTTTAGCAATCAATCATTATCAAACACACATTATACTTCTATTTCATCCTATAACAGTTGTTTAGTACAGCAGATATAGATGTTATGTGTGTCTACATTGTTCATTATCGGATTCTGGATAACTCATCGAAAAATATACAAGGAAATTCATACTGAATCTTCTCTTGTTATTACCAATGATTTTCAGTAAATTATATCAAAACACTAAACAACTATCATGTTATCCCATTCTGTCGAAAGATCCAGCTTTAAGTGGTTATTTGCCATCAGGGAATTCAGTGGCACTATAAAATCAGAGAATCATAATAAATGTTAACATGTTTAATGAATGTCTTTCACAAAACTTTTTTCGAATGGAAAACTTTAGGAAAGATTGCATGTTTGTTACTCTTTGCGAAATATATTTTTTAAACAGACTTCCTGGTCAGTTTCACGGTTAAAATGAAGACGTTTATCGTCTAAACTGGGTTGCGGCCTTTCCTGGTGTAGTTGAAAACCTTTGATCTCCACCACTAGAAACATTACAAGTCGCTTTGTTCAAATAACCGACTTCCAACTCTGAATGCGAAACCCTGTTCAGAAAATTAAGTTCAAGGGTATGACCAACGGAAAATATTCCAACATACTAAAATAAGTCAATTAGTGCAACTGTTCAGAAAAAGCACTTCATGATATATTGTCTTATCGCTCTTTACATCACCTACTATTTGTTTTAAATTGTTGGCGCTATCACATCACATAACTCGGAAAAGTTTATAGAGGATCGATTGGCAAGAAGCAGACTAGATTTCATTCTAGTCATAAATGCTTTAAATATACGTTCATTCACTGTCGCATATATCTTTGAGCAACGGTCACTATCACTTGACATCAAAAACATCTGTTGTTGAAGTACCTCTAAACAATGCACTGATATTTTATTAATTGCTTAAAAATGTATGAAGTATTGGATGACATGCATGCTGTCCAGGTCATATGTGCACGAATAATGATGACCAGAAGATAGTTATCCTAATATAGAATACAGCGTTATCCAGACAATATGTCCCTTAAAAGAAGCCTATGATGTCTGCGATTCTACCTTACCCGATTATGACTTTGACGTAATCTGCACATGTTGCCTCGATGACTACCATATCTCACGTTTTACACACACTAGAACTGAGTGGAAAATGAGTAGGGATTGCCAGTTTATAATTTTGACTTATGACATAAGGGCTAGTTGCACTGAATTCACCTTCATTGTTTTACAGCAGCTGCCCGAATTTAATCTCATATATCACACGAATGTTTGGTCTGAAAATTTTTCATGTACTACCTAGACTACAAACTAGTAATTACCCCGTCATAATATTTGATTAGATTGTTTGGAAACCGTCCAGGGCATCTAACTAATCAAATATATTTTATATGCAGAGTTGGATGGTGGCTGGCAGTGAAATCTAGGACACTCGTTCCGTCGCATATGGAACTTGTCAGCTGGACCCACTTACATCCCGTCGAGGAAATTGTTATAGTATGCACGTACGCCGAAAAAGACGGACCGATTGCAGTCCTAAACATCAACGAGAACATTCAAACAACCAACATAAATGAATTAAATATATTTTACTTATGTTATCACCGTAACTGTATCTTATAATAATCCATAAAATTCGTCCTCAATAACCTTTTTATTTGTATACTTAGGATATTGTTACATTTTGTGTTTTGCTTCCGGGTAACTTACTGTACCTGACTTTTTTAAGTTAAACAATACGGTCATACGTTTTGGTTGAATAAACGAACACTAATTCAAAATAACTCGGCTCTAACCCCCAGTCGTAATCTATTATTTCTTTCTTCTAGAATATTAAAGAAGCAACCCGCTCTGTGAAGGAAGCATTGTACCTGTTATCTCAAACTAATATTACGATGCCAGAGTTACCTCCGCTTGATGGTTGGGCGTAATTGGTTTTCCTTTTTGGTGCAGAAACGTTTAAATTTTTATACAACTTACTATCTGTGCAAGAAACATTTTTAATTATAAATATCTGATTCTTTTGTATAATACCGAACGTTTATTAATTCTGTTCATATTTTCACCTTTCTACTGTTATATCCAGTAGCTTAACTTCGTGTAAATGATGTATACATCCTATGAGTTGTATTTGCATGCTAAGATAATTATTAAAATGTTTTTGTATTTATTTACTTTTATACTGTCCTCATTTTTTGTTGCGATAAATTTTCGTACAGTACAAATATTTCACTGAAAAATCAAGTTTACAAGACAAACTGCGTTTACCGGATGCATTCACGATTAATATATTTAACCATGGTCTTTTGCAAATGTTATTCAGTGAAAGTGTCAATAAATGGCATTAACTTGACAATTTTTGACCTTTCACTCTACTTGGTTGGGCTATTAAGTCAACTGCCAACTTGCTCTTAGTTAAACCGTTCTCTATAAACTGGTAGTGAAAAGTAATGGTCAAGTTTATCTGTCATATGAGCTATGTATGCACAGTGCTAGAAAGTAATGAGCCAGGATATGGAAAGAAAAACTCCGGTTTCTCAGTGTTACGGACTATTAATATCGAACAACTTGAAAACCCAAGTGTCACAATGATCCGAAATACCATCAAATTAACACACCAGAAACCTTACACTTACTCAGTGTTCATCATACCAGATTTTAGTTTGGGGATATCTGTTTTGCATACTTTAGCTTTTTGCATTATGGTATGAACTACACAGTAATGTACCCATCTTATTAAATTCCTATTCAATCTTCGTAGGTGTTAATCAAATCCCTTTTGTTTTTATAGTTATGTGACTAATTTCATATGGCAATGAGCAACTGAGTATGATTTTTTTCGCGACAACTGAGAAGTATTCAATAGTATAGTACAGTGATAGAGGACCGACATAAGAAGCGCTCACGAAGCCTGTGAATAACGGGTCGCTGCAATAAGTAATCATATAATATTTTGTTTACCCGGCTTCTCTCTGAATATCCCTCAATGTCAAATGAGATCGGTTCGCGTAATAGATGGTAAGGAGTTTTATGAAGACAAATACAAAATTAAATCTAAACAAGCGTTGGTTTACAAGGCAAGCCCACACACGTCAGCTTTCCTGTACTGTATTTGGTACAGTAGGGTCATATAACGACTGACTGCTGAGTGATTATTCCCATAACTAATTCTGAGTTTTCATGTTTATCTGCAATATGCACACGAATTCGAATATATATCCACTAATTTTAGGCATTTTAAGCAATTGCAATATTTCCTAATTGATCGATTGAATTTTTACTGGCTGAAATACAGTTCAGGTAGTACTGGCCCGGTTGTTCTCACTTTAGTGGTATTGAGTCCTAAAAATACAATCCTCAAAGCTGAACATGAGATAAATTGGAAAGTGTTCATCCTAAGTATCATACTCTTACTTATCACGATATGATGAGTCTGTGTGGACAAGGGTGTAACTTACGTGTAAGATCTTATATATTAGACAGTCATATCATAGCATATCCTCATTTCAAAGTGATAGACATCGGAAGTATATAATGAGTAACTAAGGAATAACAGGAAAATTCACCAATACATCTTGATCAGTATCACTCATATCTTACATATTTAGTTTACTATGTGCAAAGTATCACCAGTAAATCAGAATACAGCAGTTTCACTGTGCAATTGTTTGTGATCCTAACGCAATCAACGACTAAGAATCAAGAGGTATAAAATAATCACAGTCAAATGCCAAAAAACATTACTGCTGCTAGGCAAGAATAGAAGTTTTATCCTCAAGTGAGAGGAAGAACAAATTAATTAAATTAGACGTTTTTTAGGTACTAAATGGTCGCACAAAGTATTGTGGGTAGATAGAACTGAATAAGATGTGAATTGACGACCCAGCTGTTAACGAGTTTTTATGTCCTTACTCCAGCACCAAAACTACGAAAGAAAAATTCCACTACTTTGCTCTAGCTCGTCGCAAATGATATCGAAGTTAGAACTTCTAAAACTGTTTCAACTCAAAAATATGTGAAATTATTAAACAAAATCTATGGACGGACAATAAAATCAGCTCCAACAACGTATTTTCAAACGCGTCAATGCATATGCTACATTTTGTTTAGAATGCGTGTATTTTAATATGAGTTTATAATGATATGTTCAAGCCCCTCAAGATCGTTTAAAATACTAATTCATAACTGTAAAACCATTATTACTGAGATCATCTTTGGCCGAGGACCTATGAAACTATTCATTTTAGCGATTTATTTAACACTAAAGTGTCCTTGTTTCACTTTTTGTTTACGATTTGTTTTCAAAAAAGTTAGTCTCTGCATAAAAATATCCACTTATGCATTTTTAATGGACGTGGAAGACGGTAAATCAGACGCTTTGTTAATTATACTTGCTGTTTTTTCAAACTATTGTGTTTGTCACCACCAACCTTTTGGCTGAACAATATTCTCGGGCATTTCAACAGACCCACATCAACTATATTGATGACAGCTTCATCTGGAACTACACTGGACTTTCCGAAGTTAACCTGAGCGCTGACTTGGTGTTCCGGAAACGTAAGAAGAGACAGTTCTCCTGGCACAGATATAGTTCATTCGTCAGGAGGATCTGACTCGACTTCAAAGTTGGGTAGACGATAACGGACTTACATTTAACACTTCAAAGTGTAAAGTTGTCCATTTGCGACATGTCGTAGACTATAGTTAAAACTTACCAAACTCCTCCCTAGTAGTATCCCGAGTCGAAAAAGATTTAAAGTCTTACGCTAACTGTGACAAAAATGCTTTTCGAGCAAACCTTACACTGGTAACATTGAAGCGCATTTTTGGCCAGTCTACGGGAGAACTTTACGCATAATCTTTAACAGTTTTGTCCGTCCCCATTTAGAGTAGTGAAACATAGTATTTCCTCCCTCACTTCAAAAGGATAAGGACACTCTGCCGCGTATCCGACGGCGAGACACGAAATCAGTTCGGGGACTCAAATTCAAACCTGTAGAATAGTGTCGAGTCGAGATGGACTATGAACACTGCTACCAAGAAACGCGTGCCAAATGACTCCATAAAATCCCCGAGAAGCCAAATATCAGAAGGCAGTTAATGGACCAAGTCGAGATATATTTGCTGGCGATCTCGTGGTATTGAAAGGATACCGAGATCGTGCCAGGATACAAGTCTGGTTACAGAACGTAACCGAATTCGCGCGAAGTCACAATCAAAGTGTAAGAATAATGGATGTTTTTAACACAGTTAAACAAAAGCACATTAAAACGGTCACTGGTACAATTGGTTATAATAATAATTGTTTTCAGTAAACCAATCGTGTTCTCGTGATAAAAGTGAGTCACTACAAACCTTATGAAGAGCACCTCCAGTCACTCAACTTTTACCCATTAGAGTATAGGCGGCCTAGAGATCACCTTGTAATGGCTTGCAGTATCATTAACACTTCTGTATATTCTCTTTAACACCTACTTAAGCTTAGTCCCAATACAAACCTAAAACGTAACACTAAGAAATTGTAGTTACAACATAGCAAAACAGACTGTAGACACAACTTCTACTCCTCAAGAGTTGCCACATTCTGGAATTCGCTGACGGCTGAGCTAGTTCAAGTGACTTCTTAGGAGTCCTTTAAGAGACAATTTGACCTATTCTTTAGGACTAAGTATAACATCTTATTATGATCTACCAATTTCTTTTTTTCCTCTATTATCGTGAATATACCCAGGTTATTACCTGGAAGTATTGGTGATCCCCTGCTACTAAACACGGAAGCCCATTAAGCTAAAGTTTCTACTATTCCGTCCACAAACATTTGAACCATTTGATTGAGAATTGAAGATATGCACTAGCCATTGCGCCTAGTTCGTATAATTGCGGAACTTAGTACATCTAAACTATGTCTTTGAAACAGGCTGTTGCCAAAAGTAAGTCTCTTACTATGTACTATCTATAAATCTAGAATTAATGGATGAGATAATTATCCCTTTGAGAAAGCCTAAAGATTGGAAAGTTCTTGTTCTGGATCGATTAGCCACTAGAATTGTATCTTCGTGTTGTAAGATGCATGAAATAATGAATAACGGCATAACATGTAGTGAATATTTTCTGATTAATATATATTTCGTAGTGGTTGAAGATATTTTTAAGAAAAGGGAAGTGCTGCCGATTGAGGCAATATACTTGATCACTCCTACAGATGAAGTAAGAAAATTACTATAATTGTCACTCCATAGTCTTTAAAACTTCTAATGGAGGATTTTCAAGGGTCCCAGAGTCAATATCGTTATGCACATGTCTTTTTCACCGAAGGTAGGTTAATTTTGAGATACTGTGTTAGGCGTGTCATATTTACTCTCTTCTCGATATGTTTTCCGTTTTTTTTGATAATAACTTCACTAAATCTGTGGCTTATATTATTTTGCATTGAAAATGAGACCAGAAAATTAAAAAAGGTGTTCGAGAGACCTGGCTATGATATCTTCACACAGGTCCCTAATACTCATAATCAGTTGTTGTGAAGCTTGCCACAAATGTGCGTTAGCCCACTTTACTGTGCCGCATTAACGCGATGAAATGGAATTTCCAAGACATGATGGAGTCGAATTGGCATAGCAGCGATGAGAAAAACTATTGAATCTTATTCAAAAAACAGTAAAGACTCATGCATTAAGAAATACTGAGAGGAAGATTAGAGTGAATGCGTATGCGAAATTGTGACTTGTGCTGAGCTATATCGCGCATATGCAATGGTTGGTCGCTTTTGTTGTACGTTCTCTTAATAGATAGTTCGCATCTACTGAGATGTCAGTAAGTGGCTTCCTGAACTGATACCATGTCCTGATTTGCCATCTCCTAGCTCTTTTCAAACACATTACTACGCCTGCTAACATCGCTCATCAGGGTAGGCGTGTTTAACATGTCTTAACCACTTCAGTCACTAATGATTCATAACCATTCAATCCACTTTCCGCCTATACTTAGTATCCTATGTTCAAGATCGTAATTTCTCACTTGGTTGTTTATGAAACGTGAGAAATAGTTCGAGGAAATCTATGGTCCAAAACTTGTTTATTATTTATTTATTTGAACACAAATATTGGTACAAGAGGGCACCAAATATATATGCGCCGCATAAGACAATGAGAATGGGAAGAGAAAAAAAGGTAAGGAGTATAAAAGAAAAAAAAAGAACGACGACCAGATTAGTGTAAGGTAGTGCATTAATGATAATAGTAATAATAATAATGGGGGAGACGGAAAGGTACAATCAGAATAAATCTTTCAGTTAAGGAAGATACAACCACTTTTTATGAAGAAAGTAAAAGCACATTACAGCAGGATCGTCACTGGCTTCTATTCTGAGCCATATCTGATAGCATCTCCAACCACTGTGTAGCACCATCTCTCGGACCCCAACCAGGGAGTCGTGAACAACCAACAAAAGCCAACCCTTGACAGCTTTCTTTCATGCCACGACACCATGTCATATACTGACCACCTCTTCGCTTTTCCCAACCAGTCCCAGAGTCGGCAAATAATGCACGACGTGGAATTCTCTAGGACGACATTCGTAGAACATGTCCAAGACACCGAAGTCGGTGTTTCAAGATGGTGATACCGGTTGCATTATCATCTCTGTGCCCAAACGCACGATGCCGAACCTCTGCATTACTAACATGGTGTTGCCACTGGATGTCAGCAATCCTCCGGAGACAACGATGATCGAACACAGGGAGTCGTCCAACATCCTCAACTCGGAGAGGCCAGGTTTCATAAGCATAGAGTAAAATTCCTCTCACTTACGCGTTGTAGATCTGACCTTTTGCAGCCAGACTAACATCACGAAGGCGCCAAAGATGGCCCAGATTGGCATAAGCCGCTCTGGCTTTCACTATACGTGAGTTGATCTCATCACTCACACCTCCACGAGCACTCATGTAGCTACCTAGATACACTAACTTCTCGACTACTTCTATCTGCTTACCATCCAGGGTGAGTACAGGATTAGAATCTTACTAGTCTTGTAGAAGTAATTTGCACTTCGAAGGTGCAAAGCACACACCGTACCTATGGACACTGATTGCCAACTGATTAAGTGTGGATTGCATGCCTTGGGCATTGTCGCACAGTAAGACAATATCATCTGCATACTCAAGGTTGAGAAGTCTTTCTTTAGGCAACAGATCCACACCGCCATTACTTACATCCATCAGAGCTGTTTCCAGAATGTCATCGATGGCAAAGTTGAAGAGGAATGGTGAGATTGGGCAACCCTGTCTAACCCCACTGCTCGAATGAAACAATAGAGAGAGGTGATTGTATGCCCTCACTCTACCTGAGGTGTTTGTATATAGGGTCTTTAAGATGTTAATAAACTTCTCAGGCACACCCTTCTTCAATAGACAATCCCAGAGAACAGTCCTGTCCAACGAATCGAAGGCAACCCTGATGTCAAGAAACATTACGATTGTTGGCCTTTGATAAGTATGACGGTGTTCTAACACTTGGTGGAGGGTGAAGATATGATCAATACATCCTCGACCGGGACGAAGACCAGCCTGCTCCTCGCGAGTCAGTCTTTCTCGGGTTTTGAACAACCTACTTAGTATGACGGAAGCCGATAGCTTGGACGCAATCGGAAGTAGACTTATCCCCCGATAGTTGTTACAGGAACGACGTGAACCCATTTTAAAGATAGGGACAACTATTTGGTGAATCAGTCGTCAACGGCCATAGAGGGCAGGACAGTCTGACCGATGTTGCCGGAGCAGCAGGCCAGTTGAACTGCCCTTCGAAGAATTCTGCCCATCGTCCAAGTCGTCGTTGGATGTTAGTGATTGGCGTTCCGTCATCCTCACATATTGTTTCGCTCACACCAGACTTCTTGCTGCCAGTGGCTCGGATGAGTTGGAAGAGCTTCTGGTAGTTAGAAGATGCAGGCTTCTCGGTCCTTACGCATGATTTTCCCGATTTCATTGTGTAACAGCCTTCGTTTGTGGTCAAACTCACGGTCACCTAGAGTAGACCGACGAGCTCCGATGAGTTGTAAGGAGCCTGAAGAAACCCAGTGCTTATAAGCGGGACGTTTCGCGAAGCCGCAAGCGGCATTACTCGCCATTTTCATGGCGTCATGAAGTTTTAACCAATGCTCCTCTATACTTTTCGGTGGAATGGTAGCTAGCCTAGCAGCTAGCTTGGTTCGATACTTACTTGCAACAGAAGTTACAACGAGCTTGCTAACATCAATCCGTTGGTGGCGGTCACTTCGTTGGCCACTGAAAAGTAAGGTAAGATTGGCGCAAACCAGGGCATGATCAGAGTCCAAATAGGTACTCGAAAAGGAGCGGCAGTCTTGTACACAAACACGCCAGCGGTAGCTGATCGCGATATGATCAATCTGAGTCCAAGCTTGAGATGCAGAGGGAGGACGCCAGGTGGCACATCGGCGATGACTGTGCCGAAAGTTAGTGCTAGCCAAAAACAGGTTGTGGTCTGTGCACAGTTGCAGCAGACGGTTTCCGTTATCTGTCCTGCGACCAACAAGTCCCCGTCGGCCACCTAAACGACTCTCTTCTGTGCCTAGACACCCGACCTGAGCTTTCAAGTCTCCGGCTAGTACTACAATATCTGTCGAACGCACTTTCTGGAGAAGAACAGTTAACTGGTGGTAGAATTCATCCTTGATTGTATCCGGGCTGCAATCTGTCGGGGCATAGGCGGAGATGACGAAAAGATATCGTTTTTCACGCCGATTTCTTCTCACTTTGATGGAACTTTCCAATCTAACAGCACATAACCGACTTTTAGTAGGGATGCAGTCGATTAGTGCTGCCTCAGATCTAGCGCTTAGTGCGACACCAACGCCAGAAAGACCAAACGATGATGTCACAGGGTCCCCGGATAACCGCTTTTCGAAGCGACAGATGGAGAACGAATTTGTAGTACTACACCAGAGTCTTGAATATGGCTCTCGGATAGACAACAAACATCGATATTAAAACTTCCCAAAGACATAGCCAGCCCTATCTGTTGTCCGACCTGCATAAGTGTGCAAACGTTGAAGGCAGCCAGTTTGAATGCTGCACGTGGTTTCAGAAAAACTGCTTCACTATTCATATTTGGTGGTAGCATACAATTTTCAACCAGGCAGTGACTCGAAAACGTTTAGATAGAGCCGAATTTTCACCATAGATGAGCTGCTGTATAGGTCGAAAAATAAGGATACATAAAGTGGGGAAAAGAGAGTGAATAAATGACGTAGTAAATAAAATAATAATTATGTGAGTTGTTTGACTGTTTATCGAAGCGTGAGTAGAATTTTCAGTAAATGTCAATGCATATTATAGATGGGCCACATTTTAGGAGCGGAATCCATGAACAGTTAAATAAAGTAAGTGTGATTTCCAGGACATTCAGAGCTAAACTAAGTGGAGAGTGAAATAGTAAACAATCCCGACAAGTATCACTTGGAGTTGACCATTGAAATTGCAATTTGCCATAAGCTCTGATTTGACCAATAGTGTTCGTGTAGAGAGGATTCAGAAGATGTATGTAGTTCTTTGGAATAACTTTCAAGACAGTTGTTGCAGTCAAATGCTGTCTTAAAGTTAAGAAATCCAACCATAGTATGACGTCTTTGGGTTTACCTTTCCTAAAATCTGCGTAGTGAGTATATAGTTAATACATCCACGTTTAGGTTTGAAACTAGTCTGGTTTTGCCGTGTTTGGTTCTCATGAATCCTTTAATAGTCAGACGATTATAGAGACCATTATTTTAGATAATATTTTAGTCAAATCGACTCCTCTGTGGTTATCGCAGAAGGATTTCTGCTCTTAAAAACTGATTAAGTAAGCTATCGAGGCCAGTCAGATTTATTTGCATCTACCTTTTAAACTGTAGCTGGTATTGCAGTAATTTTAGCAGCTAAAACTTGACCACACCCTTAAAGATCCCTGGAGTTAATCCATCAGGCCTCCATCGCTTATGATTATCCATAGTTTTTTCAACCCTGTTCCCATCCACCCTCAGTTTGATCTTGTCCTAATTCCGTTACCTAGATTACATTTATCAGTTCAGTGTTTAGATTTGTTTCTCTTTTTCCAATGAAATAAAAAGTGATCTCATTTACTTTTTATGTTGCTTATGAATCGATAGTCACCGTTGTTTAATAAAAAAAACTCTCCAGAGCATGTGATTTGTGTTATGACATCAGCGGTCTCATTTTGTGATTCTGGTAACATACTACCCTGAATGTATTAGGTAGGAATTTCTGATGTAGTTATCTTCAGGTCGAAACGATTTTCCTTCACCTGTATAGCGGGCGCTTGTAAAATTGGTGGATAATAAGATGTACCATTCAGTATTTAACTTAATATATCAAACATCTTTTCTTATTCTGTTGCTTCTATTGCTTTGTAAACTGCAAACTGGTGGTATGGTTTCATCTCAAATTTGTTGTCATCAGATCATATTTAATGTAGTCTAGTCAGCTTTACTTCACTACAAGTGTTTTTATGCTTTGGGTGTATTCTTATCGAAGATATATGACATGAGTGCCTCAATCTATATACACCTATGATATTTCAGTTCTCATCGTAAACTTCATTGCTTCTAGCTTGCCCAGATGAGCTGTTCAACCGGCTTTGCCAGTCGAATTCCGCCATATTTTTAAAAACGCTTAAAGAAATCAACATAGCTTTTCTACCAGTTGAATCTCGAGTCTTTTCGTTGGATTCACCCATGAGCTTTCAATATTACTTCAATCCAGTAGCCAGACAACAAGGTTCGGGACAGCAACTTGAGCGAATCGCTGAACAGATTGCAACGTTGTGTGCCACATTAGGTGAATATCCCGTTATTCGTTACCGCACGTAAGTCATTTTAAACAATTTATCTTTCTAACCTCAGTATTGATTTTACCTGCATGACACCCAGAAATTTATTAAATTTGCACTAACATTGGCTAAGTTATTGGTCTATGCAGCGTTGGGACATTTTAAAAATTATTTACTTTAAGGTATCTGTTTTTGTGTAATTGGTATTCGAAAAATGATGCTCTTTGCTTTCATGGAAGTTATTAATCTACATCGCATTCTGGTAAAAACACTAATACTCTGAATTTAAGTATTCTATATAATAGAGGCTTCTATCATCTTATTCTTTCAAGCTGTATTGTTATCTACAGCACCACGAATTTTTCGTTTGTAGTTCTGGGACTGTGTTACTCCATTTCTCTGATCAATCTTTCTTTGATAGCTCGTTACTTACTTACTTACTTACGCCTGTTACTCATGAAGGAGCATAGGCCGCTCACCAGCATTCTCCATCCAACTCTGTCCTGGGCGATCCTTTCTAGCTCCGTCCAGTCGTAATTCATCGTTTTCATATCTGCTTCTATTATCCGACGCAATGTGTTCTTTGGCCTTCCTCTTTTTCGCTTCCCTTCAGGATTCCAATTTAGCGCTTGCCTCGTGATGTAGTTTGATGATTTGCGTAATGTATGTCCTATCCATTTCCATCGTCTTTTCCTAATTTCTTCTTCAGCTGGAAGTTGGTTTGTTCTCTCCCACAGAAGGCTATTGCTGATGGTATCCGGCCAATGGATGTTGAGTATCTTGCGAAGACAGCTATTTATAAATACTTGTACCTTCTTGATGGTGGTTGTTGTAGTTCTCCAAGTTTCAGCTCCATACAGTAGAACTGCCTTGACGTTGGTATTGAAAATTCTCACTTTGATATTGGTTGAAAGGTGTTTTGAGTTCCATATGTTCTTTAACTGTAAGAATGCTGTCCTTGCTTTGCCAATCCTTGCCTTTACGTCTGCATCTGAACCTCCTTGTTCATCGATGATGCTTCCTAGGTATGTGAAGGACTCTACATTTTCCAGAGTTTCGCCATCAAGAGTGATTGGTTTGTTGTTTTCCGCTTTGAATTTGAGGACTTTGGTTTTCCCTTTGTGTATGCTGAGGCCTACTGATGCAGAGACTGCTGCTACATTGGCTGTCTTCATCTGCATCTGTTCGTGTGTACGTGATAGGAGGGCTAGGTCATCTGCGAAGTCCAAATCGTCTAATTGATTTTGAGCTGTCCATTGAATTCCGTGTTTACCTTCAGATGTCGAGGTCTTCATAATCCAGTCGACCACCAGAAGAAAGAGGAAGGGAGAGAGTAAACAGCCTTGTCTGACTCCGGTCCTTACTTGGAATGCTGTCCTCCATGCACGACTTTGCACTGTAGTCCGTCGTATGAGTTCCGGATAATGTTGACAATCTTCTCCGGAACTCCGTAGTGTCGAAGAAGTTTCCATAATGTCCTCCTATCTACACTGTCGAATGCTTTTTCATAATCAATGAAGTTGATGTATAGTGATGAGTTCCACTCAACTGATTGTTCGACGATGATCCGTAGTGTCGCAATTTGGTCTGTGCATGATCGATCCTTACGGAATCCAGCTTGTTGATCTCGAAGTTGGGCGTCTACTGCGTCTTTCATCCGGTTCAGCAACACTCTGTTAAAGACCTTCCCTGGTATTGACAGCAGTGTAATGCCTCTGTAGTTTTCACATTTGCTCAGATCTCCTTTCTTTGGAATCTTGACGAGGTGTCCTTCTTTCCAGTCCATCGGCACTTGTTCCTCTTCCCAAATCTTTTTGAATAGATGGTAAAGCATGTTTGTAGTTGCTTCGATGTCTGATTTCAGTGCTTCAGCTGGTATGTTGTCCGGACCCGCTGCTTTCCCGTTTTTGATTTGTCTGACGGCCATTCTGATTTCTTCCTTCGTTGGTGGGTTGACGTCTATGGGAAGATCTGTGTGTGCCGCTTCGATGTCCGGTGGATTCGTTGGAGCCGGCCTATTCAGGAGTTCCTCGAAGTATTCTACCCATCTGTTCCGCTGTTGTTGAATTTCGGTGATTGGCTTGCCTTCTTTGTCTTTGACCGGCCTCTCTGGTTTACTGTATTTCCCTGCTAGTTTCTTTGTTGTATCGTAAAGCTGTTTCATATTTCCTTCTCTAGCAGCTTTTTCTGCCGTCGTTGCTAGTTCTTCCACGTATTTCCTCTTGTCGTCTCTAATGCTTCTCTTCACTTGTTTGTTTGCTTCTATGTATTCAGCTTGTGCTTGGACTTTCTCTGCTCGTGTTCGGCTGTTGTTAATTGCTGCTTTCTTGTTCTTCCTTTCTTTGATCTTGTCCAGTGTTTTTGTAGAGATCCACTCCTTATGGTGGTATTTCTTTAGACCCAGAACCTCTTGACACGTTAGAGTTAATGCTTCCTTGATGCCTTTCCAGTTGTCCTCCATACTAGTCTCTTCTTCCTTCCGTAGATCTTGTAAGGCTTGGAACCTGTTGTTGAGAGCTATCTTGAATTCATTGAGTTTGTCAGTATCTCGAAGGAAGGCTGTATTGAACCTTTGTAGTGCTGTTTGTCCACTTGTCCAGTTCTTTTTTAGCTTCAGTTTTAAATTGGCCACAACTAGGTGGTGATCTGAAGCTACGTCAGCGCCTCTCCTGGTTCTTACATCTTCCATTGTCCTTCGGAATTTTTTGTTGATGCAAATATGATCTATTTGGTTCTCTGTAGTGTGGTCCGGTGAGATCCATGTAGCCTTGTGTATACGCTTGTGTGGAAATATTGTGCCTCCTATGACCAATTTGTTGAATGCACATAGATTTGCAAATCTTTCTCCATTTTCGTTTCTTTCTCCCAGTCCATGTCGTCCCATAATATCTTCATATCCAGTGTTGTCTATTCCAACTTTGGCATTTATATCTCCCATCAGAATAGTTAGGTCCTTTCTTGGGCATTTCTCAATGATTGACTGCAGCCGCTCGTAGAACTGATCTTTGATGTCGTCGTTGCTATCATTTGTGGGTGCATAACATTGGATAATATTCATTAAGATCCCCTCCTTCTTTGTTTTGAATGATGCTTTGATGATTCTGGATCCGTGAGATTCCCATCCTACAAGTGCATTTCGTGCTACTTTGGACAGAATAAGAGCGACTCCCTGAGTGTGTGGAGCATTGTCCTCTTCGTGACCGGAGTATAGCAGCATCTCTCCCGTAGCTAGCCTTTTCTGTCCAGCTTGGGTCCAGTGGGTTTCGCTGATTCCCAGTACTGCTAAGTTGTATCTCCTCATTTCCATTGCTATTTGACTGGTCTTCCCGGTTTCCCACATTGTTCGAACGTTCCATGTACCTATAAAAATTTTTGCTCTGGTTGTTAGAAGGGGCATCGGCCTCGTGGCTTCCGAAGGAACTCGGCTTTCACCATGAAGCGTCATAATTCTTCTAAATGAAGACCTTCTAACTCCCAGAGCAGAGTTTAAATGGTTTGGATTATTTTTTCGGGTAAGCGTTTTTTTAGCGAGTTAGTTTTCTACGGGATGGGGACGCTAACCCCATGCCCAACCCTCCTCCTTTACCCGGGCTTGGGACCGGCAGTAACCCTATAAGAGCTACAGGCGGAGTTTTTGATAGCTCGTGATTCTGATTTAAACTTTTGTAAATCGCACTGATATTTTTGTTGAGGTTATGGAATGTAGCTTTTTAAATAATCATTGAATTATGATAGTTCCTGGCTAATATGATATGTTATTACGTTGTAATTTTCCAATTTTAACTTCTATATAGTGTGTCTATATAAATATATTCCATTCACTAATAGTAGGATGTATGAACTTTTATAAATTGATTCAAATAAGCAAATTTAAAAATAAGATATTGTTATTCACTGAAGTATTGATCGCCTTTTGTGAATTCACCGAATATATTTGATTCGTACACGAATGTATGTATTATGAATAAGAATTTCTAGAGCTTATAGACCTTTGATGCACGAATCACATAATTTCTAGTAAATTCAGCTTTAGTCATCCAGTATTCAACGAAAAAAAAACAGTTGTTTTAACAGTTTCAATCTTTTTTGGATCATTTTAGTCAGTTTGAAAGGAACGCCGAGTTCGCACAGTTAGTTCAACAAAAATTGGATGCATACAAAGCGGACGATCCTCAAATGGGCGAGGTTAGTCAAATGAAACTTCAGTACTCAAAGTAAAATATCGTAAATCTATTTAAATATATACTCTATCAAGTTTTTAGTATTCTAAATAGTTTTTACGAAGTTAGTTCAATCCATCGATAATTTGATTTATTTTTTTATCAAAAACATGTTTTTTGTTCCAGGGTCCACAAAAAGAAAGAAGTCAATTGATTTTACTTGACCGGGGATTCGATCCTATCTCGCCTATTTTACATGAACTCACTTTCCAAGCCATGGCTTACGACTTACTGGCAATTGAGAATGATGTTTACCGGTAAGCTGGGTTGCTTTTGTTCACTAGTTATTTTTTGAGTGCGTGATACTAATCCTTATAATAATAATAATAATAATAATAATAATAATAATAATAATAATAATAATAATAATAATAATAATAATGCACTGAGCACCAACCTAAGGGCTGTGTAATTTGTTTTTGTGGCCTGGTTCTTCTGTCTTATTATGTCAAATCTGTTACGTAATCAGGGTTGACACTGATTGACCAAATAATCAAGTTTATTGATTAATTTATTAGTACCAATACAAAACGGGCATAAAAGCACATGACAATTCACCAAACTAGTCATTTTTTAATCAATTTATGCAGTGATCAGTTTTAATCAAATAGTTTATTTAGAGTCACTGCTGGGATTCCAATGATGAAACAATATATTTTTTAGCTGATCTATGATTTTTTTTTAATACTGAATGAATGTTTACTATTTAATGGAATTCATTTAATTTACCACTAACAGTAGTGAAGTTCTAGAAAAGCATGCTTAATATGGGTAATATTTAATGAGTAATTTGTCACATAAAAGAGGTGTTTGAGGATAGAAGTCAATTTTTTTTTAGTGTTCGTTGTATATCAAAACTTGCGTTACATCATGTGCCAATATACTTAAATTAACAGTCTGATAAGACATACAAATTTTACATTAAAAGTATTTATATCGATTTCATTTTCGCAATTTTCCTAATGCATGCGTTGGTCCATCGACGCGACTGTTAAATGTATATTAGTGATTTTGTAAAAAACGTCAGATACATATTTATAGTCAATAAGTCCTTATTAACCTAATTATTCTTTTCCATCATTATTCAAATCAAAAGCAAATACAAAGTCACTGGACACACTTTGTTCTGTTTCTAGTACAACATAGTGCAACACATTAAATATGGTTGTTTTATTTGTATTCATATACCTATCTGTAAATAAAATTATTGGTTTCATATTGATAGTGGCAGTCAGTGAAATCCTTAGTTAGTATGCTATCATTAGTCGGAAAATAGTGGTTTAGTAGTTAAAGCATATGAATTTCAACTGCGGAATTGTACGTACCCAGCCTTCTCGATTGGAACGACCGGTTAGCTTCATTGGCCTTCATACAGCTGAATATATAAACTTAGTACTGACTATTAGTGCAAAAGCAATAAGTTGTATTGGAATGAAAATGGAATAAATTATGAAGGTTTTTTCTCAAACTAATAACTTTTCTTTATTTTGAAATAATGGATATTCCAGTTACATCAACACATCAGGTCCTGAGGAACGTGTTAAAGAAATTATCTTGGATGAAACTGATGAGCTTTGGTGTGAACTTCGTCATCAACACATAGCAGTTGTTTCACAACAGGTTAATATTTTTGGTATTTAATGAATATCTGAGCGTTTTTATATTACAAATGGCTTAGAGAATAAGAAATACTTTTCAATAACTATTGTTTAGGATTCACACTTGATGTATGGGGGTTACCAATACATTGTTTTTTATAAGCTTCATATCTGCGACCAAAATCATTCAGTTCAATGACTTTTAACATTCTAATTGTCTATACTGAATATCTCAATGTCTAAATACCAAGAAGGCCATAAACCCCACTTGTTTCAGAGCTAAAAATACTACCTTGTTACTCTAATTTTAATAGGTAAAGTAGAGTTCAAATATATAACTAACTGGTTAGAAGTTGACTACTGTAATTAAAAGTAACCTAAAGATTCCTTTGCTCAATATTATTGTGTTTAGGGAGTGCCCAGATTTTCTAGTGTTATTATGAGTGTGACAGAGAGAGAGAGAGAGAGCAGCGTAAATGCTGTAGTTACAGTGATCATGATATGTGGAAACCTCGGTAATACTAGAAGTTCCAGTTTCGTAGAATTGCAAATACACATTTACAGTCAGGTGGATAAAGTATACACAATTAGTTGTAACTGGTTGAATTTAATAGCATGCGTAATTAAAATTATTGTTAGTGAACACAACTGAACCCGTAACATTAATCTTTGTGTGGTTATGTGACATTCGATGTAATTTTTACGCAACTTTTATTGAAAATTCTAAGTTCTGTAGTAGAAATTCTCTAAATGTTGAAAATCAATGGTTCGATACCCATAAATATCAAGGAATTGTGTATTTTCAGATGACTACGGACTCCAAACTCAGAGAAACGATTGGTATTTGGTTAGCGTTTTTATTTACTCATCTCTAACACAATGAGAACTGAGATAAAAAGCTTTAGATAACCAGAAATTACAAAGTAGATTTTTAAAGCATTGGTCAAACCGCCATATATCGAAGTTTTATTTTTCCTGTATTCTAAGCAACAGAGAAAGTCTTCGGATGAACACCCTAAAAGATTACAATACTTCATAAATTTACCACCAATTTCGGTTTCGTCGAGATATATAAGGTTGGAACACATAGTTCATGAGTTAATCAAAACTATTAAAGTAGTCTCTTCATCTTTTTTGTAAATCCTAAACATGATTTCATCATCTATTTCCTGTTGTTTTATTCTAATAGGTTACTAGCAAATTGAAAAAGTTCGCTGAAGATAAACGTATGGTTAACGCTGGCGATAAAACTACAATGCGTGATTTAAGTCAAATGTTAAAAAAAATGCCTCAATATCAAAAAGAATTATCCATGTATTCAACACATTTTCATTTAGCTGAAGATTGTATGCAAACTTATCAAAATCATGCTAATAAATTATGTAAAGTCGAACAAGTAAGTTTTTTTTAAATTAAAAATAACTTAGTGAATCAATAAATAAGTATTTGACGACTAATTTTATACAGATCAGACTAAGTAACTTCATTTATTGGAAGTTTAATTATTTAGTAACTAACATTTTGATTATGTAAGATTACCAATCTATTAGTTGGACTATTAAAAATTACCATATTGATGTACATGAAAAAGATGATTTGCGTTATTTCGTTCTGGGTTTGTTTTTAGCTATAAATAGCAAGTGAAATAAACTTTTCACAATCCAATCTTTATTTTTGAAGTTGTCATAACGTTGTTCAACTTTTAAAGTAGTAGGTCCGAATAATGACCTATATCGGTCATTAATGGTTGATTTGAGTTGTTGGTGTTTGTTTGTTTATTTACTCATCCCTTTTGCTCATCCTCATCTTAGACAGTGTCATCATGTAATTCTATTTTCTGTCTTTTTGCCGTCACGTTGTTGATAGGAAATGTAACGCTTTGAGCTATTATACATTTTTCCGTCTGTCTACTTTTAGAAAATATGGCGATTTAAATTTTCGAGTATTACTTTTAAAAGGAATAATTCAACCGGAATAATCATAATCATTTTAAACTACTTTTCAGGATTTAGCCATGGGTACTGATGCAGAAGGTGAACGAGTCAAAGATCATATGCGTACAATGGTTCCTATTTTAATTGATCAGTCAGTTTCAGCCTATGATAAACTTCGTGTGATTCTTTTGTATGTTATACAACGGGGCGGTATAAATGAAGAAAATTTAGCTAAATTAGTTCAACATGCTCAAATCCCCTCATCACAGGCATGTATTGTACGTAATTTGATGCATTTAGGAGTTCCTGCTATCCAGGATGCTTCAGGAGCTGTAAGCGGTTTTTTCTCTAAACATAAAGCTTCCACTAAACTTCCGAATCACTACTTATAAATAGTGTATTAACATTTTTGTTTATGCACCTTTTTAATTACTTGTTTAAGGGATAGATTGATTTAGATTTTTAACTTGATAGATTGGGAAATGTAGAAATGTTTAGTAGACTTTGTTCGAAACCAGGAAATGGATGTCAGCTGCGAATACTTATAATCTCTCGGAATAATCACTTCTATCCAATTTATATTTCAGTCGGTTCTGCACACTGGAGCACACGAAATTAATTACTTTCTATGCGGTGAGTGCTCACCGTATTATGTCCAGTATCATACACATGGTTAGATATTTAGTATAACCTGTCTGCCGGATTGATAATTAACTATCATAAAACGATCTTGGTTATAGTGTTAGTGTAGGCTTTGGTATGCTTGGTGTTGCAAATATTACGAGGATAGATAGCAACCAGAAAATTCGCATTCTCGTCATATCATTTATATGGTGCATTTATCAGTGATCTATTTTTTATGCTAAATATAATGTGAAAATCTACCATTGTTTTCAAACCGTACTTATACTCTCTCCTATCTCCAGCTCTTATTATTTATCTATATAGTTAACCTCTTTTCACTTTCACATGAAATGTCGTGATAAAAAAATATGTAATTAGATCGTCCGAAATGTATTGCGCGATTAAACTATATTTTTGGATGAGCTTGACCTTTTCATTACATCATGCGAGTTTATTTAAAAGAGGACTGACTAATATCAAATTCCCCTAAATAAACGATTATCATTGTTAAACTTTAAGTATAAGTGACATGATAACAGATTTTTTTGAAGCCTGATAACTGAATTATTCATTTGTAAAAGTAAATCTTTTTCAAAAGAATATCCCATATATCTCCTCTATTTTTGGGGTAAACTTTTCAGGTTGCTTATGTCAAGGTAAGGTTGCATACCGTCTCTTAAAACTGATTTAAACACAAATGACTAAACCTACTAGTAATCCGCTGGAATTATGTAACATTCTAACGGTCTAATCCCTGCGTTTGTCATTACGTTTCCATTAGAAACCAATCATTTATTCAATATTATGTCTTTACGAAGGAAAGACTGTTAAGTGTGCAAACGAAATGTGGTAAAAATTGAATTGAATGTCGGGGCGATAATAACCATACTTTTTTAATGTTAAATAAAAGTGCAATATGCAACGTTTTCGAGCATAACAGGTGAATGCTGTAAGTAAGAACATAATTTTCATTGAGGATCTCATTCCAAGCTCTAACTCACGAGTTTTGCCTTTTTTCATCCAACAATTCAGGACACTACAGTAGATATATTTTGATGGTTTTGGATGACTAAATTAAAGTCATCAATGAAAATTACACTCATATATTCAGCATTGACATACTGAATAAATTGAAAAACGCAAAATTTATTGAACATCAAAAAAGCATGATTATCTTCGCCCAAATAACATAGCTGAATAACTTTATTTTCCAATCGTTCAGTCTTTTCTTTTAACCCGTTAACAGTAGTATATTCAAGTTATTTAATAAAATGTATTTGTTATTTTTAAACAATTATTTTAAGTTCACAATAAACTTTGAAAAAAAGGTTTAGCCCAACATTAATTCACGTTATATCATATTCTAATTTACTAGGTATATATATATTCACAATACAAAAGGACACTAAAATAAATATACATCAAACAATTAGAATATGTGATTGTTAAGAGCATCGAAGATATAAAGTGTTATAATCTCTTCTTACGGTATAACCCAGCTATTCCTATTGCTTAGTATTCTTCGACACCGATACACTCGACAAGACCCCAAATCAGAACACGGTTGAACAGGAAAGAGGTTATATTCCAAATAACAAGGTTAGATGGAAGCAAGATGCAAGCCAGAAGCCAGTAGGAAGCACAATAGAGAAAACGTCAGTATATTTATAGTTTTTACATGAGAAGATTCTAGAGTATTCGCCAACTATCGACTAGTGCTGATTGGATAAGAATGTCCCGCTAACATAAAGTGTATATGATAAAATAAAAACAATATATAAATGAATGTGATTTAAAAAAAAATAATGGGAAAAAGTTCTTCTCACTTTTATAAAGTAAAACAAAAATTACATTTAGAATTCACCAATCAATTCTTTTATTTTAAAAAAAACCATATTTGATAACGTCTCAAACTATTGACTTACTTACATCTTTTATAAGATCTTAATCAACGAAAAAAAAGTTGTACAACACCGAAAAATTCCAATTCTATGCAACTTTATTTCATCATTAATATGGTAATTAATTCAATTCTTTATGAAACTTCCTTTCATAAAATATGTCCTATTCATCGTTTTTTTTTATTAAAAAATATAAAAAATAATTGGTGATACAACTTCTTTTAATTTTAACAGCTAACTAGTTATGTATCATTAATTTTTACACTAAAAGATAGTGCTTTAAACCATTGTGTATATAAACTTTTTACTTGATTAATTATTTATTTTATCATTTTATGGGTTATTTTTTTCCAAAAATACTTTAATAATCTAGTACCTAATTATTATTTATTTATTTGAACACATAAATATTGGTACAAGATGGCACCAAATCTATATGCGTCACACCATATTTGTGTGTGTGTGTGTGTGCGCTGTGATATTGCCCGGGTGCCCAAACCGAAGTAGGTGGTTTTCTTAAGGGGCCACACCCCGAGTCTTTGACCTAAAGGTCTGATCCACAAGGCAGTGAAGTATCGTGAGGAGATTCAGTCTCATGGTAGCCAGTGATCAACGATTGGTTTATACGCCATTTGTTCCCGCAGGATACTGGAGCCCATGTGCACCATTGATTTGATATCAGGGTTTTCCAACTTCCCTAGGTGGATCCTCTATATGCCACTCTCGGCCATAGCAGGGCATTTGGGGGCAGTACCTAGTTACCATTCTTCTTAATTCTAGTTTAATTTCTCCTTCCAATAATGAATCATAATATCTATATGTAATGTACATTTTAGTATACAATACAATTTATTGTTATTAATTTACATAACTATAAATAGTTGATTATATTTAAAACAAAATTATAAACAGTAAAGATAAAATGTATTTTAAGGATTAAATTGATAATAACGATGAAATAATATAAATATAATAATAATATAGTATTTTGTCTTTGTTCTTTTTATTGATTATCCGTATTATAATGTTCGCTCCTGTTAATTAATGATTAATAAAGTCAATACAATTCCGGTTAACAATGATTATGTTCTCATTCATTCATATTTTTTCATAAGCTTTAGGTTAGTGATAAATAATGTAGATAGAAGAAAGTAATCGATATTTTTTCTTTGTATTGTGTTTTCTTTTTCTCAATGGTAACCATAAAATTCTTCTTAAAGTAAATCTATCTGTATGGTATTGATGTGTAAAGTTTGAATATCTTTGACTTGAATATTCAATTATTGAACTGAATCATTATTATTAGCTTTATAAATGTTCTTTGTTCTTTGAAGTGTTTTAGAATATTTATTACTCCTTTAAAATAAGTTGTATTATGCGTTTATATGTCGTGTTAACAGTTTAAGTCAGTTATCTCGTTAAAAGTTTTTTGTTTACTTCATATCATGTGTCAAATTGAATATTTAGTCAATAATACATACGAATCACCACTATTATGCATTACAACTCCCGGGTGGGTAATGTTAGGATTTGGCTGAGTGATTTGAAGTTGAGGTAATAGATCAATCGATGAGCTCATGAGTGAATCTTAGCCTAAAATAAGTAACACACTGTAGTTGTTGTTATCCTTGATCTTGATTTAATGATTGGTCACATAACTCAAAATTGATCGCTATTTCATAAAAATAGTACTAATATCTATCCATCCAAACACTACGCTTAACTATCAATGACCCTAACGATTTATATATAAATAATAAGGAGAAATTTTAAGTGTCGATAAAAGCTTAAACAGTATTTTATTCTATCAAGCTACAACTAATGTTGCGGTGTAACTTTCTGGTTTATTTTTATTAAAATGTTATTGTTTTTCTTCAACTTGGAACAGCTATAATCCCACTTTTTCCCCTTTCCACTTGTTCATTAGCTTAAACTGTAAACCTTTAGTTTTTTTACCTCATGTTACTAAAAAAGTTTATAACAGTGTAGTGAAATGTTCATGATGATAATAACATCACGTCAATTATCAGAAACATTTATATTATAACTATTGTTGCCCATATTTTTCAGTCTTCTTTTTTATTAAAATAGGGTATAGGGAGGCGTAAACTTCCTCAGCCGTATTTGCCTGCTAATCGACGTCAACGGGAGGATGGTCCACGATATCAAATGTCTCGATGGACACCTTATATCAAAGATCTTATGGAAGTAAGTAATTTGACTAATAATTCAAATGCTGTTTTGCTTCATTAACGACTAATGTGATATGCTAAAACGATTCGTTGTTGAGCAAGGGCTGTACACACACTTATAATGTTGATATTGGAAAAAAATAAATGGAATCATGAAAATGTTAATTAAGGAAAAGGAATTTTAATAAGTATCATATATGAGTGGTTTATATTATTCAATGTACTTAGGATAGTAGTATAATACAGAAATTTTGTCGAGTTAATATTTTCAATGTGGCAAAAATAGTTCAAGAGGATGTTCATTAGTAATTGAATGATCTGAATGAATAATAAAATTATTACCCTTATCGTTAAAACAATGTACAATACAATTACAAAAATACCTATGTGCTGTACAACATTAATCAACTATATATATTATTGTTCGTCTAACATCTGACTGTTTGATTCAAAGAAAAATGTTTTACAATTTCATTGTTGCTTTAATTCAAAATTGTTAGTTCTATTTTACAATGTGAATGAGAATTGTTTAAGACAAGTGTGTCGAGAATAAAAGTCAGTTTTATATTACTTGTTTAAATCTGATTGGAGGTTAGTCAGATTTTATTATCTCAACTAATTAACTAATTATCAATGCAATAACTCAAAGACTATTCATTAACTCAGAAATTGGTCGATTTTTTTCGTTCCATCCGTAGATGAAAATTTTAGGAGATATTTAGTCAAGAGAAAGAGGGAAGTTCTGGAAACTAAGATGCATTTTCGAATTGTTTATTACTTTTATCCTATTCTTTTTCAGCTAAAAGTTATGAACATAGTAACAATGTAAATTATTTCCTGTATGTTATGTTTCATCTTTTACCTCTTATTTTGTTGTAATTTCTCAGTGACATAATATAAGAGTACTAATCACTTCGACGTTTTTTAACTTAAGGATGCTGCTGAAGATAAATTGGATCCGAAATTATTTCAGTACTTTGGTGGTGGCCCTGTTCGTGGTCCTGGAACGCGTACAGGAAATGCACCAATGTCTGCAAGATATGGAATGTGGCATCGGGATAAAAGTCAACAACCACGTTCTGGACCTAGATTAATATTCTTTGTAATCGGTGGAATATCCTATTCAGAAATCCGTTGTGCATATGAATTAATGAATACTGCGCTAGGTAAACAATGGGATATTATCGTTGGTGGTACCCATATACTCGTGCCGGAAGCATTCTTAAAGGATTTGGAGAAACTGTCTTATCCACCAGGGACAGTGCCTCCATCGGCTAGCAGTGGGACACCAGTTATTGTAGGTGCTGGTGGCGAACCAGTGTGAAATCAGTATACCCCATGAATGATTTATATTTCAATATGTAATTCACAAGAGATTGCAAAAGATTTTTTTATGATTTCCACTGAGTAACAACTTTATTTACTTATATTGATTTATCTTTCGTCGCACACTTCTTCGTCAGTCAATATCATTTCATTGATGCTGATGATTATAATTATTATCATTAATATTATTGTCAACAAGAACTTCATGTGTGTTTAGCACTTCACCTAATCACTCACAACATTCCTCATAATTGAAGCTGTTGTCTTTTTTTTTTCAACAAAAGACATACTGTGTTAAAGCATACGTGCTCAATGCATATATCTGATACAGAACTATCCGTTTATTTACAATATTTTCTCAACGGTGCATTACAGTTTATAATATAATTAATAAGTCTTTATTCAATTATTATTTGTGTTTATTAATTGTTGTTGTGTTCTGTGCATTTTTTTCATTAACGGTGTCTAATTCACTAATTATTTTAGTTTCATACTTTCATTATATTTAATCATTTGTGTTGTGTAATATCTCAATTTCATCTATTCTATTTCTTTGTTCACTAAGATTCTTGTTATTTCTTTGTCTTTGTTTATCAATCTTTTGTAAACTCACTATTGAAATCATTTCTGTTTGGTTGTTCTGTCAGGGAATTATTGTATTATCTTATTATTTCACTATAAATTTTCATTATCTTTATTCAGTTCATCTTTGTAATGGAATGTGAGAATTGACAATATTTCAATATGATATGCATAATCAATGTTTTCATCAACACTATTCCTGCATATATTAAAATACATTTAACTGATATTCAATTGAAATGATGAATTAAAGTAAGTTTATGTTCTGATTCGGATAAAATGTATTTTGTATGTGTGTGTGTGTCTGCGTATAATCTGTTCGTTTACCTATCTAGTCGTCGTGTTTCACTTCTCTCTCTTACTTGTTCTACAATCTTTTTTTATCTTTGATCATCAATGTTTATTTTCGTTTACTTTTTTGTGCTTAGCGTATTTCTTCTACCAGTTACAATATTCCTTAGTATTATTATTACTACTAATGATCATTACATTAATTACTTGCTCCTTTTTATTTTGGCTATTAATTCATCTTATTATACTAGTAATTCATTTCGTTCTATATATCTTCCAATTTTTATTCATTATTACAATCAGTTAAGTCTTGTTGCAACATCATTACCTTGCCTTTCTACAACTATATTCATGCGAGCATAGTTGTGTACGTGCTTGTTTGTAACTTTTGAGCGTATTTTCTTGTTCTCTATGGACGTTTTTACTCATTTCCTTCCTCATACACACATACGCAATCCCCTATAGATCATTGATTTAATGTCAGCAGAAAACATGACCAGCTTTCTTTATCTACGTTTATTTAATTATTTATTGGTTTGTTCATGTTCTTTTTGATATTTGTTTATTTATTACTTCCTCCAATTTTCTATATCATATATATATAGTTATTAAATTAGTATTGTTCATAGAATTTTTGTGTCAATACTACGTGCATTTGTCAATGATTATGCCTTCTCCCTTTCCGTCTTCAATCATACTGTTTCTGAGGCTTACGTGACATTTAATAATTAGTGCGGATCACATCCGATGCGTTATATATGTGTATATCCAATAATGAAAAATGTTAATTTTATGTTTCTCCTGGTAATCACATGTAACACATTACCAACCACCTCAGTCGATGGATATTTAACCTAATCAAACTTTCTATCTTCTCTGCTGTACCTCAGCATTGCTTACTGGGTGACCTCAACATACACCAGCAAGGCTTAGAAGGCATCTATAGTCGAATATTAGTCACTTACTAATGTTCTCTATGCTTGAAAGCTGTTTTTCACAGTCATAAAATAGAGCAAAGAGAACTGCTGCGCAGTGTACTCCTGGCTTCGCTTGCAGATAAACCTCTCACCTTAGCCACAAAGACGTAATTGGACAAAACTCAAGAGAACTCTCTAATTTCAGCACCTAGATTCTTTCAAATATCAGCTCACCAGTTCTGATGAAGTTCCAATCATTAGCGAATTGATCAACTTACTCAACTACTTCACTCACAAATAATCAATGTAGGCAATGGTGTGGATCAACGTGAAGCAGCATTTTAGATTAGGAGGAAGAGAAACACTTCAGACATGCTGGGATTGTTACACAAGGCTACCCAAGGACTTCATGGGCAGTGTCTTCACTGAATATGACTGTCATCTCCGTACTCTAAGTTCATAAATGAACCATTTGGTAAGTGATCAATCCCTGAAAGTTAGATGAAGAAAGTGTGATTTCTGGGGAGAAATGAAAAGGAAGATAGTGAACAATTCTAACGAGGACTACTTAGAGTTGAGAATTCTGGTGACAAATCGTGTTCGAGTGGAAGGTTTCGATTTTTTGTGTACTTATTAGGTAGTTTATAGTCCCAAACTCAGACATAATCTCTCGGATAGCGGAGTTGAGTCCCACCTTAAGGTCAAGAAATACAACTACATTCAGTCGTTGGCATGCCTCTATCCTAAAATCTGACGGAGAATGAATAATGTAGTTAGTACGTCTGCGTGCAGGTTCGAAGTCAGCCTGACTTTGTTAGTTTCGCTCTTCACAAGTCCTCTTAGGCGTTAAATGATGATAGAAGCTAATATTTGAAGAATGTACTCCTCTCCTATGAAGTGAGACGACTAGTGATTGAGGCTAACTTTCAAACTCTATCTATTATATCAATAAGATTCACTGCTACGACCAGACCATCATCGGTAAAGACCTCCGAAGTTAACCTACCAAGTCCCTCGCTCCAACTGACCGTAAGTGATTAGAATAACTACTTTGGAATTTGTGAAAATTAGATTATCATTTACTAATTAAAATATCCAGTAGACTAAATTTAGTCAATTCGACAGATATTAGATCAGCATCCGTTTTTAAACAAAAATAAAATTATGTTCTCTAACGTTCTTGTAGTTTTGATTGGCTTTTTAATTATACTCTAAAGAGAACTGTCATCAAAAATTGGTTAGTTGCAGGGGAAAAAATATTGAGAGAAGTTTGAATCCAAATAGTGTCTAAATAATTAACAGATGAAATGATAGCTTATTGATTAGCAACATACATTTACTACTGAATTAAATCACTTTTACAATAGTATATAAAAAAGTTTTTTTTTCTATACATGTAATTGTAAAATATGATTTAAATAGCTATAAGACTCGATTAGCTCGATCTCCTTCTTTAATAAAGCACAGATTACCATAACACTAAGCAGAAAATTTACTGTCATCATTTTTCCTAACTAGTAATCTTCACTTATATACAAATAAAAAAGGGATTCTTACTGTTTATGTGGATTAATAATCAATAAAAATCACTGTATAATCAAATAGTGAAACGTCGAACTTATAATGAAAACAAACCACCACTAATCAGTAGTACTATATATAATTCTAATATAATATGGCTTATTATTTTAATGAGATTTTTGAGTATTTTTATGTTACTAATTGACAATGAAATGTAAAATAATAAGACTACCTGATCAATACAGTCAGTATTCAGTGACATTTGTGAGATTTTGTATTACTTCTAAGTTTATCAGCTATGCAGGATATGACTTACCAGTGTATAATGTAACTCGAAGTTAGTCACTGATGAGAATGAGACTGGAATTTTGTGAAGTTTTCAATACTTTGACGGTGTTATATCCGGACGAGAATAAATGAGTGGTAACCGTTAGGAATTATGTATGGACTAATATCATACAAATATTCTTATTGTATGACTATTAGGTAAATATAAGTTTAGGTGTTGTGTAGATTATGAAGTTTTTGATTGAAATCATGAGTTAATTGAAGCTAGACCACCATGGGAAACCTGGAAGCACTGGAAGGCCGTTTCGTCCTAGTATGGGACTTCTCAGCAGTGCACATCCACGATCCCGCACCCCGCGAGATTCGAACCCAGGACCTATCAGTCTCGCGCCATGTGCTTAACCAACTAGACCACTGACTCGGCATCCAATGGTGACTAGCTTCGTGAGAAAATTCTCGGAATTCTGGTGAGAAGCCATGACCAGTGAAGTTAATCCGTGTAAGGTAGAAACAGGTGCCTACATCAGTACAATGGATTGGTAGATTGGTTGAGGTTGGACATTAACACCATTGAATGCCGGCTCAGTGGTCTAGTTGGTTAGGCACTTGGCGCGAGACTAGTAGGTCCTGGGTTCGCATCTCGCGGGTTGCGGGATCGTGGATGCGCACTGCTGAGGAGTCCTATATTAGGACAGGACGGCCGTCCAGTGCTCCCAGGTTTTCCATGGTGGTCTAGCTTCAATTGACTCATGATTTCAATCAAGAATATATTATATGTATATTCATATTCCTTTCATCACAAGCTTTTATTTGACCTATTGACTGTTATCATAATATTTACTATTTTTGAGATATTCCCAATTTATTAGTAGCAATCGCAGCCACTTTTGGCTTGATCTTGTACAAATATTTTCTATTTTATGGTGTGATGTGGTCTTATTTGTTTTGAAAGAAACTCAGTGTGTTTGAAATATATGATTCGTACCGCGGAGGCTGATATTGGCGTTCTGGACTTAATAGATAGGGCTAGGCGGGCCAATCGGAACTCTAAGCTGTCCGTACTGGTGTATGCGTCATTAGTTTGGTCATATAAGTCAGCGTATCTAAATTTAGAAATTGTATTTTGAGATATTGTATAGTCAAGGACACAACAGTAGGATTGTTGATGAGTAAGCAGTTCCAATCTGTGACAAAAACGCTATTTAGTTCTCTATCTGACTTCCATATACAGCGTACACATATTTCCACCAACAATCCACACATACACACGCCCATAATACTAAATACAAAAATATATTAAACTATAATGTATGGTCTAATGTAATGTATTATATACTAAATAATTCATGGGAATATATCTGATAAGTATTGAATTTAGTTACTTAATTGTTATGTAATATATATTTACAAATGTTACAAGTGAAACTGTTTTTTTTTTAGAATGACATTTATTTGAGATAAAATAATGCGCTAATCATTTGAAATATTATAACATTGGAATTGGTTCCATTTGACATTCTTCTTTCATTTGTGGTCCTGTTATCCACTCATTTAACTAATTAAAATAGAAATGATAAATATGAAAAAGATTATTCAACAAAAATATTCATCATACATGTATTTTCAACAGAGTAATAACTATTGTACAGCATAATTATACGTACATATATATTTTAAAATCTGACTGGTTTCTTGACAGTTTGAATCGCTTTTTTAGTCAAATCTTACAATCAATTACTTTTTATTGAGGTCATGAACCGATTGATGCTGGACCACTGTTGGAAACCTGGCAGCACTGGACGGCCGTTTTGTCCTATTGTGGGATTACTCAGCAATAAGCATCCACCATCCTGTTCGCGGGATTCCAATTCAGGACCTTCGATCTTGTGCGCGAACGCTTAACCTACTGGACCACTGAGCCGACATCCAACAGTATTAATTTTTAAGCTCAGCTAATCCATGAAATTCCACGACCATCGTCCATTGTACTGAGGTAGTTAACTGTCTCTACCCGACACTGATTATCTCAACTGGTCACGGTTTATCATTAGAATTCCGAGAACTCCCTCACGAAGTTAGTCACTAGTGAGTATATGGTAATTATCAATATGGGGTTGTAGAGATTATTAATTATTTGATTGAGATCATAAATCTAACTGAAAATTAATTTATGAAGTAGATAAATTTAATGAATAACGAATCATTGCATTCTATCAACTCATAATATTGTATCAAGATAAAAGTTTATTTGTTTAAATAGCTCAAAAGTGGATTCTCGATATGAGTTCAATAGTAAATTTGTGAATAGTTTACCAATGTTTAGCTAATCAATAAAATGTATAACTACTATTCATTGTCTTCCTCTTATCTAAACTAGATCAATTTTAGTTAATCCAATGTAGTGAATACAATTCTTCTATAATTTATTGACAAGTTTTAGTTTAAATAATGAATTATCTTAATCATTAGGTCACAGTGATAATTATTAGTGTAGATGTGAAACCTTCAGTAATAAGTTAATTCTTAAATTGACTGTACTTGGGAATCAAAACTAGAATGCACGTTTTTTCCTCTTCTTGACTCGTAGTATCCTTTAGGTCAATACAATAGCCAAAGTCATCCATAAATATCAGTAACAATAAAAAATATCAACCGTTAGGGCTACTTAAACAAATTATAGCAACTCAACAAGTTGGTGGTCATACAAATTCCACTAGCTTAGTCTGTAGCACTTTGACATTTGAAGTGGTGAGTACTGGATTAAGTCTGACTTTGAGACTATATTGATAGATAACAAAGTTTATTGCGAATAGGAATTAACGTTTTAGAATCATTCAAGTAAAAATTCGATCCTTTATTAACTTGCCTGTGATTGGAAATCATTCAAATACTCTCTGCAGCTCATTCCTATACTAATTCAACAATTATACTGCTATACAGAAGGATAATGTTTTACAATCAAATAATCTACTTCACTGAACATACGGCATACATAGAGACTGTCAAGAATAATCCTAATAAATAAAATCCTTTACTGCTTACAAAAGTTAAAGCAAGCCTTTTAATCAGCAAATAAAACTAACAGTTAAATTCACAAGTCCATCTAAGCTAGACGACCACTGAAAATCTTGAAGCACTGGACGGTCGTTTCGTCCTAGTCTGAGACTCCTCAGTAGTGCGCATCCACGATCCCTCATCAAATAGAATCGAACCCAAAACATTTGATATCGAGTGAGAACGCTTCAACTCTAGACCTCTGAAGCGGCATCCAACGGTGATAATGTCTAACTTCAGTCAATCCACAATCTTGCTCAACCCTTCATCAACACTGTTGGATGCCAAACCAGTGGTTTAGAATTAAAGTGTTTGCACTCGAGGCTAAATATCCTGGGTTCGAGTCCATACAGAGTGAGACCGTCGCTGCGCACTGATGAGGAGTCTCACACTAGGACGAAGTACCCATTCAATGCTCCCAGATTTTTAATAGTTGTCTAGCTTTGGCTATTGAATTCAACTGTTAAAATACTGCAATCTCCGTAAATCCCCATAATGGTAATAAAAATAAATTGATAGCTGATTCAATATAAACTGATCTTATTTCGATAGGATCTATACCAGGCATTTGGTAGTACTAACCGTCTTGCATGCTATGAAATCTTCCTCATTTCTATTCTATATGTGGGTTGGTAGGTGCGAAGTTGAGCAAAAAAAAGTTGTCAAGTTCCATTTGATTTTAAATGGCTTTCTAAATGATGTTAGTTTATTAGAAAATTTATTTGTTTATTTATTTAGACACATAAACATTGGTACAAGGAAGAATCAAGTAGATAAGCGCCACATAAATCATTAATTTTGTGTCAGGGCTGTGATACTACCCGGGTGCCCAGACCGAAGCAGGTGGTTCTCTTAGGGGGCCACACCCCAAGCCTTTGACCTTAAGGTCTGATCCACAAGGTAGTGGAGAATCGTGAGGAGATGCGGTCCCATGGTAGACGTTGACCAACAATTGGTTCATACGCCATTTGTTCCCTCAGGATACTGGAGCCCATGTGCACCATTGGTTTGGAACCCGGTTAAAGCACAGAACATTTTCTTCATGTCCTCTCATTTTCGTAAACAACACCCCCGGACACGAGAAGGCAGTGAGTAGGACCTCCCTGGCAGAGGCTGTATACGCGTGGCCGTGTGAAAGTATTTGGAGACGGAGGGCGGGCCCACCCCACTCTCGGCCATACCTTTGAATTTGGGGTAAAGATATGGAACATATTTTTAGTCAATATCCTATCTATTGCTAATGTTGTCTGCATACAAAGTAAAAGAAACATAATTATTTCTCAAAATGGATTGATTAATTAATAACTTACCGATTCAGTATAAAATCGATTACAACCGAAAGCATCTGGACTATAAGTGAATAAATTGTGTGGCATTATAAATATGGATAATGGTCCACCACTAGTAGCTGTATTTGGTAGATCTTCATGTCTTGGCAAATGATAATTACCAACAGTTAACCACAAAACAAGATCCTGTCAATATAAACATGATCAAATATGGAAAAATCTATATTCGTTTAAAATGTATGCCTAACTAAATATACTACTGAAACTGATGGTAAGTAAAGTGAGTGGTGTGCTAAAACATTTTAATCTTAAGTATAAACAGAATATCTGTTACTTCTATCACAATGATTTGCTACCCAAACTCATATATGAGTAAGTTAAAGATTGGTCATACAGTCTAAACGAAAAATTTAAGAGTTTAACACTAACTATAAAATGTTCTAGAAGTCAAACTTTATTCTATCCTCAGTATTGTTGGAATTATGGATAATTTGTCCCAGTATGTTGATGATTGAATCAATGTTTACTTATAAGATATGTTGAAGGCCTACTTTCTAAATCACTCAATCCATAAAAGTGGAATTTAGCAAATGTCTGGTGACTGTCACTCACGTTATCATCGAAACAAAAGAACAAGTTTTTGAAGACAAACTTACCTTCAAGAGTCACTAACAATTATTGTGTATGAACAATCAACAACCCTAATGGATACTTAACTTTGCTGCAGTTTTATCCTCCTTATATTTTTCACGAGTAAACATTTCAATCTTATGAACTCCGTCCGTAGCTCTTCTAGACCTACTACCTGTCCAAAGTCCGGGTAAAAGAGAAGGGTTGGGTATAGGGTCGGCAATCCCATTCCACAGAAAACAACTTTGATAAAAAACGCTAACCAGAATAAGCACTTTAAGCCAATATAAACTCTGTCCTCCAAGTTGAAGGACGAATTATTACACCTCATGATAAAAGCCAAGATTATTCGGAAGTCACGAGACCAATGCCCATTCTAACATTTTTATAGGTACATGGATCATCCGGATAATGTGAATGATCGGGAGGATCAGTTGAATAGTAACGAAAATGTAATTAGCGTTTTAAAAGGTTTGAATAATTTTTCCTTGTTAGCGTTTTTTTAGCGAGTTAGTTTTCTACGGAATGGGGACGCTAACCCCATGTCCAACCCTCCCCTTTATCCGGGCTTGGGACCGGCAGTAGCCCCCAGAGGGACTCCAGGCGTAAGTAACGAAAATTAGTAGATACAAATTAGCAGCACTCGCAGTCAGCGAAACCTATTGAACCAAAGCTGGATAGTAAATGTTAGGTATGGAAGAGATGTTGCTGTACTCCGTTCACAAGGAGGAAAATGCTCCACACACTCAAGGAGTTGATCTAATGCTGTTCAAAGAATCACGAAATGCACTTATAAGTATGGAATTTCATGAATAAAGAATCATCAAAGCATCCTCCAAAACAAAGTATGAGGGAATTAAAATGAATGTCATCCAATTTTATGCACTCACCAAGGATAGCAATGAAGACGCTAACGATCAATTTAATGAGAGGCTGCGATTGACCGTGACCAGGAAAGGACCTGACAATCCTAATGGAAGATCTAAACGTCAAAGTCGGGATGGACAACATTGGGTATGAAGATATAATGGGACGACATGAACTGATTGGGAGAAAGGAGCGAGAATGAAGAGAGATTCGCAAACCTATGTACATCCAACAAATTAGTTATAGGCGGTACAATATTTCCACACAAACGCGTACTCAAGTTTATGTGGGTCTCACTGGACTACACCACGGAGAAGCAGATAGATTGTATTTGTGTCAGTAAAAGGCTCACATGGACAATGGAAGACGTGAGAACCAGGAGAGTAGATGACATAGATTCAGATCACTACCTACTAGATTCCAAGATGAAACTGAAGTGAACGGAACACTGAAAAGCTGAAAAAACATCAGTAAAAAATGTTCAGTACAGCCCTCCCCCGAGATACTAACAAACTCAACGAATTCAAGATAACTCCGGACATCAGGTTCCATGCCTTACAAGATATACTTACAAAGAAGGAACTACTATAGAGGAAAGCTGTGAAGGGATCAAAGAAGCACCAAGGTTAACGTGTCAGGAGGTTCTAGGCCGCAAGATGCATCATCATAAGGAATGAATCTCCATGGATCACTGGACAGGATTCAAGGAAGAAAGGACAAACATTCAGCAACTAACAACAAACGAGCAAGAGCAGATAAATTCAAGGCACAAGCTGAATACACAGAATCAAACAAGCAAGTGAAAAGGATCACTAGAGATGACAAGCAGAAATACATGGAAGAACTAGCGACGACAATGGAAAAAGCTGCAAGAGAAGGAAATATGGAACAGCTATATGATACAACGAAGAAACTAGCAAGGAGATATAATAAACCAGAGAAACCGGTCAAGAACAAGGAAGGAACGACAATCACGGCGATTCAAGAACAGGGGAACTGATGGGTAGGATACCTCGACGAACTGTTGAGTAGAACAGCTCCATTGAAGCAGTACACATAGACTTTCCTATAGATGTCACTTCACCAACGATTGAAGAAATCAGGATGGTCATCAGATAAATCAAGAGTGGGAAGACAACACGACCTGACAATATACCACCTGAAGCACCGAAGTCAAACATAGAAGCAACTGCGAACATGCTTCACAGTCTATTCAGGAAGATTTGGAAGTGAGAACAAGTGACGATAGACTGAAAAGAAGAATACCTCATGAAGATACCAAAAAACGAAATCTGAGGCAATATGGAAACTACAGAGGCATCACAGTATTGTCAGTACCAGGAAAGGTATTCAGTAGTGTTGCTAAACCGGATGGAAGATTCAGACCGGATTCGATAAAGATCAGTCGTGCACAGACGAAATCGCGACACTACGGATAGTCGTTGAACGATCAATTTAATGGAACTCGTCACTATACATCAACTTCCTTGATTATGAGAGAGCATTTGACAGTGTGGATAGAAGAACATTATGGAAACCTCTTCGACAGTATGGTGAGAGTAGCTGAGGAGATCGTCAATATCATCCGGAATTCATACGACGAACTACAGTGCAAAATGATACATGGACGACAGGTGACAGACGCTTCCCAATAAAGGACCGGTGTCCGACAAGGCTGCTTACTCTTCTCCTTCCTCTTCCTTCTGGTGGCCACCTAGATTACGAAGACCCCGACGTATGAAGTGAAGCACAGAATAAAATCGGCAGCTCAGAATCAATTAGAAGATCTAGACCTTGCTGATGAACCAGCCCTTCTATCCCATGAACACGAGCAAATGCAGGTCAAGACAACCAGTGTAGAAGCAGCCTCTGAACCAGTAGGCCTCAACATACTGAATGGTAAAAGCAAGATCCTCAAATACAACACAGATAGCACCAATTCAACTACACTTGAGGGATAAACTTTGGAAGAGTTGGAAAGTTTAACTTATCTGGGTAGCATCATCGATGAACAAGGAGGATCTGATGCAGACTTAAAGGCGAGGACTGGCAAAGCAAAAGTAGCATTCCTACAGTTGAACAACATATGGAACTCAAAACGACTGTCAACCAATATCAAAGTGAGAATCTACAATACAAATGTCAAGACAGTTCCACTGTATGAAGCTGAAGCTTGGAAAACTACTAAAGCTATCATCAAAAAGGTACAAGTATTTCTAAACAATTGTCTACACAAAATGCTGAATTTCTGTTTGTTAGAAATCATGAGCAACAGCCTACTGTGGGTGAGAACAAACCAGCTTCCAGACGAGGAGAAAACCAAGAAAAGATGTTGGAAGTAGATGAAACACACATTATTGAAATCGCCAGACTGCATCACGAGGAAAACACTAACTTGTAATCTTGAAGAGAAGAAAAGAGTAAGATCAAAGAATACATTGCGTCGGAATTAAGAGGCATACATGAAAAAGATGAATAGCAACTGGAAAAACTTGGAAAGGCTTATCCGGGACAGAGTTGAATGGAGAATCCTGGTGTTTGGTTTATGCTCCTCCACGAAGGATAACAGGCATAAGTAACTCAGTAACTATCATGCATTCTAACGTCAGTGAGTTAAAAGTTCCCACTTTTCCCACTAAATTTCCGACTAGTTGTATCATTCAAATAAAAATCAAAACCTAAAAAGTATTTATCCAGAAATAAAAATCTTAATCACAAGAAATTATTTAAAAATATTATCTGTTCACTTCAATCTTTATCAGAAAATTTTATTACCATACATATTGATATTATTGACTACTGAAATTCATATTCATAACAATTTACTAATGGCTTCTGTCTGATTCTCCCATTATTAACATGAATATTAAGTCTTAACTGTTAATGTAAAAAAATTTCGACGAGACTATAATTTACGGACGAAACAATCACGTATAAGATAACAAATCTCGGATTTTGGCGCAAAATTCACTCCTCCATTCGAATAAATAAAGTTTTGGCATTATAGCTTATGTCAGTTCGTGATGAAAACCCTAAATCTAATTTCTAAGCTTAATCGTCAATCGTAAATTATAATTATAATTCCTCACACAGGTTCATAACCTTCATAGTGTCCTGGTTATTAGGTGGATACTCTCAAGGTCAGTCTAGTGTCGCTCAAAGATCGTCCATAAATTATGGTCTCACCAAAAACTCTTTAGTACATGATGTTGTTGATGAGGGTAATTTGAAGCAAAACTAATGGCACAAATTACTTAAAATCTTACCTCTTAAGGGTAAAGAACAAATCTGAAAACGATTATTGAAGAATTAATTAAATCTGTTAATAAGTTTCTTCTTAAATATACGGTTTAATTTAGATAAATACAAGAACTAAATAATTAAGTCTGTTGGTTATGAACGACCGTTAATCAGTTGTTTTTTTTGGCGAGACTATAATTTGTGGTCGAACCAATCAGATATAAAATAACAGTCTTGGATTTTGGGACGAAGTTCATTCATCTATTTGGCAAAATACCGTTTTGACACTACAGCTGACGTCAGTTCGTAATGAAAACCCTAAATCTAATTCTTTACTCTAATCATTATTTGTAAATCATCATTCTAATTTCTCACACTGGTTTATAACCCTCATTTCGCGTCGCTCAACGGTCGTCCGTAAATTACAGTCTCACCGTTTTTTTTTCAGAATACATCATATATATACACAATATTTTGTACTTCACAATTCCTAATCAACTATTCAGATGATTGTTGATCAAGAGAGAATTTAGCAAAACAATTATTTGATTGTACGAATACGCTGGAATTGAGGAGACTGTGTGTGAATACCATTTCAAAGTTACTGATATCTGATTGAAAGATGAAAACAATTGAGCTATGACTATACAAATATATGATCAAGCTAGAATTATAAACAGGGAATCAATGATGAAATTTAAATCAACTTAATAGATAGAAAGCCTAACTTCTGATGTTCTCCAGAGATATTTTGAATAAAGCTAAGAAAGCTATATTGTTAAAAAAAGGGAAGTATTATGTAGTTATAGGATTGATATACCTTAAAATTTCATAGAACAAGATTTATCTGACCTCAATCTATGTATTTATTGAACGGAATAAATTTATTAAAAAAAGATGAAGGTGTTAAAAGATAATTCATCTAACCAGAATTAATAACTATTTTTTCTTAACCATTCGATCCATATAATAAGAAATAGTTTACGATTATTACTACTCTTATTATGACATCTTCATTATTTAGATAGTGTTTCAAATAATGGATCACACAACAACTTGATCATGTAGACACTTTGTGTTTATTTACATACATTCAGTTAAAAGTAACCATTTTTACAGATAATGATAAACAAACATATGAAATAAAGATCTGTAGTATTGAATCCACTGATAAAGAACTTGCATTCCTCAGAAATGACGTTAGCTAAAAATGGATATCCAGTTCACTTTATAGAGAATAACATGAAAGACAGTTAGAGTAAACAATTCGGTCACTCCGTTTCAATGAAATAACTTTACATGAATCTGGAATTTGAAGGTGACTAAACTTCTGATGTATTTAAAAGCAGATTAGCAACAGCTTTTAAAAAGATTGTTTTTCATAGGAAAGCTGCGACTAACGTTCGTTTTTAAAAACTTGTTTTCCGTATCCATAAAAAATAAGTTCTATTGTTTGATCACCACTATGTACTTCTACCAGCTTATCTGCTGTTATGGAGTAAATTATATGAACCATAGCCGTTCCCTGCTTGCAACTAGAATAAAAGAACATATCCCTAAATCGTTCTACAAGGATGAGAGGAACACGGTTAAGGTTTATATTCTTAAACATCTAATCGATTCAAATAATTCAACCGATCACCCCCTCTCTTCAATTATTTCTCATCTCCCCATGATTTTATTTATGAATGTTTCTGTTATCACATCATTTAATTTTACCACCTTATTATCTTTGATTATTATAACAAAAACATTTTAATCATCTCACTTCATTCACATTATAATCCGTTGTTAACCTATTAATTTTCTATTTGGACATACACAATCTATTGTTGTTATTACTTACAGTACATAATCTAGTATTATAACTTTTCTGTTACATCATTACATTTATTATCGGTATAGGGTTGTGAAGATTAATAACGTTTTGATTGGGATCATGAACCGATTGATTTTAGACCACCAGGTTTTCAAACTACATTTATTGTTCCTCACAGAATTATTACTTAAATTTCATATATATATGACTATACAGCTTGATATTAAATTCGTTAAAAAGAGATCCTTTCACTGAGCTTGATGTTTTTCCATTTCGATAATACAACTTAACCATTTTTGATATTTTCATTTTCTGAATATTCCTCTTATTATATTTTAAGTAATTCAGTTGATTTCATCGGAAAATAAGAGTGGCTAAACAAAAACTTAGTCACGTTTCATGAAGATATTTATTACTGATTTAAACAATGTCGTTAAAGGTAGATTACATGGTTGTAGTCTACATCATAATTCTGAATAGTAATGAAAAACGTTGAATGGTATGATGCAGAATCGATCAAAATGACTAATAGACGCTCAATTTAGCTTTATTATTCTCTCATGAATATATTTTTAAAATTGTAAATGTTCCGTTTTTTTCGCAATATTGTTACTAAGTTATTTCGACTCTGTTAGGATGCGCAGAAAAATATACCAATAGTTATCATGTTAAGTATAATGTTGTCCTTGGACGTTAAATGTATATTTCCTATTGGTCGATATTTGCTTCACTTGTGTAATATTGTGTAAATGTTGTTTTCTATTTTTATGGTACGATGTGGTCTGCTTGGTTAGTATATAAACAGAGTGTGTTTGAAATATAATGATTCATATCTCAGAGGCTGTGACTTGCGTTCTGGACTCAACTGGCTGGGCTAAACAGCGAAGCAGGGCCAATCGGGACTCTAGGTCGTTCATCACGTGTTTACGTGTCACTGAATCGGTCGATAAATACGCCGCTCCATAACCTGCAGTCCACACTTTACAACAATTTTCTATTCTCAGAATGGGTTTTGTGGAGATTTTAGAAATTTCACAGATTGAAATCACGAGTCAGTTGAAGCTAGACCACCATCGAAAACCTGGAAGCACTGTACGGCCGTTTCATCCTAGTATGGTGGCGCAACTTCGTGGATTGATTGAAGTTAGACATTAACACCGTTGGATGCCGGCTCAGTGGTCTAGTGGTTAAGTGCTCGCGCGCGAAGCCAGTGGGTCCTGGGTTCGAGCCCCGTGTGGTGCGGGATCGTGGATACCCATTGCTGAGGAGTCCCACACTAGGATGAAACGGCCGTCAAGTGCTTCCAGGTTTTCAATGGTGGTCTAGCTTCAACTGACTCATGATTTCACTCTGTGAAATTTCCTATTCATCTTATCATGATTTTATGTTATGACTCTACATTAATTATAACTGAATGTAAATTTTATTGAATACATCTCTTGCTACTACACAAAGAATTTTCTATGGGATAGATTTCAGTTATGAAATGTAAATGATACATTGTCATTATATTTAATAAACTATTCATATTATAGTTTAAACTAACTTCATTGAATATTGACTCATTATTTGAACTGAATTTTGTAAAATCAACAACTGGTGAATTTAAATCAACTCCATTGAATATTGATGATGCAAATGATTCATTATCATGTTGTTGAGTAACATAAAGTTGATGTCTAGGTATTAAAAAAAAAATGTAGAAATTTGTTCCATTACAAATAAGCATGAATAATTTAGAATTCAAAATAATTTCACTAAAAGTATGATAAAATATAAGATCAAGTGATTTTAAAGAAATAGACTATACATGATTTACAATATTGAATGGTTTCAGATAGACAATGAATAAAAAGTATTTCTCTTTTGACAATTTTCTTTGTTCTAGTTTGAGATTTCACAGCAATATGTGCACATGTTCCCACTAGGAATGGAATTCAGGAACTTGTGATCTTGTTACAAATTTGCTACTTTAATGCATTTGAGCTAGAACTTAATGATCCAGTTGTCTTGAAACAACATTTAAGAGTTCTGTGATTATTTAATTGAGTTCAGTCTATGATGTACATTATTGTTAAATTTAACAATCTCGATATGTATCTTATCTTAATAATCAACTTTAGTTAAACAAAGAATGTATCAACACATAGGAGCAATGTTAACTAATACAGAAGAACAATAAGAAGAGAATTGTGCAAAGACTTTTGCATTATAAATATGCACATGGATTTAAGATGAGATTTTAAATCATATTATCATGATACAATTATGCAATGAAATCTATCTAGTATCATTAATCTTTTTCAAATAACTAGAAAATGGTTTTTAGTCATTTTGAATTTACACAAATGAAATAATTAAAATATAGAATTATAACTCTGTGATAGTGGCCCGAATAGCTCAATGGCTGGAAGTATATGACATGCTGAAAACGACGTCATAGAGTAAAATAAGAAAATTATCAGGATTGTTTGCTTGTTTCGGGGTTCCAAAGATCTTGGTAACTAACAATGGTACTCAGTTTATGTCATCTGCTTTTAAACGGTTTTGCAGCAAAAATGGTATAACGCATCTACAGTCAAATAGCCAGGCAGAAAGATTCGCGAATACGATAAAAAGAGCTCTGGTTAAAGGGAGAGGAGAGAATATTTCAGAACAAGTGGTCATTAAATGCTTAATGTCTTACAGAGTTACCCCTAATCCGATAGTGCCAGAAGGAAAGTCACCAGCTGAGTGTATGTTCGGACAGTCTTTCACAGTATGTTGCCGCTCAGTAAGACAAGCAAATCCACGAACGAGTATTGAACGATAGCTCGCAGCTCCCAGAAGGGTGAAAGGGTGCTTGTGAAGTCGTATCAAGGTGATAGGAAGTGAGAACCAGGGGCTATAGAAGGTCGTATTGGAAATGTACTGTACTTAGATCGGAGAAATGTCGAAACATGTATAAGACATATAAATCAAATTCAAAGCGATGGCAGAACATTGGTCACACAAAGCCGACTCCCGTTTCAAATGCTCGTGGAACCATGTAGAAAAAACCCTAAGGAGAACGAATGTATAAGATATAAAAGATTATAGGGCAAAGCGGCACGAACTTAATGAGTGATAGACCTCAAGAGGAATGCGTTGACCAGGTTTTAAGGGGAATCGAGGAAAAAGCCTCACAGAACAGACTTTAAAGGGGAGAGGTGTGAGGGCGGTACGGATAGCCCATTGGTGACGTCATTGAAGCTAGGTGACATGGGATCGAATCTGTTAGGGAGCATCAATTCCCCCAAACTCAAACAACCTTTTTACATCTAAGAACATGTTAATCTAACACATGTTAATAAATCTTTAATTACATAGGTGTTTATACGTTTTCTGACACAATAAATCATCTAATTTATGACATAAAACATTCCGTACACGCGTCCTATACATTTTTATGTTTACATAACGACTCAAATTTTGCCTCTTAATCAAGTTAATTCTTGAGGTACTAGTGTTTTTTTTTTAATTAGTAGACCGAAAGCTATGAACATCAGTTCCTAGTCAACAAAAACGCCTTGTCAATTCTTTCAAACTACCTCCGATAATTTAGAGTATTACATTACTCATAGTAACAGTGCAGAATTATGCCTCTGACACAGTCAAATAGTTAGTTATTAACCAACTGTTTACTTCAATTATGCGATTAATAAACGTTTGTATGATCGTATTCAATTCACTAGTTTCATTATAAATAATAATAATGTTCATTTATCAATCAAAATAATAATTATAATAATTACCTGGACCAAGCAAAAGATTTTGTATATTTATCACTAAAAATTGTTTTAATTTGACCTTTATTAATAATCAATAAACATTTATCATTTTTATAATATTGATTTATTTCATTTAAATTATTTATATTGAAATTTGTTGAACAAATTAAATATTGTTTAGGTAATTCAAATTTTGTTAAAAATCTTGCTTCCATTTCAGTTTTAGGTATATCAATAGATAACCATAATAAATCTGAATGATTTAATGAATGATTTAATTGTTTTAAATGATCAATATTCATTTGATTTTCTGTTAATGATCCATGTATTTGAATTATTTTCATAAAATTTTTTCTATTTACAATATCTATATCAATTTTATAATGAAATAAATGATGATGTATAACCATATAAATTGGATTAATAATAGTTGGAAAACCATATTTTATATTATATTGATAATATGAATTTAATTCTATATCAACATGAATATAACCAGTTGGTGTTACTGAAAATTCAATTATACCAGATGAATAAAAAATTATATCAAATATATAATCATAATTAAATAATGTTGATATTGTACGTACAATTAATGAATAACTTGTTATACCATGACCAAAATTTGTATATTTTGTTTTATTTTTATTACCAAAATAATCATTAATATGAAATTCAAAATGTCGTCTAATTGGACCATTATATGGATTAGTTTTATATTCAAATAAACAAATACCATTTTTTATAAATTTAGGACCAGTTTCACCTGAATCAATTAATCTTACTGGTAGATAAATAGCATCTTTTGGACAATCTAAACCTGGACTTAATTCTGAAGTCATACCGCCTATTCCAAACATTGATTCTAATGATGTCATTGCTTGCATAAATGGGGATTTACCCCAGTATGATGTTACTGTTTCCTCTAAACCAGCTTCAGATATTAAGCTAACATTTGCAAAGTATACATTAAACACTCTAAGTCCTGTATCTCTTCTAACAGTTACATGAAAATCCCATCTGTCATATTGGATTCGACGATTCCTTACGTGAATTAAATTGTCTTTACGATTAGTTGTTTGAGAATTACTTTTCATGAATCGATTGTTATGTGTTGTGGATTGTTGACTGGGACCCGGTTTTAATTGATTATGATACATATCTACAAACTGATGTTTGATCACTTTAAGTTCACCAGAATGATATTTACTTAAAAGTTCTTCAATTGATGTGAACATATGACCTTGAAACCAAATACCCAATAAATCCCATTCATCTGGATCCAATGATGTTTGATCAATCTGTAAATAAAAGTATTTAAAGGGAAAAATAGACTTATGTTTATTATACAGATTACAGAATTCTATTATTCTAAATTATATACATATAACTGATATATGTACTTGAAACGATATTCCTACGAAGAATTGCTATTCAACAAACTGTATTCCAGGTCTTTCAGTTCAAAACGTTATTGACCCTCGAAGAATTTGACAAAAGGTCTTTAAAAAAATTTCAGATTTCCGGCTTTTTGCATCTACTATATATATACGAGCCACCGTTTAATTAGAGTAGAATTCTATCACTGAAGATTATGTTCGTCTATTAACTGTATTCACCATCAGTTCAGAAAGACGATAAACTAATTGTATCAATATGAATTAGATTTCTTAAACATGGAATAAATCAAAACTTCATGTCTGCAGCGAAAGTGTTGATATACTATTAGTAATCCATTTTGGAAATTGTTAGATTTCCTTGAAATCATGAATGGATCTAGGCCAGACCACCATTGAAAAACTGGGAGCATTGAATAGTCGTCTTGTCTTGGTGCAAGAGTTCTCAGCAGTGCGCCCCTAAGGACTGAGGACTTAACGCTTTTAAAAGCGAATTCCTCGAAACTATTATTGAACTATACTATAACTTCTTAAAGTGAAGAAATAAGTTAAGATACATTGATCAGCGGTTCTGTTCTTTTTTTGAAACATTTAACCATAATAACAAAATTGTTATTTAATTACTGAAAACGACTGTAAAGTATACGCGAATCAAATTGAAAGTGTGATCCCTTGAAGGATAATCACTGCTATTAAAAACATAAGAAGAACATGATGGATATGTTTCTGGGAGACTTAAGCACTCTCATTTTATATTCTGCTAACTCGATTTTTTCCTTGTTCTTCAACAAGTTTACAGGACACTGCCTTACCGTCAGATAAACACCAGTATCAATGAGAAAGGCGATTTCTAGTAACTGAACATGATTCCATTTATAAGTGTAAACTTGAAAAAGAATTTGACGAAACCAAACAGAATTATTTTTCCAAAAACGAAATATTCTTTCACATGGTTGAATCATCGAAAATCTGAAAGTACTATACAGTTGTTTTCTATTAGTTTGTAGTTACTCAATAAGCTTTATTCGTATGCATATTAAATTTGAAGTCAAAACCTTCTAGTTTAATGGTGATCAACTTACTTCTAGACCATTTAGTCGGAATCCGTTGGCTAATATTTCAAACTTCATATAATAACGTCTATAAGTCATATTGAAGTTAGCAATAGGCACACAATTTGTTTAGCTTTAATGGTTAACTCCCTTACTGCAAGTAATGAAGGTAATGAGTTCAATTTTGTTTAGAATCGTACGTGCTTATTTCTAAACTCTGTTAAACCAAAATGAAATAAATTGATATTCTTATGTATTTGATAGTTCTTCAAATGATGACAAACTTAACCTGACCAATCCCTCCAACATTTTAAACGTTCGTAATACAAGAAATGATTCAACACTTTATTTCAAGATTATTGGTAAATACATATATTTATTTATCCTACTGAAAGAATAGTTCATTGAATTTTTATGTGGTATTGTGATTAGATGACTCCAATAAGAAAAAGGTTAAAGTCATAAATTACTAGTAACTACTTATTTTTTTATTGGTATCATGAGTCATTTGAAGCTAGACCACCATGGAAAACCTGGAAGCACTGGACGGCCGTTTCGTCCTAGTATGAAACTCCTCAGCAGTGCTCATCTACGATCTCGCACCCCGCGAAACTCGGACCCAGGACCTATCAGTCCCGCGCCAGGCACTTAACCAAGTAGACCACTGAAAACGATATACTGTACATAAGTGTGGGATCGTGGATGCGCACTCCTGAGGAGTCCCATACTAGAACGAAACAGCCATCCAGTGTTTGCAGGTTTTCCATGGTGGTCTACCTTCAAATGACTCATGATTTCAACCAAAAACTTACCAATCTCCACAATGCCTAAACTGATAACTCCTTATTTATTTGACAATAGCATCAATAAATAGTTTATGGTACTAATTTTTAAATTGGCATACTGATTTTAACCTATAATCTAAGGGGTATTTTGCACCCTCTACTACTAACATTATATATATACAAGTAGTGTAAATAAAACTTACATGAAATTGAATATCTACAGGATATTGTATAAATGGAATAACTTCTCTGCATAATCTTATCCATATACGACGTCTTTCTGGTGCTTCAGATGTAATCAATGGTGAAGCAAATATTGGTATTAAACAATTTGGTCTTCCTTTAATATTATTATTATTATTATTATTATAAATTAATTGTTGACATAATGAATTTGTATTATTGAATTGATTATATTTATATAACCAATAATGATTTAATGGTTTATTCATAAAATAACTTGCTGAATAAGTTTCTTCAATAATCATATTTATACGATTTATTTTTATTGTTAAATAATCTAATAAAATTTTATATTCAATATTCAATAATGGTCTTTTATAATATGGATATATATTTAAAAGTTTAATTATTTTTGGTTTATTTAATGGACCAATATAATATTCTTTAATTTTAGGAATTTTTAATGAACCAAATAAGATAATTACAATGCCATATCTTTCTAATGGAGTTAATTCACCATTATTATTATTATTATTATTATTATTATTATTATTATTATTATTATTATTACCATTATTACTATTACTATTATTATTATTATTAATATTATTATTATTATATAATGTATGAAAATAATTGAAACGTTCTGTTTTATTAGGAATATGTAAATTTAAACTTAATAAATAATTCATTTTAAGTTGTTCAAACCATGTTTTATTATTGAATAATTGATTATCAGTAGTATATTTATTAAATGCATAAAATGAATTAAATTTTAATTTTAAAAAATTGACAACATTTTCATATTCTTCTTCATTTGGTTCATCAAATAAACCAAAATCTAAATTTATATTATTATTATTATTATTTTGTTTTAATGTATGATTTTCAATTTGATTTATTGTTTTATTGTATATATTCATATGTGAATCATTTGTATTTGTATCATTATTGAACAATGAATTGAATGTATATGACGAGTATAAAGTTGAATGAGATGAATTTGAGCAATCATTTGATTTTGATAAGATTATATTATTTTGTATATCAGTAGTATTTTTATTTATTAGATAATTTTTATTACAATGAATTAAATTATAACATAGAAAATATATTGCTGGGAATATAATACAAATAATAATCAATATTGGTAAGATTATCCTGTAAAAGAAAAAAAACATGTTGTTTTTAATTAAGAGTAATATATTCTCATTAGAAGTATTGAATTCATGTAAAAATAATATTTATTCAATTAAGAAAGAGTGTAAACTAAATGAAGAAATTATAAGGAAAGATGGATAGTGTCTAGCAGTGGAATCTAGGAATCGTGTTTCGTTTTATTTGGGACTCATCAGTTGGATGTACTTACATCTCAGAGTTGATGTTTACTCTACGACTCAAACTCAGTAACATTCGCATCAAATGCTATCACGTTATCTAATTACCTATTGAGTCCTAAAAGCCACTTACTTATGCTATGGGGTGAGTTAAGGCAATATCGAGGGAATCCATACACTATGCACGTATGTTAATAAGAGACTGATCAATTGCAGTCCGAAACATCATTGGAAGGATTTAAGTAAACAGTACCAAATAAATTTAAATAAATAAATATTTCACTTCACATTATCTTTAATCTTTGATTCTACATATAAATGAGTGAATAGTCATATTGATATATGAAACTAATGAATTGGAATAGATGACTAAAAATCAGCTATTCGATGGTATTTCAGTAAAAAAATAGTAAATAGCGTACATTGGATATTAAAACTAGAAACATTGTTTCCATGATATAGGATTAAAAGATTATTGATACAACTTGCTGATGAATGCCAACTAAGAAAAATATTGGTTTCCTACCACTTGCCTTTAACTAAATAACATGAAAACTTAGTGCGTGATAGTTAAAAGTAACTTAGACTAGTGGCCACATTACAGCCTGGTCAACTGAATTTAGTCCGCGCTAACTACCAGACCACATGATATTCATTACTACTATGTGATTAGTTACCTTGAATTTTTCAGTTCTACAAGAGATAAATATCGTGTATGAGGATATAATATATATATATATATAACTGATATTCTGTTGTGATTCTCGAAAATGTGTCTCAAACCAATAATACGAATAATCAGTTAATTAACTTTTACATATTTAGTAACCACAAATCTCAAATTAATGAACACATGAAAGATGTGTTTTTTTAAATGAATCCTTAATGTTATAAATCACTGATGAATAAAAACGTTGAAACATAGATAATTGTTTCGACCTGTCATAGAAACGTTAGTACCTAACACTAGAATAAATTTGTAAATATTCCAAACCAAATCAATGAAAATCAAATGAATATTTATCCAGCAGTTTAGGCGTTGTGGAGATTGTTAAGTTTTTTTGGATTGAGATCATGTACCGATTGATGTTAGACCACCATTGAAAACCTGGAAGCACTGGACGGCCATTTCGTCCTATTGTGGGAATCTTGAACAGTGCGCATCCACGATCCCGTTCGTGGGATTCGAACCTGGGGCCTTCAAACCAAATCAATGAAAATCAAATGAATATTTATCTGGTAGATTATGTCGAACTGAGGGATCTCTCACAAAGAGAATATTCTAACAAATTAAAACAAAACACTTACGAAGAATTTTCTTTCCATACACTTTTTGCATTAAAGTTATTCAAATGCTTATTTGATAAAGATATCCTTAATTGATGAAGGATTGTACATTAGATGCACTAACATGGATAAACTGACTCAGATAATTTCTTACGTAATTTTCTATCTTACTAATACTAATGTAAACCATACAATTAGTTAAATAAAATTACCCTCAGGATTACTTTGTCTTCTATTATAAGATGAAGTGTTTATTTTAAGTAATGAATAACTTTACCAAAATGTAAATAAGGTGGTCTTGATATATCACATAAATATTTTGATCATTAATTCTTTAGAGTGAAAAATGTACGTCTTACTAAGTTTTCATATCGTATAAATAAATACAGTTCATTTCTGATAAGATATGTCTACTGAAGTCAAGATTTCCATATAAAATATACAATGTTCTACTGAGGTTATGATTGATTAGTAGTAGTTCAGATACGTAAATTATTAGGAAGACTAAAATATATGTAAAACATAGATGTATAGTGGGTAGTAGTGGAATCCAGGACGCGCGTTTCGTCCTGTTTAGGACTCGTTAGCTGGATGTATCTGCATCTCAGAGTTGGTGTTCACTCTGGGACTCGAACTCAGTGCCATCCGCTTCAAACACCATCGCGTTATCCACTTAGCTACTGAGTCCTGATAGCCACTTGCTTGTGCAATGTGGTGAAGTTTAATTAACTTGGTATTGTTTTACTTGCACATATGCCAATAACAGACTGATCAGTTTCAGTCCTAAAACAGCAATAGCAAGGTTCAAGTAAAACAATACCAAGTGAATATATGTAAAACGTTTGTACGGGATCTAAGTGTTTATTTTTAAACAGGTATTTGATGATAATGAATTAAAACTTGAAGGTACATGTTCTTTTTATAGAAATTTCCCCAGTTATTTTAACTACTATAACTGAATTAGTTACTTCTAAACATTTCATCCTAGACAGGACTCACTAACTGAATATGCTTACACTTAAGTGTTTGATGTTTATATCGAGACGCATCCATTTCAAATGATCCACTTAGTTATCGAATCCAGACAACCACCGTAGTGGAGATAAATTTTACTGCATTTGTACATATGAAACGGATTATTTATGATTATTGAAAAGAAAGAAGCAGAATAACTTATATAAGAGAACAATGTTGTTTTTAATTACATATTTATTTGACTCTACCCCAATATACAGCAATATGTAAGTATTTTGACATACAAATATGAAAAATATTAAACCAATCAGGATAATCTACAACTCAATGATAACAATGAAAACGGATTATGTAACTATATGTGAAATATATATTTGAAATAATCTCAGCGATTAAAATTTAAATAATTCCAACGTTTCGTCCAGCTAACTTGTCTGAACTTCTTCAGTGTAATAGTCAAAATCAAAATCATCAGATAAATATATACTTATTTATATATATATACCCTGAAGAAGTCCAGACAAGTTAGCTAGACGAAACGTTAGAATTATTTAAATTTCAATCGCTGATATTATTTCAATTATATATTTCATCTATAATGACTTCTTTGTACTCGGCGCCCAAGTTCTATCAAACTATTCGTTTTTAATCTTGACAAATATTCGTATAGATTATGTAACTGTTTATAATTCACTAAAAGTACAAATTGATAATGAGATGATATGTATCGTAGTAAATATATAAATAACAAACACCATGATAACATGAACAAATATACTGATATAGGTTAAAACTTTATAAAAAAAAACTTATCAATGGAATAATCACTTAAATTACGCAATGACAATTTCTATATGAATAATCAAATTAAACAATGTAAGGAGTAAAGAGGTGATACATAAAGTTGAGTGGGGGGGACTAAAGATAAATACATCTGTAATCGACTAGTAGATTTAATTGTGAAAACTCTGTAGAATAATTTATCAACTATTAGTCAATCAAGGAAGAGTTAACGAGATGTTACTAATTTGACCTACTTTCTATGTCAGTACATTTGTTTATATTATCATGTTGTTTATTATTCATTTATTTGCTATTATACCTATCACCTCATTATCGATTTGTACTTTTCGTTTATTATAACTAGCGCTAGAATCCATTTGGTATTGTTTATTTGAATCTTTCATTTGATGTTCAGGACTGCAATCGATCAGTCTCTGATTAGCATATGTTTATCCTGTCCGGATTACCTTGATATTTCCTTAATTCACATGCATTATAAGTAAAGATGGATGGTGGCTAGCATTGGAATACAGGACTTTGCGTTTTTTTTCCTATTTGGGACTCGTCAGCTATATGTACCGGAATGAACATCAACTCTGGGATGAAGGTACACTCGGATGACGAGTCCTAAATAGAATGAAACGAGCATCCTGGATTCCACTACTAGTCACCATCCATTTTAACCATAGAATCCGTTATCATTGACCTGCAAATTATCCTGATCGGTCTAATATTTTCCATACATATGTATTGCTGTATATTACGGTAAAACATGATCGCTATCTCTTTGCAAAAAATACTGTTCACTTCTATATATTATTCTGACTTACACTATCGGAATTTCTAATATACCTGTCATATATCAACACACTATTATGTGAATAATCCATTACGATTCCCGATATTCCAATTCATTATATTCTGTATATTCATTGATCCTACTGCCATAATTCATGAATCATAAATAAACTAATGTATTAATCTGCTACTTGATACTAACCAGTATTACAGTTTACAACCGGTATCGATTCATTTCATTCAGAGGTTACATTGTATTTTCGATTGATAAATCTCAACTATCATGGAAAGAACATGTTACATGTGAATTTATATTTCTAAACTATTCACCTATTTACAATCCTTAATGATTTCATAATAAACTTAAAATAAATAAAGTAGTAGGAAAAAAATAATAATAAGTTAATGGGAAAAAAATTTTAAGATTGGCATTTACATTCTATGTCTCCAAGGTATTTACAAAATACTTTCTTTTTTTTTCCACGTAAATATTCTTTACTTTGAGAAAAAAACAACGACAAAAAAAATAATCAATAAAATAGTTCTTCGCTTTCGAATATTTTCATAAGAATTTAGATTTAGTTTTTGTTATAGTTAAAAATGTTTTGGAAGTTTCAACTATTTCATTTAGTCTTAAAGATCATCTAAGAATGTCAATGAAATTGCTTTACAATATCACTAATTGCGTAAGATTTAAACTAAGATATTCCATTTGTAACAGAATGTATATATATATATATATATATATATATATATATATATATATATATATATATATATATATATATATATATATATACTTGAACATAGTTACTAAATTTCCTGTTTTGTTTACCATTTGTTTATTTATGTTTTGAGCTCTTATCAACAACCTTAATCTTTGGTCATGTTAACCTGTAAATACCAAGTATAAACATGTAAATAGTTATAATAGATTTTACTGAGTGATCATCATTCAATTTATTTATTTAGTTGTCAGGTAGAATTTAAAGTTTATTTGTTTTTAATAAATGTTGACTAATAATAATGTTTAAGATTATGAACTTTAAAATTGTTAATGTATTTATGGATTAAAAATTTTATCTGAATTATTTTTCATTGAAATTTTGTAATTATTAAAGTTCACTCCTCCTGGAGTCCCCCTGGGGGCTACTGCCGGTTCCAAGCCCGGATAAAAGAGGGGGGTTGGGCATGAGGTTAGCGACCCCATCCCATAGAAAACTAACTCGCTAAAAAAACGCTAACCAGAAAAGATTATTGAAAATTATTCAAATTATTCAGTAATCAATAAATTAATCACTGATCAGTTTGATTGAATTGATCGTTTTCCAGTTGATAAAAAGAAAAGATCGAGATACCCCAACCCTCAATCATTCACCTTATAATTAAACAAAGAGATACATTATATGAAACTATACATGCATACATAGAAGGTTTTTCTTGACTTCTTTGATTCAGTAACCTTTTTAATATATATGATATTTTGAAAGCTAAGTATCACGGTCATACAACATATATCTATCTCATTCAATTTATCTCACTAAGACTACAAAGCATAGTTCTGAAAAAAAGGGTAAGAAGAAAGATTTTAACAGAATAGCACAAGTTGGTTCTATTTTGTTTAGTTCTCATCAAGTGCTTACAATATGTAGTATTTAAAAATCATAATTAATTAGTCTATGAAATTTATCTACCCTCTTGCTCTACTATTGTGGTATGAGCTATTTATATCCACATAAGTAGTATACAACAATAGTTAGGAATAGAATGTATTTCAACAGAAGATCGAGAAGAAAAGAACGGAAACGGAAAGCATTTGATATGAAAATGCAGGTGCAATGAAATCTGAGACGATGGACTGATATTTGCAAAACAAACAGTCAGGTTTGAGACAATGGATTAATATTTAGTAAATTAAGTATTATTGTATGATTCTCAGATTTTACTAAGAGATTCTCTGTTTGTGTTTTAAGTACATTCGATTGTCTAGGCTCGTATTCCTGTTCACAACACTATTACTAATATATAGCCATGTCAATTTTCAATCCAACCCTTTCATGTGAGCAACATGAAGCCATTTTGTAATTATGGTTCATACATATGAATACACATATTTCCAAGAAGCAGTGAAACAAAGTGAATTATCAATCTGACCTTCGGTGGAAATTTTCATGACAATATGTTGCACAATTTAAATAAAACCAATAAAACTCTTAACTTCGTATGAGTAATTCTTTTCAATTTAAGGAGTCCTACAATAGGACGAAACGGCTGTCCAGTGCTTCCAGGTTTTTCATGGTGGTCTAGCTTCAATTGACACATGATCTTAACTATTTTATTATTATAAATAGATATCGTTTGAACAAACATAACAGATTGCGAAGTACTATTAACCTAAAGTTAACTATCATCACAAATCCAGTAACAATCAGATAGACAATAAATATAAAAGAGTTCTCAATAATTGTTACGTTGCCTTATACTTTTCTTAAAATGTTAATTAAATTTTCATTTGAATTGATTCAGTTTTACAGTCAATTACCATCGCTAATCGTTACATCAAGGCCTACGTATCCCTCTTTTACAGTTTATATATAAGCTATATTAAATCATTTTTCTAGAAATATGGTCACATTTACTTGCCAAATGTTTTTGCAAGGCTCTATAGTATATACAAAACAACTCCAATCCTTATTATAGTATATTGGTTAGCTCGGTGCGGATAAAAATTAACACGAAAGTACTTAACGATTAATTTAGAAATTAAAAAAAAAACTCCCTTAAGTTTCTGTTTTTTCCTTCTTATATGTTACTAATCAATTAATACTTGATCGTTACAAGTAAATCTATTGATAGACGATTTTAAAAAATACTTACTTCAACCAATTCTTTTGAAGAAAACGTTTACTTCTATTATTGTTACCATTATTTGGCACAATATCTGTCTTGTCACTGAATGGTGATAATTCTTGTGAATTTGAATTTTCTGGCAATTCTCTTTCAACATTTAACAGTTGATGATATTGATCATAATACATTTCATTAGATGATTTCAATCTGAATTCTGTTCCAGGCTAAAAAAGAATGGCAAACATACTCAATATTATTATAGTTTAAACCATGAACAAATTTTAGTTGGACAAACAGTGAAAGCCTAGAAACATTGAAAGGTCATTTTATATAGGACTTCTCAGTAGTATGCACCCACAACCGTGAACGCGAGAATAAAACCCGAAACCTTCACTCTCGTATGACAACGCCCAACTTCTTGACCACTGAAATGACATCTAATTGTGTTGACATTTTATATCAATCAATCCGTGGGATTACGGGACCATTTTCCACACATCCGACACAGCTTAGCTCTATTATTCATGGCTTAGCGCTGGAACTCCATGAGTTGTTTCCTGAATCTATCCACTGATGAAGTTGAAATACTAGTTGAAATACTGGTTGGCAAATCTTCGGGGCTCCCCACAATAAATTATGGCATCAATACATCAGATTACTGACTCTTAAGCTAAGCCATATCCATGGGTCTAAACTTTAATATTCATTTTTCACTACCACTGAAATCAATATTGATTTAGCCTTTCTGTTGTTGCAACTGCCCACCTCATTTTACTGCTATGAAGTAAAACGACTTGAAATTAAAAATATTTACATCATATGTTACAGTTATGCTGTATGCTACTTATATCTGTTAACATAATAAATGTGTAACATCAATCGGAAGGGGAAAACCTAACAACAGAAAGCTAATAAGATCGAGTTGAAGAGAACATAAGGAAAAATAGAACAGTACTGTGAACTGAAAGTATCATACAAAATGTGAAGGACAAATGATGGAAATTCGAAAATGAAGTATTCAATCTATGCTTCTCATATTTTACCAAGATATTCTGTGATCTTATGTTTAAATATATAGGTTATCCCCTACTTGTATTCTCATTCACAACAAACTGTTTGAGGAATCCCTATGTTTGAATTCCTATTATTTTATTCACATATGTAACAGATAAAATCATATTTACAATTTACTAATAATTAGATAATATGTTTAACTTGTTCAATGATATCATCTGTATATCATGAAATACATATTGCGTAACTTTAAAGACAGTAGTAATTTATTCTAAATTTTATTTATTGCATGATACAAATAACATTTACTTCTTACTTACTAAAATACACTTGATGAAACAAAATAACAACAATAAAAAACAAAACTAGATGCATTTTCTTTTTACCCAATAATATCATCAGTTTAGGGCTTGTGGAGATTGTTAAGTTTTTGATTGAGATCATGAACTGATTGATGTTAGACCACCATTGAACATCTGGAAGCTCTGGACTGCCATTTTGTCCTTTTGTGGGACTCCTGAGCAGTGCGCATCCACGATCCTGCTCGTGGGATTCGAACCTGGGGCCTTCAATCTCGCATGCGGACGCTTAACCTACTAGACCACTGAGTCGGCATCCAGTGGTGTTTTCAATGGTGGTCTAACATTAATCAGTTCATGATCTCAATCAAAGACCAATAAAATGTTATTCATCTTGAGTATATTGAAAACGCACTATCTCTTATTTATTACTCATATCCATTAACTTAACTAGATAATTACAATAATATAAAAATTACTATATATATATATATATATATATATATATATATATATATATATATATATATATATATATTAATTTTTACAGGTTATAATGGACTCATTCTGCCCTATTTCATCTTTTTTATAAGACTTTACTAGTAATAATTAGTGTAATTGTATTATGCCAATAGGGATAATTATGAATTTAATATAAATAATAAATGTATATTGACCAGTTACAGTATGAAATACAATTACAAAGTCAAATTATAGATTCGATAGATAATTATTTATAGAAAGAAAACGTATGATTTGGTATGATATAACTAAATAATTGAATAGATTGATAGATAGATATCTACTTAACTTTAAGTTATTAAACAGTTTAGATCAACTTCTGAAATATGAATAATGAAATGTAGCTGAAATTTAAAATTCCATGGTTGAAGTTGAATGATATAACCATTAAATTGATATGCAAATTTTTCTTCATAAATATATATTCTTGTATATGGTTAATTGAAGAAGAAAGTACCATGACTTAACCTGGTAAGTATAAGTATAATTATAAGTATCAGTATACTTTATTTATATAATACTGGAATGAGTTATTTTTGATTGTATAATATAATATTGTATATTACTAGTAAATTAAATTGATTGATTGAAGAAAGCCAACTCAATATTATGTAGTGTAGGATATAATAACAATAAATGGGATGGTGGAGAAGATTTGTAGCTCAGGTGGGTGATTTTGGTGAAGTTTTGTTCTCTGAGGTGGATGGTTTGGTCGTGGAGGTTTCAGAAGAACAATGAAAGCTCCACGAACAAAACTCCACCAAATAACAATAAATTCTTAGTAGTTAATTTTTCACAGATTAACATCGAGAGGACAACCAGAGACCTCTAGACAATAATTTTATATTATCACAGTTAAATTTACGAGTCAATCTAGGTTAATCCATCCTTTAAAACCTGGGAGCACTGGACGACCGTTCAGTTTTAGTATGATATTCCTAAGAAGTGCGCATCCATGATTCCGTACCAAAGGGACTCTAACCCATGACATTTTATCTCAAGTGTGAACGCTTAACCTCTAAACCACTGGTTCGGCATCCACAGTGTTATAGTCTTACTTAAGTCAATTCATGATCATGTGTAATCCTTCATTCGTTGTCGGAGGTGGATGACTGTCACCATTTTACTCCTGAATTCAGATGATGAAATACCACAACCTTCACATCAACATCGCTGGATACCGAACCAGTGGTCTAAAGGTTAGGCGTTCGCACTTGAGATCCAATGTCCTGGGTTCCTGTCCACTTGGTGTGGGATCGTGGATGGGCACTTCGGAGGAGTCTCACACTACAACATAATGGCCATCCAATGCCTTCAAGTTTTCAATGGTTATCTGGCTTAGACTGACTCATGAATTCAATCAGGAAAATCAAACCTACTAAGCAATTTAAATAGATTACACTTCTCTAAGTTCAGTATAACCAACAAAAAGAAATCAAAATTCAACACTTACGAACTGTAATCTGCAAAATAAAAATTGCAGTAATTACCAGAAAATCAGAACAAGACAGTAAGAAATCATTTATAACTTTTTAATATTCATTAAAGGATATTGTTTTTCTTTGGTCGCCATTGTTGTTATAGTGGAAACTGTTCAGAAAAATGCTTAAATATGCATACTACTTTATATTATGTAACATTGTTTTAATAAAGTTTAAAGTCAATTTTGTACTGTTGAAATCTCATTGATGAATTCTGTTTGAATTCATGTTCATCTCCCTATACACGCTGATAATTCATATTTAAATTGATCGTTTCGTTAGTTAATTGAAGTTTGAAATACAGATACATAAATTATAATTAATTTGTCTAAAATAAAAAAAACATGTAGCTCTAAAGGTCCCACATCTATAGAGTCACATTTTTAATTGATTTTTTAATTTCAGTAGATGAAATCATGAGTCAATTGAAGCTAGACCATCATGGAAAACCTGGAAGCACTGAATGGCCGTTCTGTCCTACTAAGGGACTCCTCAGCAGTCCGCATCCACGATCCCGCCCTGCAAGAGTTTGAAACTTTCGTGAATTCGTTGAAATTAAACATTAACACCGATGGATACCAGCTCAGTGGTCTAATGATTAAACGCTCGAGCGCGAAATTGATAGGTCCTAGGTTCGAATCTTGCGAGGTGGGATCATGGATACGCACTACTGAGGAGTCACATACTAAAACAAAACGACCGACTAGTGCTTCCAGGTTTTCCATGGTGATCTAGCTTTTAATGGATTCGTGATTTCAACTCCTAAAATCTCCATAAAACCCATTATGATTTCATAATTAACAATAAATCATGAAAAAAAAAGTAAAAAGTAATAATAATCACCCTTTTAAAACAAACGATGTACTAATATCTCTATAGAATTAATTAACTTTGTAATTATTTTGTAAATTAATAATTAAATTACTACTTACCATATTTTAATTATTCATTCATTAAGTTCATTAATGACAATAAAATTCAATTTTCATTATTTAATATTCAATTTTAAATGTTTATTAACTTGTTTATTTATTTATTTATTTGTCCATCCAATTGGAAGAAAATAAAAATGGATCTCCTTTTTTTTCTCTCTTTTTTTTTCTTCTTCTTACATAACAATTTATAGTTGTGTTGACTTTTCTTCACCATTATTGTATTTCACTTATTAACCAAAAATGTAATCTATTCAAGAATTCTATTCATTGGTTCAATATAAATTATGATATTCATCCAATCATTCTATCATAAGCTTCTATATATATATGTATAGTCTCTTAGCTACTGTTTAATAACAAGTTTTTAAAAAGAAAATAGTATGTTTATTCCAATAGTACAAACCAGACAAAGCATCTATTATCTATATCTATATCTATATAAGTCCATTAGTAACTATGTATATACTATACAGTTTAATGATGAATATGAATAGTATACATATATTATGTATATCTAACTGATATGTAAATGACATGCTACAATATTTTATTACATAAAAATTCTTTATGTGTAATGATATATGTAAATTTCTTTTAAAGTATTTCTCTTCTTTTGAAAATAAAGAAGAAACAAAAAAGAGAAAGATTATTTCTGTTTACTTTTATAACTATACATGATTGATTCTCTTAGATACATAATGATAATGTAAAAATTTTACTAAAAAAGAAAAAAAATAAAAGAAAATAAATGACTCAGATTATCCTATTCAGTTTAGTTATAGACAATAAGAAGAATGAACTAGACTATGTAAGTAGATATTCATTAATATTTAAGTATGTATGTATATATAAATATTTGTGTAATCAGTACCATTCAATAAGGGTAAATCATATTTAAAACACGTCAAACTGTTAGTAAATTATCTCAGTTTATTGAAGACAATAATGAAAAAATTGAAGTGAATAAATATGACAGGAAATTTTTTTCTTTATTTAAATCGATGATAATGATATTGTGGGACTCCTTGACAGTGTACATCCACGATCGCATCCTGCGAGATTCGAACCCAGGATCTATCGATCTAGCGTGCGAGCACCTAAACTCTGGGCCACTGGGCCGGTATCCAACGGTATCAATGTCCAAAGTCAACCAATCCACGAAATTGAACCACTGTCCACCATTTTCTTGGGCTTGAATTACGCAGGACGGGATCGTGGATGCGCACTGCTGAGGAATTCCATAGCAGGACGAAACGGCCGTTCAGTACTTCGAGGTTTTCCATTATGGTTTAACTTCAATCGATTCATGAACTCAACTATGAAAAATTACTATAATATCGACAAAAACTCTTTTGATAATGTTGTTGTTTATAATTTTATAATAAATAGATATTATTAAAGATGAGTATACATTTATTTATTATGACAAGGTAACTGAAATATAATTATTCTACATAACTGTACAGTCTAAAGTTGTTTTTTCCGAATTACTTATGTAACTAGATATTTAAGATGAGAATTATATGCTCATACTTCATTCACAATTGATCGATCACTAGGTGGTGATCAGTGTCATATATGTCAGGTCCTTCTTAGTGTAGATTGAATCCTATCGACCAATTTGCAATGTGGCCACTAGTCTAGGTAACTCTACATTGCGTGCACTATGCTAGGATAGAATGGTGGTTGGAGATAGTCAGTAGGAAACCGTGAACTCTGGTTTCGTGCTCTTTAGCACTCGTCAGCAAGTTCTACCTGTAATCTTGAGGGAACTGGTGCTCCCTGACATAGTGCACGCAATGTGCAGTCACTCAGACTATTGGCCACATCGAAAATTGGTCGATAGCATTCGGTCTGAACTAAGAAGGACTTGACACACATGATATTGATCACCATCCAGTGATCAACCAATTGTGAATACATCTCAGTCCTACAAGAGATAAGTCGCGGCCTGGATAACCCAGTGGTAACATCCCTGACTGTGAAGCTGGGTGAAACGGGATCGAATACGTCAGGAAGCACTAGTTCCCAAAATATTACAGGTAGAACTTGCTGACGAGTGCCAAAGAGCACAAAACCAGGGTTCAGGGTTTCCTGTTGACTAATTCCGACCACCATTCTAGCTCATACTTCATTGTCTAGTAGGTGTATTTGTGTTTTAAAGAAGTTATATATATTCTTTTCATTATTATCCAATCAATAATTGGACAAATCTTTTTTAGTAATTGAAGTGAAATTAAACTATGATTCTTGGAAATTGACTAGTCTTAAAAGTAGGGAGTGTTTTTTTGGTGATAATCTCCTTAATTGCAATTTGAATGATCGGTTAGGAGAATAATAACACAATGATAATATGCAGCTGTATTATCAAATAAAATCGAGCTTACACTGAATAGATTTGTTACTGAATAGTAAATTTGTCAGTTCAAATACTACTTAGATCTATATGATGTATCCAATAAATAAACAAACTGAAATATTAGAAAAACTCATGAAATTCATGGAATATTACAGGTTATTCATAAGCATAAAATAATAAAGAAAATAAAGCTTTATTAACAAGATTGAGCTTCACAGTAAACTCTAACGACTAAAATGATTATGTAACACTAGAATTATGAACTATATTTTGTGTTGATAAAAAATCAATATTTTGTAATCTCTTCTTTATGCCTATCATCAATTCACAGTCAAGACAATTGCCGGTGACCTGAATCTACTAAAAATTATCTGCTTACATTGTTGTCGGAAAATATTTTTGGTTGAAAAAATTGTTAAGTGATGAAGTATCTAAAATCTCCACTCTCTAAAGATCTCGACGAATGTTGGAATTATGGATTTAGCAAGTGTTTTGAAACGAATAAAATGTATTTTGAAGGGGATAAGATTAACATACTCTACATTTTGTTAAAATAAACTTATATGACTACAGTTCTCGAATTTACTGAACAGACTACTTATTTGTGATGTTCACTAGTCGGATAATAGGTCTAGCTCTTTTAAGGGGATTTGTAGTTTAAATGTAATGCTCACTTTTTGGGGTATCTTAACGGATATTTTAAAGTTTACAAAGAATTTGTTTATTGCTTCCCAGAACCCTTTAATCATTTATTTACAACAACTGACAGCTTCAATTAAAAACATGTTACCAGATACTTGAACTTCAGTGCTTCATCATTTTTGATTGAGATCATTAATCGACCAAGTTTAGACCACTGTTCAAAACCTGGAAGCCACGGACGGCCGTTCCGTTCTATTATGGGGCTCCTCAGCGATGCGCATACAAGATCCTGCACACGGGTTCCGAAATCAGGACCCCTGGTCTCGCGTGCGACTGTTTGACCTCTAGACCACTGAGCCGACATCCAGCAGTGTTAATGTCTAACTTCAAGCAATCCAATACAGTAATTATTTGTCAAAATCTGTCTGGGGTAGGTTTTGTTAAAACAATTAGGTACTTATTCAAAACAACGTCACAATATTATAAATGCTTATTCATAAGATCTGATAATTAGTTAGGAGTTATTTTTATAAAGTTGTATGTTTCTCTGGTCGTCCTTCAATCAATAATCAAGTTATTTGTCTGTAAATTTCACTCGTTATTTCCAATAATTCATATGGCCATTTAGGTCTAAATAATCTTGTTACAAATCAATCGATCTTCCAATGAAACATTCTATGATACATCTTAGGATACTAAACTGTAGTGATACATTTGATGTAATCTACTCTGTAAACAAAGTAGTAATTAGTCATTAAAATTTGTTTAATCTATAATAATACACATTCTTATCCGCAGTTACAACTATTTAAATGTAATTGTTACTCTTTTGAACTTTAAACTTTTATGTAAGTACAGTTTTCAAGTCTTGTCATCATTTAGAACTATCTTTTCATGCATGAAAGTTTGTTAATATTCTGTAAATACTTTTATATATATAATATCTACTTGTGTTTATTTGACTATAAACCAAATAGAGATAAACAGTTCTAATATGTTTTGTTTTATTTAAATTTTAATAATAAATCCGTCTATCAAGAATTCATGATTGAATCATTTTATTCGAATGAAAAAATCGGATCTTAAAAGATAAAAGAAATAAATTTCAAACTATATTACATTGTTTTAAAGATTAAGTTAAAGAGCTTCAATACGAAATCATTTCTCATACTATATCTTATTCAGTACAAATTTGTAGTGTATCAGGCATCTTTTTTTTGCATAGCCTAACTCAATCAAGTCAAATAATCACCATTACGTTGATCGAGAATAAGCTTGTAACTTTTGAATATATTCGACAAAAGGTTAAAAAAAAAGTCTTTTGAGAAGTAAAATTAATAAACTTTTTCATAAACAGAAAACATTTTCACTATCATAAAATTCAGATGATCCATTTCATTAAAAATACAAAAAACAACAACAACAAAAAGAAGTTTCACCGTTAGAATGAATAGCAGAAATTGAAATGTCTTGTATTTGACATTTAAAAGTTATACAAATATTAAATACAAATAGATAGAATAAAATAGAATAAGAAAATGATTTTTAATGATGAACTCAAAAGGTGATTCAAAGAAGAAGAAGAAGAAGAAGAAGAAGAAGATTAGTGAACATTTCAAGTCAAATGAAGAGAATTAACATACATCATTTCTCCAAAATGTTTCATAGATGATCTTCTATAAAAAACTTATAGAATGAATAAGTGTAATATTTTAAAATTAAGAAAGTATTATGTATATGTATATGCATAAAAAACGTTAAGATTTGTGTTCTGAATCTCTTACAGACTTGATGTTCTTAAATTCTTTAGAAATTCAATGTATTTTCGTTTAATATTAGTGTAATAAACATAGTTATAGAATAATTTATGAGAAACTCAAATGTTTAGTTTAAAATGTAAAGCAATAAGAAATCGTTTAGCTTAGTGACTACTTTAAATACTGAGTTCTTATAAAAGTATTTACACTAAGAAACTAGTCATTTTCAAACAAGTGATTAA